AACCATTTCAACTGCATCTAAAGAGTCAAACCCTAATTCTTCAAATGTAGCCTATATATGAAATATCTCTACTTTATCTGATAATTTATCAACTTTGCATTTTGCAGCAGATTTCATTACTTAAAGTACTTTTGCTGTAACTTCTTCTAATAACTCCTTGTTTTAGATTGTTGAGCAGAATCTGAAATTTCTACATTAGAATCCCATAGGGTTTATAAGACGAAGAGCTCTGACAAACATTATTATGAATAATTAGATTTTATTTATGGATTTTGTGGTTGTTTTAGACTTATTTTTTATATTTTCTATGTCATTTATTACTTCAATAAAGTATGAAATTTTGTATTGAATTATAAAAACTACTCTTTTTACATTCTTAAAATTAATACTTTTTACAAAATTATAATTCAATATAAGCAAGATTTATATTGAGTTATTTAGTTAGACAAATAATTTTAGATTTATTATATTATTTCTATTAGTTTATAACAGCATATTTATTAATATTTATACATCAAACATTTATTTCAATTTTATTAACATAATTAGATAATCATTTATTATGAATCATTTACTAAAAATATATAATAGTATATGGAAGGTTAATGATAAAATGAATATTTTGATAATGATTTTTTATAAGTTTAAAAATAATAAATTTCAACCACTTTTAATTTTTGAAAGTTAACTTGATTTGAAATAAAAAATAATATAAATATCAAAAAATGAAGGGATTCTGTAATTTTTAGAAAATTCTTCTTCATTTTAATAGATTGAATACATAATCAATGAAAGTATAGCTAAGAATGTAAGAATTTTCTGAAAATTTTTAGAGCTAATTAATAAGTGAATAAACAATTCAGATTTAGTTCTTTGATAACTTCATTGTAATACTTTACATTTAATAAAACAAATACAATTGGAGTAATTGAATTATTGGAAAGTAATTAGTTTAAAATATTGACTTTAGTTAACAAGATTTTAATGTAATTAGAAGTAGAGAATTGGATTCGAAAAGGGAATCAAATTTGATATATTGTGATATTTAATATAGATTTAAGTCTTATATTATTCAACATGAAAAAGTTGTTGATATTTAGTTAGAATTAATTTTATGAATAAAATAACTTCATCAGATCGAGAATAACACACCCATTATGTAGAATATCCTATGAGATGGGTGTAATTAGGACTCTTTTTGTTTGCACTGCTTTCTAATATCATGTTTGGATTTTCATTATCTCCAATAGTAAAGGAGATGTCAATCATCTATGATGTAGATAGTAGGTATATATTTATATATAAAATAGATATTTGTAATTTTTAACAATAAGCTTCACAGTATTTTCAGTAATAATGATCATACCTGGAAATATTATTAATGAAAAATATGGAATCAGAATTAGTATAATGATAGGTATGATAAATAACTAATTAGGATGTATTCTTACATTTATAGGATCAGTGAGTGCAATGCTAATAAATGTTTCATTTTGGTTTTTCTTTTTGGGCTAATTATCATCTTTAATAGGATTTCCATTTAGATTAATAAGTGCATCTAAATTTGTTGCAAATTGGTTTTATCCTGAAAAAAGAATATTGATTATGGTAATTATTGCATTGTGTTTCAATGCAAGTTCTGGGATTGCAATTAAAATCCCATTAATTATTTTGGGAGATTATGAAATTAAAGATATACATACATAAGCTGAAATTGATGAAGGTAGAAGATTGATGCAAAATTTAATGATATTTCTATTTGGTTTAATGGTTTTATTATGTATTCCACCAATATTCTTTTTTAAAAGTAAAGCACCAACACCACCTAGTTTTACAGCTTCAGATGTAATTGATATAATTTTAATTATAGTAATGTATAAGAGTTGATTATAGAAAAGCTGGTATAATTGTAGCCAAGAATTTTGATTTTATGTATTTAACAATTGGCTTTGCATTTATATTAGGAACTATTACATTATTTACATTATAAATGGAATATCTAATTAAACCATTTGATTATACTTTAATGGATCAAAGTAATTTAGTTCTTGTAGGTGTAATTGCTGGTTTAATAGGAGATATTTGTGTAGGAACAGCAATAAAAAAACTTAAATCTTTCAAATTAGTATTAAGAATTTGTAATGCTTTAGTAACAGTGTTATTTGCTATTTTGATTATAGCAATACATGTGAATAAAACATTTTTCTTTATTATGTATTTTCTTGTTTGTGGATGTTCAGCTATTATGGCATTAACTTTTGAATTTTCATGTGAATTATGTTTTCCTATGAGTGAAAATACTACTATAGCTATGTTAGGATTATTTGGTAACCTTATTAATTTTTTATAAGGATTGCCAGAGATCTTAATATTAAAAGTAAATATCAATATAAATATTTAAAAGGGTGATAACAAATTTTGTTCTACTGTAACTATGGTATTAATGTTTTGTTTAATTGCTGGAGCTAATTATTTTACAATGAATGTAGATGAAAATTTGAAGAGATAAAAAAAAGATTTTTAAGAAGATGATGAGGCAGAAAAAAGAGAAAATGCAATTAGTATGTTAGAATAATCTATATTAAATTGATTTAATTTAAATATTCCAATAATAATTTAAATGTTGAAGAGATTCTAATATATATAGAATTTCTTATCAATGCATATTATTTAATATATTATATATTTAAAATTATATAAATTATTTTCAAATTTCTGATTTTAATATAAAATTCTAGTTAAAATACTATATAAATCAATTTCATTTAAATATTTAGAAATTGACTATTAAACATAAAACATGATTAAATCCTTAAGTCTTTTAAATCTAATAATCTATATATTATAATGAATAATAAAATATTATAAGAACAATTTAATAATTGTTAGGTTATTGTTACAAAATTTGAGACAAATGAAATAAGAGAAGTCCTATTATAAGTATATGAAAATGAGCAATATGATTTTTATTTCTATTTATTGTGTACTATATATTAGATAATATATCATCTAAAATAATACAAAGCTCTTGCTGTTAAGCCTTAGACCTTTGATTCATCTTCAGTCTATTAAAGCCAGTATTCTTCAAACAAGGCTCTATCTTCAGGTTTAGATGCATCAAGCTTTGTAAGTTAAAGATACTCGAATGTTGGATGATCTTTCTAGAAAATTAGAATAAATCAATACCAAATATTATGGGACATCAACTCCTCTCCAAATCCAAGCACCACTAATTTCAAGATTTGGAACATCTCCATAAACACCATGAATAGCAAATGCCCATTTCTTAAAGTGTGGATCTGCTCTTTATAAAAATCCATTGCAATTGTTTCTAAAGGAAATGAGAACTTTTCCTTCACCTTCTGCCTTAATATATTTGACAATCCAAATAGACCATCCTTATGAATCAAAGACATTCCAGAAGTGTTAGAATTCAGCAGCTTAATCTTTTGATGCTAAGAATTATCTCTTCCAATCATCAATATTAAAAGTTGATGGTGGTAATGTATCAAATTCACAGACTTATTTTTTTGGTTTTTCTTCTTCATCATCATCAGCCTTTTATGGTTTTTCCTCTTTCTTTGGCTTTTCTTATTTTTATTATTATTATTAAGGTTATTTCTCTTTCTTTTCCTTCTTCTCATGATGTTCATGACCATGGTGTGCAGCAAATTGCAATGCAGGGAATGGCTTCCTTGTATATCTTGTTCTTCCGAATAACTAAAAATTAATTGTTTAAATACATCTAAGAAAGCTGGAAGTTCTGATACTTATTTATACCATCTGACAATGTTCACTAACTTAGCTCTATCATCATCTCCATAAAGGAATTAGAATATTCCTTAAAAGTATGAAGCTAAATTAATATCAGCTATTGTTAATTGATCACCAACCAAGTATTAATTATTGGCAAAATGGGCTTCCAATACTCTAAATTTCCAATCCATTTCAGCATGAGCTTAAGTTGCTTAAGCTGGATTGATTGGAAAATGTCCAAGGACTGGCAATAAGAGTTAAATCAATTATGGTTCGATCTCTCCAGATGCAAAGTCTAACCATTATTTGACTTTGGCTTATTGGAATTCATTAGCTCCAACCAAAGGAGTTCCTCTGACTACATATTAAAGGATAGCATTGCTTTCAGTCAATACTCCTTCTGGGGTCTCTAGGACAGGGACCTTACCCAATGGATTCTTAGCTAAAAATTCTGGGGTCTAATGTGAATAAAAGTATTTTATACTTCTAAATCTTTCCATTCTAAGAGTTGGGAAGCAACATCAACATTGGCGAGTTTAGCAGCTACAAGGATTTTATTTGCTCTAGGATTGCCAGAGATATAATTAAGTTTTAAAGACATCTTAAATCTTAAATTTATTTATTTCAATAGTAATTAAATGACTTTGTTTTCTACAATTATTTTTTTTATCTAAAACAATAGAATAAATATAAGTCTTATAATTCTCTATCTACTAAAATGAAGCTATAAACTTTATAGAACTGTATTTAAGCTTTCCCCTCTTAAAAACAGCTAACAGTATGAAAATACTTGTAAATATATACTGATATAATTTAATCAGAATGATCCTGTTAATTGACAATTTCCTAAATACAAGCCATTCCTAATGTTTTTATTTTATTTTTAATCTTCTTAAGATATAAAACAAGGTTTCAGTATTTAATTTGCCATTCTTTAATTTCCAAAACTAAAATATTCAATGGTTATCTATATATCTTTTTTTATGGAAATGAATCATTGACAAATTGTTGTAGATTTTCCTCCTAAACACTCCGATATTTACATATTTTCTGTTTAATTTAAACAACTACTTATTTAAATTAATTAATAATAATTTACTTTTAACTTTAAAAATTAGATGATATAATGAGAACTCTGATTTTCATAGAATTACATTAGATTGTAATTATTTTTAAGAAGAAATTTTGTGTAAAATTTTTTTATAATTTAAATATTAAAAGTGAATTAAAAATCATTTTTGTAATCAACAACCTGTCATTGAATCTAGATCTATAAAACTTATTTTGATTTAATTTTAAAAATGTTCAATTCTATTTGTTAATCCATAATGAGATAAAAGAAATTTGATAATTGCTAAAACCAAACAAGTTGATTTGCTTGAATCTATAATTTCTAAAAAGTTAATATACGAATCCATAATTCTTTTAAAATTTTAATCATCAAATTAGATTTTCTTTTTTTAATAATATTTATTCTCTTGAAGCAAATGAACTAAATTTTATTTAATCTTAAAGTCTTCTGCTTCAAAATAAAACTCAAAGAATCTCACTTATTATTAATATTATTCAAATATTTTAATTGTGACTTTTGATTTTGTTTAGGATTATATATATTTAATTAGATTAACACATATAAACATAACAACTTGGAAAGATGATTGAAAAGAACATTATTCTTGTTTAAAATTAATTTAAATTGATTTTTTGAATATTTTCTTGAGTTGATCTTCCACTTTATTAATACTGACTTAATTTCTATTTTCTACATATTTACTGGCATTTAACCATATAAAAGCTGCATTAAAGTAATTATAATCATCTATTAAGTTATGAAGATTAGAATATTTAAAAGAGATTGCAGTTGTAGTCTTTTCAATAAATCTTAGAGATTTATTTGTTAAAGATCTGAAATAACTTTCAACGGCAAGAAATTTTTTCCAAATTTCCTTATTTTTTTATTTCTCATTTTAGAGAATCATTATAATCATTTTTGAATCAGATAAATAGTATTCCACTAATTTCACCTTTAAATATCTTCCTGTTTTTTATTAATATCCTACATATGTATAATATAAAGAATCTTTAAGACTATTCATTGTATCAAATTTGCAAATCTTAGTGCTCAAAAGTTATCGAAGTATGTCTTCTAAAGTAATTTAACCTGATTATGTTTTCTATGAACTTGTTTATTCAATTTAAGTCTATTTTAAATATGAATTATTACATTTCTTAAAAATGAACGAAATTCTTAGTTATTTTAAATCATAAATTCAGATTAAGCAGCTTTAGATTACTGTACTAAAAATAATTAATCTTAAGATTTATCGAATTGAACAAACATAGTCCATTTTTTAACTATTTTATCCATAATTTAAAACCATTTCATATTTTCTCTATATTTTAAAAAACTCAATCTCTTATTTCTTTCTTGTTCCCTTCTACAAAAAAACACTACCACAAATACAATGAATATTTAAACAGTGATATAGGCTCCATTTGGACTTGAAAAATCAAATCTAGATATATGCCATGCCAAAATACCAATCATTGTTATTGTCTAAAAACACAATATTGTTCCTTATAAATATATGCCTATTTTAATGAATCAATAAATACATATATGACTAATTGCTGCAAAGAATCCATAATACCATTAATATTTGTAATACATTTATGGTACATCGTCCTAGTTTTAGTTCAATGTGAAAATGTTATAGATAATTGTCACAGTAATTTGTAAGAAAGGGTAAACAAAATTGGAAAATTAAGGATATTTACTAACAAAATATCTTGATAGCATGACAGGAATGCCACAAATAAGACCATACAAAGCATAATAATAATTTGATTCACTAATGAAGGATAAAACAATAAATGTTCCAACAAACTAGGAATAGTTATTTTATTTACCAAAATGAGGGTTGTTAAAGTCTTATATTCATTTATCATATATGGTTAATAATTTAATCTATATTCTTACTCTATTTCAGGGACAATAAATGTGAGGAACATTTTGTGAAGCATTTTAGTAACAAATAATAAATAATGATAATTGAAAATTAAAAATTTAGATCTTTAAAAATTAATTCTTATCTATTATTAAATGAATTAAGTTAAGAATAAGTAAGAATTCATTAAACAATATTACATTATCCATTTTATATTTTTTCATTAATTTTAATGTATCAACATTAATGTTCAGCATAATTAATTTCCTTCCTATTAGTATTAAAGAAATAAAAGTGAGTATTTTAAGAAATATAAAACTTGAAAGTTTTTATTGGTTAATTATTTAGAAATATAATATTTAATTTATTGAAGAAAATTAAATCTTTATATGCAGTTTTTATTATTTAAAGAATAATAAAAAAAATTTATATTATCATTTTTTAAATACAATTTATTTATATATTTATGTAACTCAAATCTATAATTCTTAAATTGATTAATTTATTGTTTAACAATAATTTGCTTACTCTTGATTTTCAGTTTAATTTTTAGTTTTTGTTTTAGTTTTCAATTTGTGAATAAACTCTTAATGCAATGGATAAATTTATTTTTTATTAATTAAAACCTATATTATATAAGAAATTACCTTCAAAAATTTAGAAGTGATTAATGAATTTGCAATTTATTCTTATAATTCAAATTACTTGTTTTATTGTTATTTATTAACTCTATTGAAATATTTTAACATTTTCTTATTTTATAAATTATTAGTTTTTCTTTTACTTATTTATAAAATCCATTATTCAATTTCATTCTACATTGTAACTGGATTTCGTTTTCCATAATCATCCCATATAAATATTTGATTATCCTCAAATGTTGATTCTGTTTCAGGTTCCTCCATTTTAATAAAATTATCAAATATTTAATCCACTGGAAATAAATACTGAGCAATCCCCAAACTCAATTGAAACCAAACCAAATAATGTATTTCATTTTACAAAAGAAACTACCAAATACAATTTCCAATAGAAAATAATAAAATTGCCAATTCTATATAAGTATCTACTTATTCATCTGCTAACTAACTACCTATTGTTGGACCCTTAGAATAACGATAAACTAATAAATATTTTTCAACCCAATAATTGATAATTATAAAACCTAAAGATATTAATACACCTAAGGGAATGAGTTGAGCATAAAAAAAGGATAACATTAATGTTTTTGTTATTGTTGCATATTTTTTTGATAAATCTCCAGTTTATCCTTCAAAAAGTAAATTAGCTTCCCTTTAAGTTAAGGCACAATTCTATCCCTAATTTTATGATTTTCTGATTAAATATTATCTATAAAAGAAATATGGATCCAATAAATTAAATAACCATGGAAATATGGCATTCATTATAAGAACTAAATAAATATCAGATATTAATCCTCCATCTTTCCAAGTTTATGTTAATATATCTTGATCATTTAATGCTATATTTACTAAAAGTGGTATAATTGCTGTATTTATAAATTGAGCCTATTTATTTATTCAATTATTACTATGCCTAATTTATTAGCAAAACTTATATTGAATTCTGTCTAAGTTGAATGCAACTCCAATGCTACAAACTTTTTTATTAATAATCCCATTATATTATTTAGTATTGAAATTATTAAAGAAGCTAACAATCCAAAAGCTGTTATGTACAATTCAATTGAAGTTGATCTACTTTTTTTATCAGATTGATTTAATTTATCCTTTAATTATATCATTCAATACTTGATATACAGAAACACCCAATATAGATCCAAAACATATGGCTAAGATAAATAAAGACCCTAAATTTGTTAAAATTTAATATTTAAACTAAATTAAAGGGTTAATACCTAAATTTTCCCAAATTACATCTCCTGGCTCTGGTGCTCTAATTACATGAGGGGTTTTCACTTAAAATGTCTTAGTTGATTCTAAAGGATAGAAAAATAGTAATTTTTAGAGTATATACTAAAATTTTGTTTATGTGTGATATTTCCTTATTTACTTTGCTTAAGTCGAAGTATTATATGTAATAAATGCTACACCACTAAATTTAAATAATTGAGGATTTTGTTGGAATTATATAATTTTAGTATTGATTTCATCCAATTATTATTCTAGATTTTATGTTTATGACCCCATAGAAAGATTTTATCTATTAAATTTCAAATAGATAAATTTACTATTCAGATAAAATTGATGTTATTCTTAATTCATTTTCAATTTTAAGTTTAGTTAATTAATAGTATTCTTAAATATCAAAACCTAATACAATTTATATAATATTTAATTTTGAAATAGAAGATCCATTTAATTTAACTTCTGAAAAGTAATTTTAAATCTCTTATTTAGTTGAGGATATAGGTAAATTACTTATTTGAATGGAGTAATCAGATATTGAGATATTCTTTTCATCTATTTTTGTAGCTATAATATTCAAACGTCTTCTATAATAGATTGAAAAGAAAATCATAGCTAAAATATTAAAGATGTCTAATCCTAACAAAATAACATCAGGTGTTCTAATATTGGAAATAATAGAATACCTAGAGCTATTAGTAAGTGAGTAAGTGTTATAATAATTGAGTTTGCAGACAGAAGAATTAATTTCACATTGTGTTCCATAATAATTATTTAATGCATTATACAACCCAGATATTAAACTAAAATATGATTATGATATTGTTACAAATTTAAAAATAGTAAAATGGCTACAAATATAATGAATTCAAAGAATAATGGTACTCCTGCTCCATTAAAAGCTAGCTCTTCATTTTTACAGCAATAACTTAGTTATGATTCAATTATAGGAAATCCACAACAAGGACAATATTCGATATTGTCTATGTTTTCTATCTCTTTCGAATAACTAAATTTATTCGCTTTCTTTGAAAATCATCTAAAATTTATTACTGCATGATTTTTAGCTAATTCAAAGTTTGGAGGTCTTCTGAAAGGCTCATACTCATCATTTTATTCCTCTTAAAGATTCATATCATTAATTATAGATTTTAAAAACATATAATTATATTGTGATGACATCAAAATTACTATTTATCAAATGTCTTATAATTATTAGTCATTTTATCACAAAATAATGGGCTTGTTAAGCTATTATCTTATTAATAAACTTCAGTCTTAAATTTTTCTTAGTCTATTAAATATAGGGTTAATTTTATAAAGCTCTTTCTCAAGGATATATTGTAAATAACCACAGAAAAAAAGAGAAATATTAATTGATAAAATTATCTCTATTCCAATTACTCTAGATTCATTGTAAATTTAATGGGCCAAAAATAACAATTTTTTAATTTCTTACATTTAAATCAATCTTTTTATTATAATTATAACCTATTTAAAGATATTAACAATATCTAAATTTTAATTCAATTAAAAAATGGCCAATAAAGTTTACTAATTTTTTATTCTTATAGTGTGATAATCTCTATATTTTTTATTAAAATTTCAATAACAAGAGCTTTTAATTGTTAAAACAACAGTTTCAATTCACTTCAGATCATTTAGATAATCTATCTATTTATCTATTTTAGACGATAAATATATTTCTAGAGATATATATGATTTTCTTAATTTGAATATTATTAAATTCATGTTTTACAAAATCCAATCGCAATTAATAGATTATTATTATTAAAATAATATGATTAATTGATTTTTTCATCAACAATTGTAATTAGTTTTGTTGGAAATTAATCATTTTTTTGATTATTTACTTTAACAATATTAAAATTCTAAGACAATCAATTTAACAAAGTAATTTTAAATATCTTTAAATATCATTAACAAGTAAGGTGATAGATTTAAAAAGATACTAAAGTAAAGCCAATAGTCTTAATAATTTATATTATAATTTATTAATTATAATAAATATTAAACAAATACTGATTTTATATAAAATAATCCATTTAATTATATTGAAATAAATAAATTTCTTCTATTATTATTAATGGTTTAATATCTAAATTGTTGTTAATCAACTTTACTTATAATTTATGATGAGATCAGTTCTTAGAAGGATTTAATTAATGATTAGGTTTTATCTATAAATATTTAAATTATATGATTCTAATATACTAGAACAAAGCTAGTAGCTTTTTTTAAGTTGTAATGAATTTCTAATATAAATATTGTTCTTCTTTATGATTTGAGATTACATTAATTAATATAATGCAGAGTTTGTAATCTGATCTAAAATATATACGTGACGCTCTTACTCTATTAATCGATAAGCTCATACCTTTTATAGAACAGAAGCAAATACTTTAATTTTGCAAGGTATTAAAAAATAAAGTATCTGATGATAAAGTGACTCCCTTCTCGATATATATGGAAACTTAGAAAAACTTTGAACTAAGTTAAGTAAAACCAATTAGATTGAATAGTACTACAGATGAGAAGTTTACACATTCAGTTCTCTGTAAAATAAGGTAGGCATAGATTGAATTTAAAAATAATACTCAATAGTTCACATCAATTTATAATTCAGTGAAAGAGAATGTAGAATCTGTTTATGTTACAAGTTAAGAATTATAAACAATGATGAATGAAAAATAATTATAAAGTAAAGTGGAATAAAGACAAGATAAAATAAGAAGAGTCTCAATTTATAGTAAATAAAATAGGCAAAAAACAGATAAAGATATTTAAGAAGAAATGCCAAAGGAATATAAAAATGAGATAAAATAAGAATAAAATAAGGAGATCAAATCTGATAACAAAAAAATTGGTTAAAAAAATGATATAAAAGTTGAAACTAAAATAGAGAAGAGAGATGAGGTCAGATCAGATTCAAAATATTCTTTCGAAGGATCTAAGAAGGATATATGTACTACTTAAGATATATTATAAAACTAAAGGATTAATCATCAAAATTAATCACAACAGTAAATTAAATTAGAGAAACCCTAATCTTAATTATCTCCTATGAATTATTAATAAGTGAAATCATAGAATATATCACCTTAACCATCATATAATTATATTCATACACCACCTCATTCATATACATAGGTCCCTTTATAAAAAAATTCTCAAACTAGCAATTTCACTTATATTCAATAATCATCCTAATAATCAGGTTAGATTTTATTTACATAAAGTGATTAAAAATAAAATTCTTAAATTGGATCCTATGTTCCAAATTATGATTTATTAGCTAGAGTTGATTAATTACTTTAAAAAACTAAAAGTAATATTTAAACATAAAATACAACTCCATGCTTAACAAATAGAATATGATTTTATAATTATATAATATGAAATAATAACAAATATTTATTCATAATATCATAATTAATATAAAGCTCTCATTGGGGCATGATTAATAAAGAAATTCAACAAATAAGCAATTGGTGCTTTTGTTTAAGCTATCATTTATTATAATGTCCAAGGATATAATATAATTTTGAATATAACAATTATTGGATCAAATAGAACATGATTGGATAGATAAGATATTAAAAATTATCTAGCCCAATTATCTGCAATATCTATTTAGAGTCCAATAACATTATAGAAATAAAAGATACTAAAAAATAATGAAATTTATAATTTACAAACATCCACCTAAAATAGCTACGGTTAATAAAAATCCAATGATTTTTTCTTATATCCATCCATTTAATTCAGCTTTTACAATAGCTAAAAAGAATACAGATATTTCACCAACAAAAATAATCAATAAAATGTGTTCAATTTGATTCAAAAACTTAATAGTATATGAACTAAAAACAAACATTACCATTAATTTCATATATAATTATAAAACTCTACTTGGTCTTGAAAACTTTTAATCATAATATAAGAAGATACTTAAGAGTTCATGTAATTTCTAGTATTATTATTAAATTAATTACTATCATTCCAGTTATAATTAAATCTGCAGATGTATATTTAATACCCATTTCAACATTAGTTTAAAATATAGGTTCATATTAAACAGCTGCATTATGAAAATCATCAGATTACTTCTGTTTTTTATTATAATTTTTATTAAATATAGTCATACTTGATTAATCATCTTCTTTAATTGATGATTCAAATAATTATTTACCATCATATTTTTCAATTTCCTTATTTTTAAATCTAACAGATAATACACTAGATTTCTCTGGAAAAATAGTAGAAGATTTAATTTTAGTAAAATCAGCTGATTTATCAAATATCTTTTACTCTATATCATCTTAATTCCCATGTTCACTTATAATTATTGCAGATGATACAGGAAAAACAACCTTTGAAGATCTAAGATCTAAAATAGCTGTTACTATAGTAAATAGAATCATAATTCCTGACATTATTCCAATAGTTTAACCAATAACTGTAAGATGCATATTTTCTATAGTAACAAATTGAATCTCTCTTAAATCTACAGGTATATATTATTCCATTAAAATTAAATCACTAATATATTTACAAATACAACTATGTTATGAAGTCAAAACAGATTTAGTACAATTATCACCTGTGAAATTAGAAATAATAGATGCACATTTAGTATTATTTTCAGAATATTCAGTTTAAAAGGAATGTTTAAATTAAAAATGTTCAAATTATAAAACTATTTAATAATCTGATCCATTTTATACAATAAATTATGGACTTATATATTTTAAATTATTAGAATATTAATTCCATTTAGCATATTCAAATATTTATTATTTCCAATAATAAGGATTTACAGAAAATGTTATAATAGAAACTAAATAAATATAATTTGGATTAATTTAAAATGTTTCAATTTCTGATAAATTTGTAAATAAATCTCTATTTTCCCACATATAAATATTTCTTCTTGCTGCATAATTACCATTATCTGTTTTATTAGTAGTATCAATTTAAACTTCAAAATTAATTGTGTCATTATTGAGATTCCAATATCCACTAAATACTGGAATGGCAACTGCATCTAATTTTTCATCTTAAAACATACTAACATAATAATCATCTTAAGATAAATATTATAAAACTTATTTAGTAGTGACTCTAGTAAAAGATATATTAAAATATTTAAAATTACGATAAATTACTTTACCATTTGTTTCAGAATATGAATTTATTATAAGATTTAAAACTTAAACTAAACTAATAAGTCTTGTATAACAAATGTGTATTAAATCAAAATGATCTAAAGTTAATGTAGATTCCTCTATTAATTATGTTCTAAAACTATTTATATTATCATCACTAGAAACTAGATCTTATTCTTCAACTTATTTAAGTAATCTATTTTTATTATTAGTATCTGTTAAATTCAAAAATAATTCTTTTAAATAATCTGTTGAATTAACTTCTGTTTTATTAGCATTTTTAGCATCACTAATAGTATCAGGATTATCAATAGTCATTCTACCTAAAAATGTATCAAAAACATGATGATTATCATCTATAACTTAACCAATAACTCCATATAGGGATTTCAATTCTAAAAACAATTCTTAAGCTGTAACATTTCCTTTATATTAACCAGCAATCATAGACTTCTCATTTATTTATGTTAATGATGTGAATTTAATAATATCTTTTCTAATTTCAGTTTAAAATGATATTAGATATTATAATTTAAGATCTATTGAAGTTTCACCAATAAATTTTATTCCTGTAGATTCAATCTATTAAATATAAATATATAATAATTACTAAATATATAGCTTTCTACATCATTATTTAATATTTATCTTGTGTCTTTAACTGAAATTATTCTTTATATAATTCTTTTAATTTTGTTAATGTTTCATTTACTTTTTTAGCATAAGCAATTTTATTATCAATAGAGAATGCATCATATACTGATTTCAATATTAAAGAAGAACTCATTATTTTAGTAATAGATGTTTCAGAAATAAGTGATGTAAGTATTTCATCAAAATTATAATTAGATGTTTTTATTGTAACATTTTAAGAAATTATTGAAGTAGCTCCCAAACTATCTTTTAATTAACATACTATAGTAAATTATCCTGGAGGTAAATTTATAGAATAACTACTAGATTCAATATAATCTGTTAATTCATATTCTCCATTAATTGATTCAATATTAATGGATTATCCATTAAAGAACCAATATTTATAATAAATTGGAGTATGTGTTTCTTAAACTGAACTTACAATTATATTCATGTTATTTGTTTCATCAATAGTAATCTGGCCATTTCTTGGAGGATAATTAATACGAAAAAGTATTTCATATTCTGCAGGATCTATATAGTTCATTAATGAATAAGTGAAATGAATTCTACAAATTCCAAATTCTCCAACACTCACAAAATCTGGATAGTAGTAACTTGCTTAAAAACGAAGTCGAGGGTATAATTACTAAAACTTAGAGACCTAACCGTCTAAATATATTGCCACTTATATTTTAGAGTCATCTGGTGATACTCCATCATCTAATTAGATAGAGAAATCAATCATTTCATCAAAATTAACCAATCTGGATAAAATTGAGTATGGATAGGATATATTTAAAAATGGTATGATGTTCTAATTTATAATTACAATAATTACTTAAGAGAAGTATAATATAACAGTACGATTAGCTACATAATCTCCAGCTATTAAAGCAGTAAATTCATAAGATCTCTTAGGATATAATGTTGATTCTGGTATCACAACTGTATAATTAAACTTGTCTAATTAAAGTAAAGATCCATCTGTTCTTTTACATGTTTAATTCAAAGTTAAATCTTAACAATTCCATGTTACTGTTAAATTTTTTAACTAAATATTCATTAAATCTGTTTCCATATTCCAAACAAACAGATTTATTTACACTTTTTCTTTCCAAAATACTTGTCTATTTCCTTATTAAATCAATGAAACCCAATTTGACTTAATTAAAATTAATTTATACTGATTCTTAAGCTAATAATATGCATGCTTGTTAGAGTAAGAAGAGTATATAAATTGATATACTCATTTCAATTAGATAATTATTATATTAAGCATATAATTAGTTTCAATTAGAATTGTATAAGTTTATTTAATTAATCATTTTTTAAATGGGTTCTTGTTAAGGTTCAACAGTTGATATTCAATAAGATTTGAGAATGAGAGAAATCATGACTAAATTTTAAGTTCCTATGCCATATATTGATGAATATAAAATATTCTAGACATTGAAATAAGTGGAAATGTAGTTTGTTAATATTATTATTTATAGCATTTAACATAATAGTATTCCTCATTTTGATTTAATTTATTCAAAAATGGGAGACTCATCTAATAAAATGAAGAATCTTGTTAAGAAATGGAGAATGAAACATGAATTACATAATCATCCAAATTTATTATCAATTCATAATGTTTCAATTGTTGAATCAATGAAATTATTTATACCTTATACTAATATTATACTTCTAATAGACAAACCATTACAACCTTTAACAAGACATAAAAAAGTTATATTGAAATAACCATTTTCATAAGATGAGATATTGTTCTTATTAGATTGTGTAGTCTCTGGTCTAGCATTTTAATAGTAAAATAAAATTTATCCATCTGGATTTGATATTGATGACATTATAACTGTTAAAACTCCTTTTAATACTGAAATTTATAAGTTAGTAGATAGATATTAAAAACCTATTCGATCCAATTTATTTTAAGATTTCATTTAACTATATGATGATAAATAAAGTATATACTATTTTTATTCATTATTTAGCTTTGAATGAATTAAAAAAAACAGCCTTTTTTTCACCTGCTCAAATTGAAGCTATTCCAAAAAAAGACAAGGTATCAAATTCTTCTTTTTATATTTAGTATCTTAAACACAATAGATATAAATCTGATGTATTTAATTTTGCACTCATATTGATCTATTTAATATAAGCTAAACATCCAGAAATATTTGATTGGAAGAAATGGACAATTGATGATTTTGCATTGAGAAAAACTTAAGATGATCTTTTAGTGACCAATTTTGATGAAAATTTATTACATATTATAGAACTTATGTTAACAGTTGAGGAAGATAAAAGACCAGATTTTGTAGAATTAGATGAGATGGTCACTAAATTATTTTCAGATCTATAAATGTAGCGTTTATAAGAAAAATATTAAATACAAGATTTTTTTATTATTCCTATTGATAAACCATCTGATTTCAATATTTAGATTCTTAATGATAATATATATCAATCCAAATAACCATAATAATTAATTGGATCATAAAATTTATCATAGCATCAAAGAAATGATTCCTAAAAAGTTAAATAAAGCGACATAAGTTAAGCTTCTATTCAAATTTAAAAAAATGAAATTAATAATAACTTATTTGATAATAATATAGTTGTAACATAAGGGAAATTACATTATTCAAATGGATTTTATTATGTTGGTTAAATTTGCAATAGGAGAAGACATGGTGTTGGAACTTACTACAACTAAGATAACCAAAAGGTTTCTGAAGGCAGTTGGGTTTTTGATATTCCTGATGGCGATGTTATATTATATAATCATCCAGATGAAGAAAAAGAGATGAATCATATTAATATGTCCAGAAAAGATTGGGTTCAGTATAAAGGATAAATGAAACAAGGTTAAAAACATGGAATTGGAGTTCTATACTTTTCTGATGGATCAAAATTTATGGGCAATTTCTCTTTTGATTAAGCACATGGAAGAGGCTAATTTGAATATTAAAATAAAAAATAAATAATTGGAACTTGGTAACATGACATATTCAATGGTTGATTGAATTTTTGTAATTATTATTGTTATGAACTGCATCATTAAATATCGAGATTTTATTAATATTTTATCTAATTTAATTAGGTTTTATATGTAAAATAATATACCTAAACTCAAAATAAAAAATCATTAAAAGTATTAATAAATCAATAAATAATATAATGTAAAGCAAATAAGGTCATTTATATCTATTGTCTCATAAGAGTTCTAAAAGTGAATACATTAAAAAAACAGTCAATCACTTAAACTATTCAATTCCATGCATAAACTGTGATTCTCTTATTCCAGCTATTGATGTCGATAAACATACATAATTATGTCAAGCCCATTCTCCTAAACACAGTTCTTAATTTAAAGATCAAACAGCTATGGAAGAAACTGATATAAAGCTCAAGAAATTAAGATAATCAATAATAATTTAATGTAAAACAGAAACAAATATATACAATAAAAAATATCTAATAAGAGCAGAAGAGCTTTGTACTTAAATACTCAAATTGTAGAATTTTGATGAAAAAGAATAAAGAAAAATATTAGATATTTCAGAAGAAATAAAAATGATAACTGAGTCATATAAGGGAGTGTTACTTGTTCAATTATTTTTGGAAAGATTACATTCTTTGACATTGGTTAAGTAGTAGAATATGAAATCTATTATATAAGAAAAGTACTAATTGGTAAACAATTAATAAAAAAAAATCATTCAAGATCTTAATAAATAATCATTTAATATCTTAATAAATAAGGAAGAGTAAAACTATGTTTAATAATGTCTTGGTTATTAAACTTAAACTAGTGCTATAAATCTGAGATAAAATGAAATATTTCGTAAGACTTAAATCACTAAATTCTCAAGGGAAAATTAAAATAAATCTGGATGTGAATTAAAAAGTGAAATTTTAACTAAAATGTCTAGTTCATAATGTGAAGAAGAAGTTCAGGGAATTGATGATACTCAAAATAATAATAATTATTAGAGGTTATTTTATTCAAAATGCTTGAACTTGAAGGCTTAATTATCTAATAATGATCCTGCTTAAAAAATTCCATTGTGTGTGTTATTTAAAGAAGTTCTCAGTTAAAGGATTTCAATTAACTAATGGAATTAATTTATTTTATCAGCTTTTGAAAAACCTTCATAATATCTAGAATTTTAGAAATCTACTTTGCTTAATTAAGCATCCAAATTTTAAAATTCAGTTAAATAATTTACAATTAATAGTAATTTCAAAGAAAGATTAAGAAATCTTAAAATAGTATGATAATTTATTATATATTTAAATAATTCTCAAATACTATCCAATTATAAATTAATTTTATATTTAAATAACTTAGACAATCAATATATCCATTTTCTAAATAGAACTACTTAATATATGATTTAATTATAAACAATTTTACTTTAATTTTTATTATAAGGATTTGTTCATTTATCAAAATAATTTAGTACCTATTCAAATATTACATTATGATATTATCTATAATTATATTTATTAGGAACTGTTTACTAAAATATTATAATCTGAATCAATTTCAATTTATTAATAAACAGAATAATAAAATAATAAATGTTAAGGGTTATTAATTAAACTATATAATATGATTTCATACTATATAGTGCTTTAAATGTTTGATAGAAATTAAATAATTGATTAGCAATAGTTATATTCATGAAATAACTGCTAAAACTATAATACCTTAATGACAATGAAATCATGAGTATGTTATAATTTAAAATGATTTAATAACCTAAGAAAATCTTATAGCTATTATCATTTGATTAATTTACATCTATATTAAAATATTAAAGCCAACTAAAAAAATAATTAAATTGTTATAATTTTAAAGATTTTCTTAAGCAAAAATTAATGACACATGGTAATCTTTATATTCAATATTAGTCCTTTATTTTGGAGTAGGAGAATTTGCTCTGTAAATGTAGACACTAACATTTGAAAATTAAAAGTATTATAATTGTTTACCATTTAGATTGTAAAGAATAATTTTCCCATAAAATAAATATTCAAAAGATCCGAACAAAACATCTAGAAAAGGAGAACAAGAGTTATGTTTTATTAATGTACAATGTTGTGAGTAAAACACATTTCTGATCGACAGTAAAGTATTACGTTGTATACAGATCAATATAATCTCTGGGGCTTTGGAAGTTCATAGTTTTCACAATTGGGATTATAATAGTCCTCAGTAGTGAGTCCAGTTAACATCTCCTAAATTACTTAAAATTTATATAAATCTGTGAGTGGTGGGACTGGCTATGTTGTAGCCTATTCAACTAATAAGAAACTGTATGTTTGGGGAAATTGGCATTAGCTAAATTATGGGGAAGTCTTAAAACTATCAGAAAAGTAAGGCTATTCTGAATAGATTGATTAACAATATTAAATTAGTTGTCTAGATATAACCTATAATTTTTCAATATTAAAGAACATAGAAAATGAAAGAAGATAAAGTTATTTACCAAATCATTAAGCTGAAGTTTTGGCTTTGAAATGTGTAGGTACAACAACATATTTATTAACTCCTAATTAATTATATTGTTTGGGCTTATAATTACAATTTCAGGTATAATTTGTTGGAATAGCTTGTGGTAAAAAACATATATTGGCTTGGGATGATTAAGGAAAAGTATGGAGTTGGGGAGAATTTGCAGATGGTAAATTAGGTTATATGGACTTTATATTGTAAGATTAGAAGGAACCTAAATAAATTGAAAATATTACAAGTAATATAGTATCATGTGCTTGTGGCTTAAATTATAGTATAGCACTTGATGCAAAAGGGGATATATATGGATGGGGTAAAGGACCTTTTAAAATGGATTTGTCAATAGCAGTTACACCTACTAAGTTATGTCAAAAACAGAGACCTTTTATTAAGATAATGGCTGGAGATTCTCATTTTGGAGCCCTTGATTTATAAGGGTAACTATTTGGATGGGGAATCAACCAAAAAAATTGTTTAGGAAATTTATAAGATAGAACTAGGTATCCTCAACTATTTGAATTAAAAAATATTAAAGTCATTGATGCAGCAATGGGATCTACTTCTACAGTTTTAATTGTTCCAATTAATGAAAATTATAAAATACCTAATTTGAATATTGATCAATATACTTCACATCAATAAAAAAGAATTAAAGAGGAAACTGCTTTTATGAAAGACTTTGCTGATCGTAAAAATAGACTTGATTAAATCTAATTTAAGTCACCTACTCAAAATTATTGTGATACTCCAATTTCATTTAAAAGTAGTTCAAATTATGAAGAAGCAGTTTTCCTACTAAAAAGAATGAAAAATTAAGCAGACTCTTTAAAAGATAATCAAAGATTTAAACATAGTCCTAGTTCATTACATTTTACAACTGATATTCCTAATTCATAAACTTAAATCACATATTAAGATTATGATGATGTAACAGCTAGATTAAAGTAATTAGAAAATGAGAATTATTTGTACATACCATTATGTTAAAGTACAACTCCTAATACAAATTAATATATTGATTAGAATGATGATCATGAAGATCTTTTGAATTATGATAACGATATGCTTAAACTATAATATATTCTAATGGTTAAATCTTAAGATGAATCTAAATTGTTGAAGAATTTATTAAATGATCCTAAGAAACATTAATAAGAAACTTTAAGTTAATTTTTTTTGAAATAAAGAATTTTAAAATATAAATAGAATAATAGAGGTTTGAATGATAAAAAGAAATTTCATGATAAGTATGATACTTTTGATCCTTATTTCTTAACTAATGTGAAAAGGGATATTAAAATTTTAAATGAATAAAGAAAAGAGATTTTTTGTTTAAAATAGAAGTAAAGAGAATAAATAAATAGAGAAATAAGTGAAAAAATGTAACTATCAAAATTACCTTTATAGAGTAGAGATGAAATTATTAAATGCATTTAAAATAAAGCTCATGAGAAGGATTAAAGGTTAAAATTAGTGTAATTAAAAAAGAAGGAAAATTATGTTGGGAAAATGAATCTTATATAATAATAAATATTAGAGAAAACACCTGAATTCAAATATAAAAAAAGATTAGATACTATTAAAACTAAATAGAACTTATAAATATTAAATATGATTTTAATATATTTAAATACTGAAAACATATGTTAGATGATTTAAGAAACAAGTTAACGTGGTTTAGAACTAAAAAGAATGATGTTCAAAGAACATATGAAAGCAAGAATAATTTAAAATACAATTAGAAAAAGAAATGTTATAAAAAGAATCAAATAAAAATTAGGATTGAGATAAAAGAAAATATTATTATCATTTATATTTAGATTTAAAATCAATTTCAGAATAAAGTCTAAATATGGATATCTTAGAAAAATAAATTTATTTCATCTAAAGAATTAATTGATTGTTAAAGTTGCAATAAATCTAAAAACTATCATTATTAAAACAGAAACTATATAAAAATTTTGTAAGTTGTACAATAATATGTTTTATGTTTAATTAAGTTATCTAAATTATAAATGGGATGAATATTTGAAATAATGTTTTAAAGGAAATATGCCAGAAAAAGAAAGAGAGGAAATAAAATAGTATGAATTACCAAATTTGATTGAGAAATAAAATCATATTATAAAAAAATTAACTGCACCATTAAAATTGAAAAATTGTTTTCTAAACGAATTAAAATTTAAAATAAAACCTGTATTAAAGGCTACAGAATTGAAAACCAATTTATTGAAAAAAGTAAAGACTATTGTTTAAATTGATGAAGACCTTTAGGATGTTGATGTTAAGTGTTCTGATAGAGTTCTATTGCCGTATACTAAATATGTTGAAAATATAGCATTATCTGTAGCATCTAAGATTAGATTTGATTATTAAATGATGACATAATTAGATGTTCATGAGAAGGTATTTATGGAAGAGTTAAATGTTAAATTTGAGATCTTAAAAGAATAATTAGAGAGATTAAGAAGAGATCATTTTCGATAAATGAGAGATGTAAACTATCAAATATATTTTAAAGTTTTATGCGAAATTAAATGAGTATAAAGAAAATCATAAATAATAAATTAATATTGATAGAGGAAAAGCAATGATTAGATTTAAAGTTGATGGGCCTGAATTTAAAATACTTAAATAAAAAGATGATTAAGATCTTAAATTAATTTTATCAAAAAGGGAAATGGCTAGAAAGAAATATGGATAAAATACAATTATATATAAAGATGTTATATTTAATAAAATTAGATAACTTCAATAAGATCAATATCCATTTCCAAATTTAATAATCAAATTATCAGAAAATATGTATGCTGATAATAGACCCAAATTTAGACTAAAACTAAATCAACATGAATGGACAAGATTATTCAATTAATATCAATAAGAACTTAAATAAAGATATACAATTATAATGAATGAAGCAAGAAAAAATTTCTCTTAAAAAACTAAGTAAATTAAATCAAAAAAAGTTGTTTAGAGAACAAGAGTTCTTAAAACGGAATCTTGAAATAAATAATTAAATCTATAATTTAGACCCAAAAAATTTATATTATTAATATATATATTAATTATAAAATGTTTCATAAGAAATATATCAGAAATTTAATTATATAATTTATAGTTCAATAAATGAATACAAGTTTAATTTTATGTACTAAATTTGATTAAATTCTGATTAATCTTTTCTATTAATAAATCAAAACATATCAGAATTTAAGATTATCTTAATTTATAACTACATATTTTTTAATTTATTATTATAAATAAAAAACTGATTATCATGAAACCATTATCAACTAGAAAATAAATTAACAATAAGAATTAAGAAAGTATGAAACTCATGATAACTAAGAAAAAGATTTCAAAAAAAAGTGGACCAAGAATCACAAAAACAATTAAAGAAACAATTGAAAATGCTCAAATGATCTAACCTAGTGCTGGAACAAGAAGATTACCAAGATAAAATAGAAGAAATAAATTAGCTAGATTGAATGCTTTAAGAAGAAGAAATTGATTGATTATCAATTCTTTTTATAATTATTGTTATTATTTAAAATATAAATTAAATGCTTCCTAATTTAGCTAAATAGTATTCATTTACTTAAGAAGAAATAATTATGTTAAAAAATCGATTTGATAGACTTTGTGATAGAGGAATGATGACAAAATAATAATTTAGAGATTCTTTGGGAATTTTGGGATTAGAACAATTCTTAGCAGAAAGAATATTTAATTAAATTGATGGAAATAAGGATGGGGTTATAATGTTTGAAGATTTTGTTAAATATTTAAGTATGCTATTAAATGGATCTACAATCGATAAAGCATTATGGAGTTTTGGAATGTTATCAAGTATTTGAGCAAGCTTAATTGATAGATAATAAAAGTATTTTAGAATTAGAAGACATGGAAAAAATGATTTTTGAGATTTGTTATTTATGGAATTCAATTACAGGATCAAAATCTATGCCAAAGAAAGAATTAGTTTCTGAAATATTTAGAATATTTGATAATGATGATGATGGTATTGTTCAATTTGAAGAGTTTAGAGTTGTTTATTAAGAAGGAGTAGAATTGATTGGATGGTATGAATTTCTAAACAATGAAGATATGAGTACAAATAAAATAAAAGAGGAATGGGAGAATGTAACAAAAAATAAATCTAGAAAAAAAAGAATGACTTTAATTAATCGTTAATTGGATGAATAAACTCCTTAAGATCTTTTAAATAATCAATTAAAAATATTGTAATCAGAATTATAAGGATGTAGTGAATTAATTAAATATGAAAAAGAAAAGGAATAATAATAAAAGTAAATTAATTTTTTGGCTTCATTTTATTTTGATGATAAATCTTAAAAAACTCATGGTCCCATATTTAATGATGGATAAGTTTAAAAATTATATGGGGATGATGATCCTGATTAAAATGATGAACCTTATTTTAAATAATATAATATGGCATCTACAATTAATAATGATAGATTTTAAAATAATATTATGAATAGATTAAGAAATTTGTTAAAATTAACAGAAGATATAAAAAAATTGAATAGTTAATAAATTGTACCAAAACTTCCTGAATAAAGTGTTGTAAAATAATTTAAAAAATCATCTCGATCACCTTCTCCAATATCTGTTAATCAAACTATAGATGATATATAATAATAATAATAATAAGAAAATGTTCGTAAGAATTTATCAATTTATTTTGGACATGAAAATTGGAATTTAGTATTGAATATGATGATTGGAATTCGTAAGGCAATAAAATCATTACATCCTTTAACTGATGATATATTAATTACAGCTGCACATTTTGAAGTTAAAAATTAATTTGAAATCATTCCAAAAAGAACTTAAGTATAATTATTCTTTATTAAGGGAATTTGATTAGAAGAAGTCATGTTCATTTTATGAATATTCTCCTTTGATTTTTGAAAGAATAAGAAAAATGTATGGAATATCAAATGATGATTTTTTAAGATCTATAGGACCTGAACAATTATTGGGTGATTTAATTTTTGGTAATTTAGCATCATTAACAGAAAAAGTTTCAAGTGGAAAAAGTGGTAGTTTTTTTTATTATTCTTTTGATGACAAATATATGTTAAAGACTATATAAAAAGATGAATTTGTATTCTTCAAAAGTTTAATAAAAAATTATTATTAACATTTATTAGATAACTATCATTCAATGATTATTAAAATATTTGGACTTTATCAAATAAAAGTTAATAAAAGTAAAACAAAATATTAAAAAATATATTTTGTTGTAATGTTAAATATATTTTATACTAATGAAGATATCAATTATAGATATGATTTAAAAGGGTCTCTTTATTAAAGAACATCAAGAGTTAAAGGTTAAACATCACTTGATTAAAATATACCTTTGAAAGACTTAGATTGGTTGGAAGATAAATAATCAATCTAATTTGATTAAAAAACATTAGAACTATTCAAAACTTAATTAATAAAAGATGTAAATTTCTTTAAATAAAATAAAATAATAGATTATAGTTTCTTAATAGGAATTGTTGATAATTATAGAATGAACAATGATAATGTTTAAACTTAATGTAGATTTTATGAAAGATGGAATGGAGGATGTATTACAAGAGATTAAAAAAGATTATATTATTTTGGTATAATTGATATTTTTACTGAATATAACAATAAAAAATAATTGGAACATAAAGTTAAAAGTACTTTTGTTAGCAAAGATGTTTCATGTATTCCTCCTGAGAGTTATGCTGACAGATTTATTAAATTTATTTTACATTCATTAAAGTGATATAAATTAAATTTAGATATTATTTAAAATAACATAAATGAAAATTCATAACACTTGGTTTGCTTAAGCTACATATTTAGGAATTATTGGTGCATTTGTTTTTGCAACAACTAGATTTACAGTCCCAGAATATAGACTCTATTACAGAGTTGCCAAGGTTTAACATCTTTGAGACATTCATTTATATCAATTATAATAATCACATAAAATATATTCACTTTTAAGTTTATGCTAGCTCTTGTTATATTTATTCTGCTTATTTCTTCAATTTATAGGCTTATACTTCTTTTTTATAATTATCTAGACTTTCTAATGGAATTAAGAAATATTCATTAAAATTCATTTGATTAATTCTCATAGCCAAATCGAAATCAACCTAAGAAAGTCCATTTAAAGATGGAGAAAATCTTCATATTTCTAATTATTACAATTCTAATGTAAGTAGCTCTCCTCCTACTAAATGTACACTTGGGCAATTTTTAGTTGAAAGAGCATCAATTTTTGAAATATCCTTTATAAATTGAATTCCAGATAAATAATCTTCAGTATAGAAATATTTAAACAATCTTAAATCAGTTACCTTCCACCCTAAAATTCAATTAATTTCAATAAATATACCTTCAATCATTGGTTTCATAGTTTCATACAAAGCTTTTACTTAAATAGGTGTAAGTGGCTTTCCATCTTAATTATATCTGCAGCATTTTTTGAATTATTTTTTAGTAATAATCTCACTAAAAAAAGCAGAATATTTAGGTTTAAAGAGCAACATAATTAATTATAAAATTAGTATTAATTGTGTGAAATTTAATTAATTAAAAATAACATATACAATCTTCTAAGTATTAATGTTAATTTTAATTTTTTTTAGTTTAATAAAAACTATATAAATAACATAAATTAATATACTTTTGATTTAATAATCATATTCTAAATTAGAGTATTTGGATTATTATTTAATAAAAAAAAACAATGAATATAATAATAATATTATTTCATTTATCATCTTAAACTTAAGAATTAGATTCTAAAACTTATTAAATACCATCTGGTTCTGCTTAAGGTTCTTAATTTTAAAATTAATTTTATTGTTATGGTTCTGGTTCACATAATTCTTATTAATTTTCTTATTCTTCATATTAAAGATTTTACTAATTTTGTTATTATTAATCAATCAATTCTGTTGGTTCTGGTTCTGATATCAATACATTTTGTTTTATTTCTTATTATTAATTATTATTCTAAATTAGAATTTCTTAATTTTGATCTTCTTCTTAATTATTATTATTATCACTTTAATTTTAATTTGTATCAGGAATAGAAATTTAAATAAATCCTAATTAAATTTATTAATCTTTATTTTCAGATTAAATTTCATTATTAGAATTCTCTTAAGGTTCAGTTTCATTAAAATCATTTTATTATTGAATGGCAGAATTATCATCATCATTTTCTGTTTTTCTTATTCCTTAATATGAAATTAGTGGATCAGGCATGAATGGACTAGAAGATCCTGAATTCATTTATTCCTTTACTCTAGGATTAACTCCACACATCCATTATAATTCTTTTTAGTTTACTTCATTTAATTATTCTATATAAGTTTACCATTCTTCTTTTATCTGATCAATGGAATTAGCTAAGTCTTCTGATTAATTAATATTAGAATTAAGATAATTAGTAATTTTTGTTAAAATACCTTAATAAAATGGTTTCTATTATCTTTTTTCTATTCCATTATTCTATATTAAAAATTTTTAAATTATTTAATCTTAGAATAAAAGTTTTTAAAGATGAGGTATTTTGCTTTAAATAATTGTAGTAACAAGTTTTTCAAACAAGATTTATAATTAGTTATTAGAGGAATATTTGATTATTAGAATTAGGATATTTTAAAAAATGGTATTTTGTTAAATTTCATTTGCTATTTCTTCTCTTTAAACAAGTTATATAATGAAAGAAATTAATGACAGTTTAGAATCACCAAGTGGATATATTAGATCTCCTTTTGAAGTTTAAAAAGGTAATTTAAAGAGGTTTTCTTAAATTAAGGCTTAAGGTAATTATGAAATTAAACTAGAATATAGATTTTTTAGATCAACTGCATATTTGCCATCCTCTAATAATTAATTTTTTGAATAAAATTCATATTGAATGTTTAATAAGTTATACACTGAAGTATTTTATGTTTAAATAGCTAAATTCATGAAATATTAGGGTTAAGGAATATTAAGTAAAATTGTTCTAAAATATGATATAGTTTCAAGTGATATTAATGCTTTCTTATATAATTCAATGAATATATCACAAACATTAGAAACAATATTATTTGAATCTGAGTTAATAGTTAAAAATTTCTATAATCTAATAATTAAGTCAGATCTTTCTTTGATATAATGTTTATCATCATTTTCTTCTTAATTTGTGTCTAAAATAATCAATTTTTCAATGATTTCAGATATATGTTTTACTTCAATATGCTTGAAGAGATTTGAAATGATTTTTGGATTTTTTATTATATAATCCCAAAACTATTATAAATGTAATAGATTTTTACATCATGACCTCTTTTATGAATAATGGCTCCAATTATTTTATTAACATAACCAGCTGTAGTTATTATTAGAGTATCATTTTCTAAAACTTAAAGGAAATCACCAAGTAAGTTTTATCTAATTAATTCTTTATTTTATTATTCTAATGATGGTATAGGTTCAGTATATTAATCCTCCAAAGGATTTTATACTTCTTCTTAGTTGTTTTCAATAGGTTTATCAAATAAATAATTAATGAGTTTTTCATTCTCAGAACCAAATACTTCACTTATTATAAATTGATATCTAATGATCAAATAATAAAATTACTTAATGTATATGTTAATATCTTATTATTATGGTTAGACTTCATCAATAATATAGTGGATCATTTTTTAATATTCATTTGGATGTGAGATAATGCTAAAAATATTATTTAAATATTTTACAAATCAGCAAATTTCTCTGAACTTGACATTTTCAATTCTTATAATATATCATCTTCATTTAAGATTGTTTCTAATGTTAGATTCTCTTATTTAAGTAAATTATCTAATTTAGATTGAAAACCAAATCCAAAGAATCGACCAAAACTACTAATAATTCAACAAACATACTTAAAAAACATGAAATGATTTTATTAATTTATTTAATTAATAATAATGTATAAACATAAATAGACTAAATAGTGCTCATAATGTGACAGTTTAGATCCATAATATAATCTAGGAAGTTACAATATAAATATTTAATGTAGAATGTGGACATTAATTTTGTCAAAATTGTTTGTAAACTTTTAAAAGAGATATTGTAAATTCTAAGAAATCATAATTTTCACTTAAATGTCCTATTGAAACATGTAAATAAGAAGTTGATTTGAAGAAACTATTGTAATATTTAAGTTTACCTAATTTATGTAAAAAATGCAATAAAGAATAATAATATACATGTAGTCAATGTATTGTAAAAGAAATTGAAGAAATAGCAAAAATTAATTATTATTCAAAATTATTAAAGTTTGATTAATTGATAGAATTGGAAAACTAATAAGAACTTTGTGAAGATTTAAAAAAATATGAATTAATATGTCCAGTTTGTACAGAATTTAATTAAATTCCTGTAATTGTGTGTTTATAAGGACATGAAATTTGCAAAGATTGCTATTATAATATTAGAAATATAGATTATATAAGATAAGTTTGTCCTATTTGTAAATAAGAATTATTAACAACACCACCAAATAGTCTAAGAGCATAAACACTTATTTAGAATTTAGTAATTAAATGTCCAAAAGAGAATTGTAAATAATAAATTAAATATACTGAATTTGTATAAAATCATTATAGGAAATGTATTATTATTAGTAGTTTTAGGTTGTGAATAAAAATAAGAATGTCCTGATTGTCATGAATAAGTTGAGCAATTGTTTCTAGAAATACATTAAACTAATTATTGTATGGGAAGTTAATGTCCATTGAATTGCAATAGAAAACTTGGAGTAACTTAAACACAATAGTTTAGGATCATCAAAACAATTTTATTATAGAACATTTAATAACTACTATGAGATCTAGCGGTGTGTCACATTCATTTTTACATAGAATTTAAGTTGTTGAAAAATTTCTATTTTATGGATCTTTTGGAGTATGTCCAGATTGTGAAGTTTCTTTTGCTTGGTAAGTTGATATTAGAGGTGTTTAATCAACATTTTGCTTTTAATGTTTTAGATTCACAGGATGATTAAATATAAATTTATATATAATTTATGAAAATTAATTCAGAATTAATTCAAGGTTCACACCATTTCATTAATCCATTAAATGAAAGACAATTAGATTTAAGAGGTATCTTTAATCTTTATATGTAAATAGCCAAGAAAATAACAGCAATTGAAAATTTAGGAGCCACTTTAGTATCATCATTCTTTATTATAGGATTTTTTTGATCATATTGATTTAGGTGACAATGATATCAAGAAATTAGGAAATCTAACTTTATTGAAAAGGTATATTACTAAATTTATATATTAGATTAAAAACTCTAAATTTATCCAATAACAGAATTACGAAATTGACTGATATTTCAGACTCATTACCCAATATTGAAAACTTAATTCTGATGAACAATAGACTTACAGATATTAATGAAATGTATTAATTAAGAAATTGCAAAAAGTTAAAGCGCTTGATTTTGCATGGTAATCTAATCACTTAATAACCTGATTATCGCTATAAAGTTATAGCCATTTTACCTAATCTCAAAGTTTTAGATTTTAATAAAGTGACATTGGCAGTTAATCATATATCATTATATTTTAGGAACGTGAAAAAGCAGTGGAATCCTTTAAGCCTGATGAATTGACAGATTATATGAATTTGGTTAATTTAAAAGATGCCACCATAGATAAAAATCATATTAAGAAATTACTTGAAAATGCAAAGACTTTTGATTAAATTAATTAATTAGAGATGTTGCTTAAATAATAATAAGTAAAAAATCTATCAATCCTTAATGATTAATGATTATCAAATATATCTATTAAAATTTTATATTATTAACAAAGTTTAAAAAAAATCATTGATATAAATAATCTACATATATTCAACTATCTTAATCTCCTTCTTATATTTAATTCCTAATATAATCTTTTATAGATCTAATCCTTAAAATAATTTTTAAAGGTATCATCAATATCATAGCTCTTGTACTCCATATATCCTTTGCCATCTTCAAAGCTAAAGGCAACCATAATAAAAAGTATATTACAAATAGTAATACTTCAAAAAGTATAAATATTGCTAATCTTTATAATTTTAAATTTCCTAATTCATTATTAAGACCTTCAATAAATTAATTAGTTAAATATCTAAATGCATCTAAATTAATTAATAAATATTTCATTACTTTTAAAATAATGATGTTATATTTCTCGATTTTCTTTGCCATGTAAAAAATTGTTAAGATTTAAAATGAAATTTGTACTGTTATCATTATCTTTTGTAATGTTTCTAAATGTAGCAAAACCTCTAGCAAGTAATGTAAAATTTGCCTTTGGATTATCATAAAATTGATCATAAATAGTTTTTAAATATCTTGCATTTTCAAAAAACCTTGGAACACCAACATTTAAACCCTATGAAAAACCACTATCCATTGCTAAAGAACAAGACTATGCATCAATTGACTAATCTTATTCTATCACTATTTTACAAGGATCTTCAATATATAATGAATTAAATGCATCAACATAGTTTGGTTATAATAAATCAATATTTAATGAATGAAGTTATTACATATAAGAATTATGAGAATATAGCTCATCCTAATTTTCAACTACACTATCATAAGAGTCTTTTTCAAGTATAGACATATTCCTAGAATAGAATAATGATCTTTAACATATTTCAACAAATCTATAAAATTACTCAGTTCTTGCTGTCAAATTAAATTCAATACTGAGAGTATGGATATTTTCAATAGATGCTCCACTTATAAAATATGTCAAAATAAAATAGCCTTATATTAGTATTAAGATGAAAATTATAATATATATAAAATACCTATATTCTTTATTAGCATTTTTATATTTCTTTTTTGTTCTTTTTGATTTTAAAGTCTTTTGTAATTAAGCATTTTCTTCTTTATCTATATTTTCATCATTTTCAGACATTAAATCATCATCTTCTCCAATTTGTAGATTTGTAAGAAAATTTTCACTTTTATGATATAAATATCTAATAGTTTTATCAGGAATATCCAAAAATAAACTTACTATCTCACTTTGTGAACGAGATACAGATATGAGAGCAATTATTAATAGAAAGAGTCCTATATTAATAGTTGATATAGAAACAGCCAATAATACTACAAAGATACTAATCTTTTCCATTGTCTTTGATATTAAATTATCAATTAAATTATTTGATGATTCTTTTAAATACAATTATAAACCATTAAGCCAATTTCTAATAACAAAATTAACATCTGAATCTTATTAATTTATTAAATTTAATTTCTTATCTCTTATAGACAATGATTTACTAAGAATCTATTAAATAGCTTAATTCAAATCATAATATTCAAATTAACCATCAATGTTAATTTACATTTAAACATTTTTTAAGCCAAATTCAAATTCATAATTAGATTATGTTAAACTACTTGCCTTAGATACAATTTCTTGATTCAATATGTTTACATAATTTATAGAATCATTTATATTAGATCTCTATTCTAATTCATATATTTTAGCTTAATCCGCTGTTAAATTGAATACATTCCTATTTAATAACTATAAATTAAAAATTGAACTTAAAATAATACCTAATTCACTATTTCTAAAGTTTCCATCTTTTACTAATAAGATTGTATTAAAAATTTCATCTGTTTAATTAATAGTAATAAAATAATCAATGAAAGAGAGTGTTAAAATTATTAAAATTATTATATTACTAATCCATTTAACTTTTACAATAACTCTAGGTGTTACATTTGATGTAATAATACTTTCTAAGTTTTTTCTAGAACGAAAAATGTTATTTTCTATTTATTCTTAATCATTTAATGGATTTAAATCTTATTATACTTAGAATACGCTTTCTTTCTCTTCATCCTCAGATATATCATTATCTTTATCATCTATTTCTTAGATTTGATTTTAGAAAAGACGTAGAACCCTAATATTTTCAGCATAATTTATGATTGGTTTATCATGATCTGATAATCTTATTGTTCTACGTCTATTTGATTCTTAATGAGTAGTTTCATTATTAATTTAATTCGAAGACCCTAAAGAAGATTAATCAACTTAATCCCATAATATACTTTGAGATAACTTTGAATTATTCTCATCAACAAATTCACCCAAATATAATTTCTAATTTACTATATATTTAAATTAAAGATTCTATTAAACTTATTTTTAGGGTAATAAAAGTTCTTTTGAATTCTAATTTCCTTATTCACATAATTCCAATTTTATATAAAATCCCATAACTTCATTTGTGGTAATATTAATTATCTCTCTAACAATGCAGATAAATTCTTATTCTTTTTCAACAATATTTTGATTAAGTAATTAAAATTAATTAACAAAATTTTCTTATTCATACTTTATTTTTCCTCCAAATTTTGTCATATAAATTGAAAGATTTTCAATAAATTCAGGAAACAATAAATCTAATCTTATTTTTTTATTAGTTATATATTTATTTTCTATTCCTAATAATTAAATTGCTGTTGCTGATATAGAATCAATAATATATTCTTAATCTACTATCAAATAACAACTAGGTTTGAAAGCCTTGACAGTAATAAATTAAGCTGCTAAATTTACATTTTCATCTATAGTATGTAAAATTCTCAAAACGATATAACAAGGTAAAATATAATTTTGTTTATCTTTAAGGAATATGAATCTATCTTTATTAATATTCTTTATATCACTTGTAAGAAGAAATCTCTCAATATATTAATCATGAAACTTCTAAAATAAATTTGGCATAAATAAATTAATTTTTCTATTGATAATTTCCTATTTTGTATATCCTATAAGGTGACAACAAGATTAATTAAGAGTTATGACTAAAGCAAATTTTTCAATAGATGTTGATACAATAACTGTTGCCTATTGTTCAAATCCTATTTCATCTCCTCCAATAAACTAAATAATTTATTTTTTTCTTTATTATATTTATTATTAATATAATTCTGATTTTTTTAATAACTATTCTCCATAATCTTCATCTTATAATACATCATTTATGAATTATCCATATAATCTCATAGCCTTAGATATATTAGAGGAAGCCTTCTATATTTTAATCCATAATTAATCAATTAAATTCAATAATTTATTTATCTTCTGACCAATTAGATATACTTTAGCAAGATCTGGAAAGTCTTCTTGTAGAATTGACCAAAACTCCATTTAAGATAAAGTTGTTTATTCTATATATTATAATAATTATCTATAATTATTTTGAAATGATATTTCTGATGCAACATCTACTTTTCCAAAGTTTTCATTTTAAAAGGAATCTAATTATTCTTAAATAATAAACTTCTTTCTTAAAATTATAAATTCTTCATCAAAAGATGGACTCAATTATTCAGCCTATGTAAGTTCATTAAATGCTTATTATAATTATCTCATATAATCAGACAATAGGAAAGAGTATCTAATTCTTAAAGTAACTGATTCTGGAAATCTTTTAATTTAATTATAATAAATTTATCCTAATACAAATATTAAATCTGTTTCTCTTTCTGTTAATGTTGAATCCCTTAATAATGAATTAGTTAATCTAATATTAGGCTAATTTTTAATTTTGAGATAACAATCTTCTCTTACACAAGTAACTCTATGAATTTCTAAATATCCATCTATTATAATTTAAGCATCAGAGTCTGTCTTAATGAAATGCAATAATTTGATAAGATAATTAGTTTAATTGATTATTTCTTAAACATCACTTACCTTTGAATGATTAATTAGCAATAATTCAAAATTTAACTTATCCATTTTAAATACTGTTAATATTAACAAAGGCAATCCTGAAATAAAAGCATAAATGATGCCACTAAAAATTACTTTCTCTAAAAACATTGAACAACATAGTAATAAGGTTCCCCAAACATTTAAGGTAACAGTAATAGACCAAAATTTTTATATAATCTTTTGATTGTATGGTAATTCTGTATGAAATTTCTAAAAGATTATTAAACTTCCACCTAAAAGTAATATGATTTAAAAGTATTAGTTATCATTTCCATCAACTAATTTTTGAAAAGTAGTTTGGATTAGTTCATATGTAAATAATACAATTAATGGTCTTCCACTCATCTTTGAGTTTGGATCTGTGGGTATATATTTTGATTCAAAATACAACATTGAAAAACATACACAATAACAATAGAATAATATTGAGAATATAATTGCCACTATTCCATGGAGAATATGTGTATCAACCCAACATTCTTAGTCTTAAAATTAATTATGAACATAAACTCCATTTTCATCAAAACCACAGTCAATTATTGATATGAATACATCAATAATTGGTAAATAAAGGATTGATAAGAATAAATTGATCAAGATCTTTAAACCTTTTTTTATCCAATTATTTTCTTATTTCTTTTTATTTAGTCCTAATCCTATAAAAAAAGTTAACATCGTTGATAAAGTAAATATTCCAATACAAAGATAGAGCAATATAATAAGCGATGAGTAATTTGATGAATTAGTGTATGGTGAGAGGAGGAAACACCTAAAATTTCTAATTAAATTTATACGAGAGAAAATAGCTGATCGCATCTGATACAGGTTGATTTTTCCAAATATTCTAAATCTTTGAATTGAACATTAAATAAGTGAGCTAAAAATATTAGATTATAATTGCAAGACAGCTTGTTGTTAAGGGTTATTAATCTTCATGTAATAATTATGAGGTCACAGTGAAAATTAAATTCTTAGCTCTATCAACATATAATTGAAATCCGTTCCTATCGGATACTCTTTTACTAAAATTTGATTGTAAATCCATTTTAATATTGAATATTTAAAATTGTCATTATTTATAATATCTGCTCTTTATTTATATTGAATATCATTAAGGTTTAAATTTTATATAAAGTTTGAAATAAATTATCGTTTTATGTTAAAAACTATTCATCTTGGATGCATAATACTAAGGAATTATTTATCTATTTTTAGTCAATTATTTATTAACATAAAATTAACTCGAATAAAATTAAAATATTTTATTAAATAAAATTAATATAGTAGAGTTCAAGGAATAAATTACATCTTTTCTAATTATTAAAAAATAATATCATTATTACCCTTTTTAATTGTAATCTATATCATTACCAAGATACTCATTATTATCTCCTTTATCTTTCTAATAGTAAAGTGATTAGAGCATTAAAAAAATGTTAACGAACAAAAAATTTACTCTGTTTTATAAGAACAAAGAAATAATCAATATCTTTAAAATCTCACTTATATATATTTATAGATTATATTGTGATATGATATTTTAAATATATTAACAACCAATTAAAATCAAATAAGAAGATCTACTTATAATTACATTTCACTATCAAATAGGGCTTAATATAAATTAAAATTATAATTTATTTGTTTATTCTATTTACACCATTCTAATAGCTATTGTTAATCTTTTTTATTAAGAACCATTAATAATTATTAATCTTATTTAACTTAAAGATATCTAATTATGAGTAATAGAGTCTTTTTTTGTAATTCTTATTTCATAATGGGAATTAAGTGATTTTTACAATAAATATTGGTTAAATGATAGAATAAGTTATTTTGTTACACTTCTTTAAAGTTTAAAATCACTGATATTGATTTTTCTTTATTATCATGAGTAACCAAATGATTTAAGACATTTTAATTAAATTTTTGAAAAATGTTATTAGCAATATGTGCTTAATGATAATTAGGTAAATTAAACACTGATAAAAGTTTAAAAGTACAATTAAAACTAGATCATAATTAATTTATAAATACCTTTTCTAATAAAGTTATATGATATCTGAATAATAAGTTGCTTAGTTTTTATTGGTATTCCATACATTTTATTGAAAATACATTTTAAAGCATTTTTAAATGCAAATCTTAACACAAATCTCAATAATTTCATCTTTTTGATTTTAAGGTATAAGTTGATGATTTGCAATCAACTCAAGAAATGATTTAATTTTATTCTTTAAATTTTTTGTTGGAGTTGATAATAAATTTGCAGCAATTTTAGCAGATTTTATTAAAAGTACTTCATCTTTGATTGTTTGAAACAATTTTATCATTTCATCATAGTTTTAATTTTTTATGGCATTCATAATCTTTTCTTCATTATCTTAATATTAATTTTCTTATTCAATGGATTCTCCTTTTAAATTAGTAATAGCCATCTATAATTATACTCCAATATTTTCTAATATTTTATATTATTCATTAGTGTTATTGATCTATTTACGAAGTTGAATTTTCTTATTATGTTACTCCATACAAACATTAATATTCTCTTCTAAATATTTAGTCATATCATGTGATGTTTTATGAATTTGACTATTGATTTAACTCACAATATAAGGTAATTAGTGTAAAGGTGTTTATAGGACTCTTTCAGGAAAAGGATGTGAAATCATAAATATATATATATAAATAATAATAATAAAGTATTATGCATTATAATATTGATTATATGCTTTTAAGAATAAATTAAGTGATCATTTATATGAATTACTTAATTCTTTATCATTGATAATAGTTTAATGATATAGATAGATGATAAAAAAAGAGAAATATTTGATAAATATATATATTTACAAAAAATATAATGATTTTTGAATATTAGATTTCATCATTCATCTCTAATCATTATCTTCAAAGTAATGGCTAAAAGTGTTATTAAAATATTTGATATATCACATAAAAAAATCAATATGGTTAATATTTAATAAAATTCCTTAATATTTCTAATGGTTTTACATATCTTAAAAGATCTTTATAGTGCCTTAAATTGTAACTTATTAGAAATTATAGTTGATTTACATTAAATTTATTAAAGTGAATTGTAATTTTTTATATTTTCATTATTTATTCTATCTAAATACTTACTACTAATGTCACATAAAGAGGTTGAAAACTAACCAATGCATGGAAGTCCTCCAGATTAGTAATTGGCTGAAGGACCTATAGAAAACCGTTAATGTCGTGATTTCATTTGCTTAATTTTATTTGTTGGAGCAACTGTCGCATTTGTTGTAATTATATCAATGGGATTCAATCAAGGGAAACCAGAAAGATTAAGTTATGCGTAATATTAATATTCTAATGATAGTTATGACCCTAATGGCAGAGCATGTGGACATGATGATGGAGTTTTTAATGCTCCTTACATCTATTTAGTAGCACCTTTAGTAGGTTATCTAAACAGATCAGTTTGTGTTACTAAATGTCCGAATTGGCAGGAGGGAGGAAAATAACCAACACGGTAAAACAAAAATTTGAATTTTAGTTTAGAATGTGTTGTAAATAAAGTTATAACAAACTGTTCTGAAAGATATTCATATGATGGAGTGACTGATATAAGAGATTTCGATACAAATTATTTGATTAATTCAGATAATTATGCCAATACACCATCAGTTGAAAAATTATTTAACTATTCAACATTTATTTATAATTCAACTAGTGTTTTAGATAGATTGTGTATACCAGCAGGTGATAAATATGTTGAAAAGATATATGGAAATATGGATGATATAGCATCTGTTTAAATGTAATCTTAATATATATTTAAAGATTTTAATAATGGGTGGCTGATATAAGATTGACATATAAAATTATCTTTGCATCAGTTGGAATAGCATTTGCAATTGGATTATTTTATATGTTAGTTATGAGATATTGTGCAGGTACATTGACATGGACAGCCATTTTTTTATATTTTGTTTGTATTGTACTTTTTATTATTTATCTAAACGATAAAGCTAATGCTTAGTAAAATAATTTTTATTTATGATTTTAATAGCAAGACTAGAGCAGCACTTAATACAGCTTAAGGTATAGCTGATTCAGATAACTAAGACTTGTAGACTTATTATGGTTTGAAAGGTTCTATGATTGGAATGTGTATAATAGNACATATCTTAAAAGATCTTTATAGTGCCTTAAATTGTAACTTATTAGAAATTATAGTTGATTTACATTAAATTTATTAAAGTGAATTGTAATTTTTTATATTTTCATTATTTATTCTATCTAAATACTTACTACTAATGTCACATAAAGAGGTTGAAAACTAACCAATGCATGGAAGTCCTCCAGATTAGTAATTGGCTGAAGGACCTATAGAAAACCGTTAATGTCGTGATTTCATTTGCTTAATTTTATTTGTTGGAGCAACTGTCGCATTTGTTGTAATTATATCAATGGGATTCAATCAAGGGAAACCAGAAAGATTAAGTTATGCGTAATATTAATATTCTAATGATAGTTATGACCCTAATGGCAGAGCATGTGGACATGATGATGGAGTTTTTAATGCTCCTTACATCTATTTAGTAGCACCTTTAGTAGGTTATCTAAACAGATCAGTTTGTGTTACTAAATGTCCGAATTGGCAGGAGGGAGGAAAATAACCAACACGGTAAAACAAAAATTTGAATTTTAGTTTAGAATGTGTTGTAAATAAAGTTATAACAAACTGTTCTGAAAGATATTCATATGATGGAGTGACTGATATAAGAGATTTCGATACAAATTATTTGATTAATTCAGATAATTATGCCAATACACCATCAGTTGAAAAATTATTTAACTATTCAACATTTATTTATAATTCAACTAGTGTTTTAGATAGATTGTGTATACCAGCAGGTGATAAATATGTTGAAAAGATATATGGAAATATGGATGATATAGCATCTGTTTAAATGTAATCTTAATATATATTTAAAGATTTTAATAATGGGTGGCTGATATAAGATTGACATATAAAATTATCTTTGCATCAGTTGGAATAGCATTTGCAATTGGATTATTTTATATGTTAGTTATGAGATATTGTGCAGGTACATTGACATGGACAGCCATTTTTTTATATTTTGTTTGTATTGTACTTTTTATTATTTATCTAAACGATAAAGCTAATGCTTAGTAAAATAATTTTTATTTATGATTTTAATAGCAAGACTAGAGCAGCACTTAATACAGCTTAAGGTATAGCTGATTCAGATAACTAAGACTTGTAGACTTATTATGGTTTGAAAGGTTCTATGATTGGAATGTGTATAATAGGGGGATTATCTTTGTTAGGATTGTTATGTTACTTTAATAGGATTAGAATGGCAATTGCTGTTATAAAGACAGCTGCATTATTTGTGATGGAAGTACCCTCAGTTATGTTAGTTCCTCCAGTTTTCTCTCTTTTAGTTATGGGATATTGGGGATTATGGATCATTTCATTTTTTTATATCTATTCAATGGGAGATGTGAAAGGAAGTAGTGATACACCTTTGGCTACAGTTGAATGGAATGATAACATACGTTATTATTTGATTTATCATTTATTTTATGGATTATGGTCTAATGCTCTTCTTTAGGCATTCTCCTAATTTATTTTGGCATCATCTGCTTGTCTTTGGTATTATATAATATTAAATATATAGGTTTTATTAACGTAGTGATGGATAATTGATTCATTTTTATGTTTTGGAATCTGTGAAAAGATCTATTATTTATCATTTTGGTTCATTAATTTTTGGTGCATTATTATTGGCCATAGTTCAATTCATTAGGTTTTGGTTAGAATATATCAATTATTAAATGAAATAATTTTAAGGAGATCCAAAACAACCAATGAAATGTTTTATAGATTGTTTAAGATGTTATGCATCTTGTTTTGAAAGATTTGTGTCCTTTATAAATAAAAATGCATTTATTTAGATTGCTTTAACAGGAGATAACTTTCTAACTGCAGCAAAGAATGGATTTTATTTAGCTTGGAATAATGCAGGATAGTTTGCTGTAACATCTGGAATAGGAAGTGTATTTTGCACTCTATGTAAATTATTTATTGCATTTTCTACAACTTTTCTATGTTATATGATTATAACAACATCTGATGCTTATAAAGATTAATTGAATTCTCCAATCGTACCCACAATACTATTCTTTATTATTTCATATGTGATTGGAGATCTTTTCATGTCAGTTTATGGAATGTCAATTGATGCTATTTTATAATGTTCAATTACTGAATTAGAATTAATTAAGGCAAATCCTGGTTTATTGAAGAAAAATAGAGCCCCTTAACCTATATAAGACTTTTTGGAAGAACATAAAAAATAATGATACAATTAAATTATATATATTTATAAACATTATCATCTATAGTGTAAGTTTATGATTTATAATTATTAATATACTAAAATATATATATATCTATTTCATCTATAATCATTTAGATTTTAGTATTAGATTTTTTTATAATCATATTAATTTTATCATATACTAAAAATTTGAATTTTTATTTTATTATTATATAAAAATTGCAAAAATATAAATATTTTCAATTATGAAATTAAATACCTAATATGTATGTAAATCACAATTGATTTTTTTGGATAATTCATTTGAGTTCTATTGTTTTCGGGTGAAAATGCCTAAGAAAATATATTTGAAAATGAAATACACAAATATTCCCATTTTTATTTTATCATATTTACTATGTAGAGAACTATCTGTTTTTTGATTCTCACTTATTTCAACACTATCAAAATCATAATAATGCTATTATTCTTCATTTAAAGGTTCTTCACAAATTGATTTCTAATAATTAGGATTCAGAGATTAGCAATAATTAATACTACTTTATTAAGTTAGACTTGAATTTTTACGAATATCATCTCTTTGGAATGCATTTCGAGTAGAACCTATAGGAGGAGGAGCCAAAAGATTAGTAGAACTGAATAAATATCAAAAGGATACCAATGTTATATAAGACCAGATAACTATTTTTCAATAGACTTTTTCATTTCATTAGAATTGAGTGGAATATTATTACGACTTATATTCTAATTGGTATCTGTTTGATAATGAGTAGATGACTTAGTTTCTGTCCAATCAAAATTACCATCTATAATGATATTCATAGTATCTGCAGCTCTTTTTAATTCATGCAATATCATTTTGTAATTAGGCTCTTATTTAAATTGTAATTTCCTTATAGAACTATAATATCTTAATAATATTTTTACTCAAATATCCTTTAAAACTCTCCTGTCTAATCTTTAAATAATTCACGTTCAAGTGATAACTTCATATCCCCAACTTTCTTTGTTCTTTCATCATCAGAGACATTAATCATATTCTACCATGGTAACTATCTTTATTAGTAAATAATATAATACCCACGTAAAAAGTATAACAATATATACATTAAAGACTCAAGATCATCTTTTCTTCCTAACTCATGTCCTAAATGTGCAGCAATAGATGCATATCTTGTAGTTCCTAAAAAGGATTTCTATTCTTTAAAAGTTCTAATTATTAATTTCTCTATCTTACATATGTTTCCCATTTGAATCTCTATATATTTTGCTTATGCCAAAATCAATTAAGTATAATTTTGAGATGTCTCTACCTATACCAAAAATAATATTTTCTGGTTTTAGATCTCTATGAATAACACCTTTCTAATGAGATCGCTCTAAAATCTATACAGCTTGTATTCCAATAGTCAAGACTGATTTTAGTGAGAATTTCTTAAATTGTTTAGAATGGTAAGCTAAATCCTTTCCCAACAATTAAATTACCAATATATTATAACCTTAATCTTAACCAGACCAAAGATATTTAGGAAACCCTTCTATTCCATCTAATTTTTTTAAAATCTACACTTCTCTTTCAAGTGAACGAACTTCCTCATTTTCCTCTTTCTCAATTTTTATTGCTACTTCTTATTTTGTCAATAAATCAATTCCCAAAAAGACTACACCAAATGAACCTGATGAAAGTTTCTTTAATATCTAATATTGATTATTGAAAATCTTTTAATTTTAAGATGTCTTCTAATGCATATTTAATTTTCTTTAAATAAATGAATTATTATTTATTTATCTACATAAATAACCATATGTTAAACTACATTTTGATACAAATATTACACTTTTTCTTTAATGAATTTATAGATATTAAAAAGTATGTGATTTTCAAGAAAAAATAATTATTTTTTTTAATTTTAACTCATATTATCAGAAAATTTAATAAAATGTAAATAATTTTGACAATTAAAGAATTCTAATTTCTTAAAATTAAGAATAATAATGAAATACTATTAATAAATTGAAACATCATTTAAATTCTTAGAGTTTCTAGGTCAAAATTTGATAACTTTAAATTTATTAAAATAATTAATAATTTCATTACATAAAGTAATTGTAGTTAACAAATTTTATAAAGAGTAGATATTTGAAATTCTTATATAAATTTTATTAGTTTTTAAAAAGAAGCATAGAAATAATTTGTTTTTTCATCATTTTAGATTAATTTGAATGTTGAAGTAATGACCTATATCTAAAGTTTGATTATTTAAAAAATTTGATTTTTTTATTTTTAATTCTTATTAGAATAAGTAATATTTTATTTATAAATATGTTTGAATTCATCCATTTGATTTTTTAATTTAATATAAATCAAAATTTATTTATTTAATAATTATAACTATTCATAAGATAAAATTTAGAAACATTTGAAATTATATCTTAATAATTCATTATCATATAATTTTGAAATAAAAAATTCTTAATAATTTACACATTAAAAATTGAATTATATAATTGATAAAATGGATTATTTTGAAATTTATTTCATTAAAAATGTTAAATCAACTTCAGTTAATTATTATGTATATTTAATAATATATAAATTATAATGCTTCTAATTATTAGTAACTTCAATAATTCATATATTAAATATTTATATATTAATTATTTAATCATGAATAATTACAGACACATAGATGGAGATAGTGGATTGATGACATCATAATTTCATTTTGGAGATTCACCTAAGGCTATTATTGATTACAGTCAAAGTGAAAGAATTGAGACTCTAATTTAGAAAAATATCATGAGATCAGAAATTAAAAAACACCAAAGAGCCGAATCTAAGGGCTTAATAGAACATTCAAATATGCAATTAAATGGCCATTTGTTACCATAAATAACTTTAAATTGTTAATCTTCAGCAGTATTTGATTAAATAGCACTTGAGCTTAAATAATAGTATTTGAATTTGCATAAATATTTTCAAGTAACTACTCTTGTATATTGAGAGAAGCAAATCAAATGATGTTTCTCCAAACTAAGATTGATTCATTTTGCTAAAAGATTATTAAAAATGCCTGTACTCCAACTTATATAGCAAGTTAGAGCAACAATAGTCTTATTTTAGTAAAATATTCAAAATAAAAGCTTAAAATCGATGCTTTATCTGGAGTAAACTTATTAATTAAAAAGTTAGAATTATAAATAAAATGAAGATGTATTATTATCAGTTTGTACTGTGGTTAAAAGATATAATCAAATTAATAAGGATTTTGAACCTATAGATGATTTGAGCCATATCAATCCTTTTGCTATTACAGCTATTTCAATGAATAGAATATATGATTATTTGGATGATAATTAAGAGTTTAAATAAAAGTTGGATTCTATTTTAAAAGATATTGATTCAATAGCCAAACCAAAAAAATAATAATTGTAGAAATACATGTAAGAGAGTTCTTAATTGGTTCTTGATACATTTTAATAGTTTAAATAAAAAAAGGTGAAATATGATTAACAATATTATTTAATGGCAATAGAGAAAGTGGTTTTTGAATCAGTTTATGATAAGCTATTTCATTTTTATATTGATTTCAATGAAAAGAATGAAAATCAATTTAACATCAAAAAGTATTGATAAATGAAAATAGAGATAACAAATAATTGCCCAGTGTAGTGAACATGATACGATGGAATTCTTGGAAATAAAAAATAAATATAGATTAAATCAATAATATTGGAATGGAATAGCTGAATTAAATAAGGTGGATAAATCTACAAATCCTAGGGATAAACTTAGATCAATATAATAAATGTAATGTTTAATAAAATGTATAGAATTAATATAATATTATTATTAGCATTAATATATGAAAATAGTAATTGTGAATTAGCAACTATGGATGATGAATTACCAGTTATGATCTACATCATCTTATATAGTGAATTTTAGAATAAATTTGCATCTATTCATTATGTAGATGATTTCTGTAACACTGATCCAACAATAGAAACTGGAAAAAGAACAGTAACAACTTTGAGAGTGTCTTTAGAATATATTGCTAATGAATGGAATATTTGATAATTGATATCAATATTTTGATAAAATTAAAATAAATGTCTGAAAAAAAAATTAGAAAGAAATACCATGATAAAATAGACTTTAAATTAGATCTTCCAGACACAAATAATAAAAAAGAGAAAGCCAGATAGAGTGCTAAAAATACCAGATAAAGAAAGAAGGCATACATTGAAAGTTTAGAGTAAAAGGTTTAAAAATTAATAAAAGTGTGAGGTGGCTTAATTGACAGCTCAATTAAATTAAAATAAGAAAGTAGAATCCAAACCTAGTCTAATGTAATTAATGGAACAGTTTTTGATTGATAGAAAATAATAATTTGATATGTTAGAAAAAGCATATTAAGAAGGAAATGAAGCTAGTATAAAAGTTATTACGAATTCATTAAGATTTAAATATGGTATATCTGGTCAAGGTCGTTTGATGGCAATAAATAAAGTATTTGAATTACTTATAGATTTATTATTGCCTATGCATATGAGATATCTCTTTTGGGTTGCTTCAGAAGGTAAGCAAAATATAATAAATATATATAGATGTTGATATTTTTAAAAGAGAAAGATAATCTGGTGAATTTTATTCATTTGATATGAGTGATAGCTAAATAAATTGCTTAAATTCATTTGGATTAGATGATGATTAAATTCTAAAAATATAAAATATGCAATAGATAATATAAGAATAAAGATCACATTATGATAATTTAATAATAGAAATTTATAAAATACAATAATCAATAATCAAAGAGAGTGAAAAATGTCAAACTATAGTAGATGAAATATGGGATGTTCTAGAACCAAAATAAGCAGCAGGATTATTAATTACATTAGATAAGGCAAGTTTATTTTATAAAAATAGAGTCGTATTGAATAATTTAGAGAGAAGAAAGTATATCCTGATTGTGTAATATTAACACTTTAAAAGAGGGCAAAAGAAGAAATTTAAAGATAATAATAATGTTCTTATTTTGACATGAAAAAAGAACAAAAATAAGAGGAATTAGGATTGAATAATTATTTTTAAGTAGACTATAATAATTGATTAATTATAAATGGATTTAATTAAAATATTTATTATTCAATAAAGATCATTTACTTTATATTTATTGAAGACTATTGCAATCTTAAATATTTGGTATAACACTAATTGAAGGAATTTATTATTGAGAGGGTTGGACAGATGTCTTTTCACTTTAACATTTAGGTCTCAATGATTTAGAATCTAAATATTATATTCCATATCTTTAAACATATATTCTTTCTTCTGCATCAATAATATCATTAATAGCATAAAGTAATTTACTTTCAAGATCACCTTTTTTTTACTTAATTTTATTATAATTTATTCTTACTTTATGGAATTTTGGTTCTAATTGAATGAAACTTTTAATTCTTTATAAAAGTTAATATTGAGGATTTTCAGCTGCTTTATGTCTAGATAGAAGTATGAAATAGAATTCTATCTAGTATTTAATAAGATACTTATGGTTGCATCATATTCAACAATGAATTGTCCGAATTTGCTTTGTATACAAAATATTTGAGATGTTTTTTACGTTGTTTCTAATAAAATGTTTTCAATTCTAACTCTTTCTTCAATCCAAGTTTTATCATTATTAAAACCTTTCCTTACAAACATTAGAAAATACTATTTATTTTTATCATACAACATAAAACCTTTGAATACTTTCATATATTATTCATCCAATAATTATTTGCTTGAAAAACTTTATATTTCATTATTTTCACTTGATAGTGTTGTACAAGTTAACATTTTTTAATATTATTAATCAACTAAATTAGGTTTTAAACTTGAATATTTAGAATTATTGAAAGTGTTATTCATTTTTAATTGTTCTTCTTTAGTCTTTATCAAATTTTCTACTTTAAACTTTTCCAAAGCTTCAAGCTCTTAGATTTTGAGCTGACTTATATAACTTAAAGTTTACATTTTTATAGTTTTGGACCTCACATAAATATGCATATATGGAAAGTAAAAGCTCTGCTTAAAAAATGTCGTCTACATATTCATGCGATATCAATATCAACAATCGATCTATACATATTAATTAAATAATACTTGTAAAATAATCATATTTGCCTCTCACTTTACCTAATAATGAATGAGTGAAAAAGACCTTCTCTTCTATTACATTTTATTCTATAATCTAATGCTGAATCTCTTTTATGGTCTATTACCATAAAGAATTAAATTCAATATCTCTTCTTAAAAGCAAATAAAATTAGCTTAACTCAATATCATATATGGCAAAAGCTCTAAAACAATTCATAAGTTTATGATATAAATTTAATTCTTTTTTTTTTTAATCAAGAAAGAAATTACTTTAATATCAATTTATAATCAATAAAATATTTTAAACTAATTCTTAATATCTTCATATCTCAAACACTATTATAATTCAATAATATTAATTAAATATATTTTCTTTTATAAAGATGATGTGCTTTTAATATAATGGTGGTAATGATAGATGTATAAATGGAAGATTTGAAAAAAAGATAGATGGAAAATGGGTTTAAGTTAATTAGGGATAATAAATAAAGTAAGCTATTCAATAGGTTAATTATAATGATGATTAAGAATAATTTAAAATTCAAAACTAAGAAGAAGAACAACCATAACAATTCTAAGAGGGTAATAAGGAATAAACAAAAGATGTTTAATAAGAGGAATAAATATAATCTTAAAAAGATTCATCATGAAATATATAATATGGATTATTAAAAAAAATGTATTCCAAATGTATATAATTTATTATTAATTATTATATGGATTTTGTTAGAAAATATTTTTAAGATCTAAAAAATGTATTCTACTATAAATTTTGGATTATTTGACTCTTGATTTTATTTAAATTAATAAAAAAATGATTTAAATGAATGTAGCTATTCTAAAATGATATTAATAAAGATATTGATTATATATTATTCAAATTATATGTATCTGCAATAATAATTCCAAAAATATAGTAATAAAAATTAATTAAAAAATATATGTACATTTGATTAAAGTAGTATAATTATCATACTAAAAAATTTGAAGGTTAATTAAATTTTTAATTAATTATAATACTAAATTCTTAGTTCATGAACGGGGAGGATTTCAGGAGTAAATTAAGGGAATTTCATTTAAGAAGTAAAGAATAAAGTACACAGGATTCAAGAGTTATTTTAGAGGATGAAAAAAAGATGAATAATGCCTGTTGTGTAAAATTATATTTAGAGGATCATACAATAGGTATATAATTATTATTAATGTCTTTTTAAGGTAATTTAACTAGAATGAACCTATTAAAGTAAAAGGAAGTGACATTTTCTGGATATAGACAGATTCATCCACTTTAACATACTATAGAGATTAAGGTTCAAACTAATGGATCTATCAAACCATATGATGCTATATAAAAAACACTTTCAGATTTGATTGATGAATTCAAAAATTTAGAAGAAGAATGGGCAAAAAAGGTTGCTGAAAAAGAGAAACATTAAATGAAATTAGAAATATGAATAATATTATAAATAATATACATGTAATAATAGAATGTAATTTAAGATGGACAATCTGTTGACGAAAACATTTTAAAACTCTATCAATTATTAGAATTTAAAGGAAAAGGTGCTTATGGAGTTATTTGGAAAGCAATGGATCGATAGACTAAGAAAATTGTTGCTTTGAAAAAGGTTATTAAAAATAGGTATCATGAAGGTTTTTGATGCTTTTTCAAATGATACTGACGCATAGAGAACATATCGAGAAGTTATTTATCTATAATAATTGACGTAGCATGAGAACATAGTTAAATTGCTACACATTCACAGAGCAATTAATATGAAAGACCTATATATGACATTTGAATATGTAGAATCAGATCTTCATAAAGTATAAATAAGACTTATGTTAGGTCATAAGAGCAAATTTACTTGAAGGATAACATGTAATATACATCCTTTACTAAATATTGAAATGTCTCAAATATATTCATTCAGGAGGTTTAATTCATAGAGATTTGAAGCCATCAAATATATTAATAGATTCTGAATGTAAAATTAAATTGGCTGATTTTGGATTGGCAAGATTGGCAACTGATATAGATGAATTTACAGTAATGACAGATTATGTTGCTACAAGGTGGTATCGTTCTCCAGAGATACTTTTAGGATCTCCTATTTATAATAATTCTGTTGATATGTGGAGTGTAGGTTGTATATTAGGAGAAATGGTTCTATGTAAATCTATCTTTACTGGTTAATCAACCTTAAATCAATTAGAAAAAATTGTAGAGGTTCTTGGTAAGCCATCATAAGAGGATTTAATACAGATAAATGCTCCAATAGCTGATAAAATATTTAGAGAAATATAGATGCCTAGAAGAAAGTCATTATTTACTTATATCAAATCTTCAGATACAATAATTGATTTTATTAGTAAATGTTTAACTTGGAATCCAAATAAAAGAATGACAGTTGATTAAGCACTTTAACATCCATTATTAAATGATTTTAGAGGTACTGAAAAAGAGAATAATTATCCATCTAAAATTACAATTGAGTTATCTGAGAATATTAAATTAGATAAAAAGAAATATAGAGAAATCTTATATAAAATGGATGTAAATTATTAAAAATAGCAATATATTAAATAATTAAGTAATGAAGAATAAATTCCATCATCTATTAAAAATAAAAAACTATCTAATTAGATTTAATAAACTTATCAAAAATATTTAAATAATGGAATTGACACTAAATTTTAAAGAGTCTCGAAATCTTCATCTAAATAAAATCAATTACATTAAAATTATTAATCTTAAATGGATATTTAAAGTTAAATTCTTTTAACATAATCTATTTAATAATAAAATCAATAAATTATGAAATAAAAAATGTTATAAAATAGAATTAAGACACTACCTGAAAATTATGTTGATGTATTGATTCCAACTGAACCAAAAAGTCCAAATAGAGAACGTTATTTCTCTTAAAATAAAATAACAGCTCAACCTTAAATTCCTCAATCATCCACTCCCATCAGAAGTAAATCAATGAAAAATAGATTATATAATGAATCTGCTGATAATTGTGTTTAAATAAAAGAAAATGAATCTAAGAAAAAGTTACTTACTGCATATTTAAATCAAAAACCCAAAAGACCTATTCTCTATAATTTTAAAAAGACAATCATTCGTAATAAACTCAACATGGATCAATACCTCATTAAAAAACATCATGGCCAATTAAATAATATGGATACTTCAAGTATGGTCTCAATAGCTAAATGATATATATATATATATTTTTTTTGGAAATTAATTATACATATAATTATTAATAAAACTTACTGCTTTATTAAGTGTTTATATAATAAACTATTTAAAATAAATTTGATTCTATGGATATCCGAAACCTCACTAATAAAAAACCTTAATTAGCTATACTACATACTAAAAATACTAGTAAACAATTTTCAATGAAGTCAGAGAAAAGAATTAAAACAAATACATCAGATACTAATAGATCTGTAGATACAAAAAAAATCTTAACTGATTTCTATGACTCATGTAAGAGAAGAAAAAGTATTTAATATTAACTAATTAGTTACTTCCTAATTTATACATGAAAGAAATAAATCTTAATAGCATTAAAATGAATCACTCTTTTAGTCTATTGATAGTTGCCCTTCTTTTAGATAGTAAGCCTCTATTTCACATGCTTCTCCTCCAAATAAATTCTTTCTATTTAATACATGTGAAAAAGTACTATGCTAGAAAAGTAATGGGTCTAAACGAATTTAAACTTAGTATGCTGAAAAGCTTTTCTTATAACAATTGAATTCAAATAATAAACAAGAGTTATTGTTGAAAATTGAATAGTATATAAGAGATTATTTTACTGATGAATGTAGAGAGATGGCTAATTTATTTGATACTTTTATGAGGGAACTTAATTCATAAATTTCAGATTAAAAATTCTAATTATCATTACATGAAAAATAACTAGAAATTCAAAAATTAGATGAAATTATTAGAATGAATACAAATCATACTTGGGCCCATTAAGATATGGAAAGATAATTAAAGTAATTATAAACATAAAATTGTGAATAATTGAATTTGATTACAAAATATGAAAATGAAAACAAAGACTTATAGACAAGGAATAATTAATTAAAATAGTAATTAGAATTAAAGTAAAAAGAAATTGTTTTGAAAAATAAAAAAATAAAAGAATTAGGTTATGAAGTATTATAATTGTAAAGAAAATTAGAATATGTAGAAAATAAAGCCTAAAAAGATCATAGATAATCAATTTAGTAAATAAGGTATTCAATATTTTAAAGTCAATAAATTGGTTCTAATTCAAATTTAAGTTAAACTGGTAATGTTAATTAACCTCCTAATAATAAATTTACTCCACTTATTGAAGAATTAGTAGAGGATTCTTCACCTTCTTTAACAGAATAAGAAGATGAAGAAGAAAAAGAACTTAATTAAATTGAATTTAATACTGAAAGAATAGTTGAAACAAGAGAAAAAGAATCTTAGGTTGAGTTTGATATAATTAATAATTATACTAAAGAATAAGATACTTAAACATGCTTGAAATTAGTAGAGAGAAAATTTGATGAATTAACATAAGATCTTTGTGAATAAGCTTTAAATTTCATAGATTTTTTAAATATACATTAAGATAAAGTAGAAATTGATATGAATTAAGTAAATACTAATTTAAATAATATTAATTTGGAAAAAGTTTCAGATGAAGAAATTGTTAAATTTTTTGATCAATAAGTACTATTATAACCTAATTTATAATTATCAACAGCAACTTAAAATCATTCATAATTAGTTAGGCAACCTTCAGTTAGAGCTAATATGAAAAGAACATCTGTCATACTTGATAGACCATCTATATAGAATTAATAATAAATGCCAAATTAAATAAAGATTAAATCTATGATAACATTCATAAAAATGTAAGGTAGTAAGATGAAACAATTAGAAACATAATTAAAAGAAGGTATCTAATAAATTGAAGGATTAAAATCCATCAATGATAATTTAGAGGAACATAATAAGGAAATAAAAGAGTAAAATTTTAAATTACTTGATTAAATTACTAATTTACATATTAAAGTTAATGATTTAGAAAATTAGATAATGTCTGATGCAATGGATTTAAATTAGGTTTTGTCTTAATAAGAAAAAAAGCCTCCAAATATTAAATAAAATACATTTGCTTAGAGAAGGACAAAAAAAACTGCTCCTCATTTAGGATAGAAAGTAAGATTAAATTATAAGCTAGATAACAATTAGTTATGATTTTTAGAAGAATTAATCAAAATTACTTATTGAAAAAATTAAATCAAAAAGTATGGGAAAGTTTTAAAATTATTTACCATTAAAATTAGTTTTAAAAATGATTTCTACATTTTATTTTGAAAAAATATCAAATTAAAAAGAAAATAAATAATTAAGAGATTAGGATATGTCATCCTATATTTATAATTATTATTTATAGTAATTTGGATATACAAAAGTAACAGAATAAAGATTTATGATACTTGTTTTATCTATTAAAAAATATGTTTCAATAGTTAGAGTAAATTTGTTTGCTAAATTTATGAATCTATTAGAAGAAAAGAGTAATTATAGAGTAGAAGAACTATAAAGATATTTGGAAGCATTAGAATATGTTTCAAATATATAGAATTTGGGTATAGCTATTAAAGACAATGAATAAGAATAGAAACACTATATACCATATGTAAGAGCTTTAGCTTATCTGGGATAATTATAAAATTTTAATTTTACTTAAGAAGAACTTAATTATTTAAAATTAGAATTAGAAAATCAAAAAGAAGTTGACCCAAAAAATATTAATAAAGCTGGAATAATAGATTTTGATTTATTAATGATAAGAGTATTAACAATTTTTAGAAATAATGTTGAAAAAACAAAGCTTTATGTTATAAATGCTTTTGCAGCATGTGATCTCGATGGAAATGGAATGTGTAATATAGATGAATGGTTGCTTTTGATTAGACATATAGAATCAGAGAAATTTGATGAAGATAAATTTATTGATATATTCGAAGAATTTGCAGATCTAGTAGAAGAAGATGAGAAAAATCTATCATTTGACAGATTTTCAATATTATGTATGGAACATGAGTTATTTAGTGATGCTCAATAGAATAAATTTTTAAGAGTCAAAAGTATTAATTATTTATAATTATTAGGTAATTAAGAAGCTGATTAAAAATTTGAATAGTTAAAATAAAATTGGGGTTAAATATATATGGAATAATTAAAGAGACTAAATGAAATAAAAATGGAAGAGAGCGAAAAGTAAAAATGGCAAAAGATTCTTGGTGTACTAGATAAAAAATTATCAGATCAACATAGTAGTAAAAAACCTTTATTGATTGCCTATAAGATATTTTTGGAAGAATCAAAGTGAAACTCATGTACTGTATATAAATGTAATAAATTGAATCATTCTCAAACATATTGACTAAAATTTATTAATATTCCAGTTATTATAATCAGCTCAAAAGTAAATAATCAATATGGATGCTTAAAGACCAATGACTACTCCCACAAAATCTATTTTCTCTGATTATTTAAAAAGATAGAGTCAAACCTAAAGTAGATCACATTTCAGAACTTTAGGAGAATCTAAGAATGAAGAAGCGAATAAAATATTATCAGATTTTATTGAATAAAGCAAGCAAAGACAATGTAAGAGCAATAAAAATTTTAGAAACTAGTTAATTCTTAAACTCTCGATAGAGAACTTCTTAAGAAATGCTCTAAAGTATTGTGTCTCATTCATCCTCTACAAATAAATTTTATGTTCCATTTTAATCTGACTTTGCTAAAAGAAAAAATAATTCGTTAGGCAGCTTTGAAAAAATTGGATCATCATCTAGAATTGGTAATAGAAGACAACAAATACAATAAACAGAACAATTCTTTCAATCTTAAATTACACCATTAAATAGATAAGAATATTTAGACAAAATGGAAGATTTCATTACAGAAATCTTAACAGAAGAATTTAAAGAAATATCTTCATTATTTACTACTTTTATGAAATAATACTAACTTTTTATAGATGACTATTAATTATAGTTGTCTATTAAAGAGAAATAACTTGAATTAGAAAACCTTACAGAATTTGAGAGAATGAATAATAAATATTCTAAAACAAGTCAAGATTATGAAAACTAAATTAAATTACTCAATTATAATGTAGAACAATATAATATTGATATTCATAAATTGAAAAATGAAATCTAAGATTAAGGTCGTAAATATAAAGAACTTCGTTAGAGATTTGATCTAAAATAAAGAGAAATTGATATTAAAAATAAAAAAATAAAATCACTAGAATGTGATATTTAATCTTAGTAAAAAAAGATTTAGTATTATGAAAATAAGTTATAATAAACATTTGGAAAAGATTAAATGACAGATATTAAGTAATCTTATTAAGAAAACATTTAAAAAAAGAACAGTTCTTCTAATATAAATATATAATCCTTTGCTTAATAAACAACTCCAAGTAATAATTTGATACCCATTAGAAAAAGTGTAAAAAAAGTAAGTATTGTTAGTATCTTAAATTCTCCAATAAATTAACCTCCTGATTTATTAAAAAAGAAATCAACAACTCAAAAATCTGATTCAAGTATTGAATAATTAGAAGAAGAAGTTGAAGAATAAGATAAATTAAATTAAATTGAATTGAATTATGATAGAATAATTGAATATAGAACATCTGAATCATAAGTAGAATATGATTTATAAGAAATGTATTGTAGATAAGTTGAAATATAAACTGAATTGACAATGATAGGATAAAATTATGATTCATTAAAATAAGATAATATTGAAAATGCTTTAAAATACACTGAATTTATAAGAGATGTTAATAATAATAATAATAAGACAGAAAATTAATAAGATTAAAATTTTGATAAAATGCTTGATTAATTGTTAAAAGATGCAGAAGATATTAATATTTAAAATGGTGTTTCTAAGATTTAAACTCAAATTCAAAGTAGTAAAAGATTATCTATGTATGGAGGGACATCAAAAGATTCAATCAATTTAGATGATAATTCATAATTATAATAAAGAAATAAATAGAAAAAGGATTAGTAAATTAAACAATTATATTCATTTTTTAATTATTCTAAAACTAGATTAGATGAATTAACTGATGATATTGATCAAAAGAAAATCACTATAGTTTCACTTTAATTTTAAAATGAAAATTTATCTAATCAAATAAAATAATTATAAGATGAAATTCACAAATTAAAACTTTAATCTATAGATGATAGAATTTAAATTTAAGATTTAAAAACAAAATAAGAACATGCATCTATTATTTAGCATGTTAATGTTGAATAGAATCTAATATCTTCTTAACCATTATCATAATAAAATGAACATAAATAATAAAAATAATAATAATAACCAAAAAAAGGAGTGAAAAATAGAATACCTTAATTAGGTTAGAAGGTAATTAAATATTTCATCTTTAGGTAACTATTTCTTATGATTTTTAAAAAAATTAGTCAAAATTATTAATAGACAAGGTCAAATCCAAAAATATGTCAAAGTTTACTAATTTTTTACCTATAAAAGCAGTATTAAAATATATTACTACATTATATTTTGATAAGATTCACAATTAAAAAGAATAAAAATAATTAAAAGATTAGGATATGTCAGCATTTATATATAATTATTATATGTAACAATTTGGTTACACAAAAGTTACAGAATAACGTTTTATGATTTTAGTTCTATCAATTAAAAAAAATATAAAATTAGTTAGAGTTAATATCTTTGCTAAATTTATGGGTTTATTTGAAGAAAATTAAAATTATAGTGCTAATGAATAATAAAGATATTTAGAAGCGTTGGAATATGTAACCAATTAATAGAATTTAGGAATATCAATAAAAGACAATGAATCAGAATCAAGATATTTTATACCTTATGTTAGAGCATTATCATATTTATCTTAACTTTAATAGTATAATTTTTCTCAAGAAGAATTTAATTATTTAAAATCAGAATTTGAAGAACTTAAAGAAAATGATCCAAAAGGATAGAACAAATTAGGAATAATAGATTTTGATTTAATGATGATTAGAGTATTATAAATATTTAGAAATAATGTTGAAAAGACAAAAGCATATGTCATAAATGCATTTGCTGCTAGTGATTTAGATGGAAATGGAATGTGTAATATTGATGAATGGCTTTTATTAAATAGACACATAGAAGGAGAGAAATATGATGAAGATAAATTGGTAGATGCATTTGAAGAAAATGCTGATTTGATTGTTGAAGAAGAAAAGAATTTATCTTTTGAAACTTTTTCAATATTATGCATGAGTTTAGAATTATTTAGCGATGCAGCATAAAATAAATTCTTAAAAGTACGAAGTATGATATATTAATAAATCTAGATAATTAAGATGTACTAGTTAGATTTCAATAATTATAGACTATGTGGCCAGAAGAATATACAAAATGTTTGTAAAAATTAAGTGCATCTGAATTAGAAGAATAGGAAAAATAAAAATGGAGTACTATATTGAATGTTCTTAATGACAAAATATTATCTAATCCAGAATAAGTAAAACCATTGTTAATTGCTCATAAAATTTTTATTGAAGAAATCAAATGATTATTGAATTTTTATTTTTATAATTAAATAATGTTTAATAAACCAAGATCAAATTATTTAACATTAGATTTCAAGAAGGTTAAAGTTAAAGATGAATAAATATCTTAGCCTTAGACTCATCGAATTAATACATCTAGAACTATTTTGAGAAAGCTCAGAGTCGATGGGTACTCTATATTATATATTATAATTTTAGTTGCTAAACTGATAGAGATAGAAATTCATATTAGGAAGTCACTAATTATACTCAAGAGAAATTAATTTATAAATAAGAATTTGAGGATGAAAGAAAAAGAAAACTTGAATAATTGAGATGTGAAGTGGAAGAATTAAAATTAGATTATGAATAGAAATAAAAAGAACTTATTCAAAGTCGTAAATAAGTAAACAATGCTCTCAAAGGTCTAGTAAATTCACATACAAAATATAAAGATTATTAAATTGGAGATGTTAAATTATATCAATAATATTATCGTTGTAAGACAGAAACTCCTTTTCATTTAAAAAATACTATTTATGATGCTTAAAAATATTAAAATTATTATGGAAAATTGTAAAAAGCCAATTTAAAACTTAACCATTAAGTCTAATTTGCAATGATTCAATATCGTAAATAACTAGAAGAATCTCAATAAAGAATTCCAAACTTTTTAAAATCCATCCAATAAGTTTTATGAAATTGTTATATGAAACACTAAAAATTATTTGTATATGTTTCAATTATTTAATTATTATTAATTGAGTTTATTTAGTGATAACACATTTAATTTTCTTTGAAAAATTAATTTTTTATTTATTAAATTAATGATAAATAATAAATGAGATACAATATTTTTATAGTTTAATTAATTTATGAAATATATTTAAAACCTAATCCTAACATTTGAGAATTAGAATTTAGAACAACAATATTAATTGGAGAAACAAAACTAAATCCAACTACCAATATTCATTTTTATTATTGTCCTATCTTTCATTTCAAACTTAGTGGTTCTTGGATTCCATTTTTTTAATCATAAGATTGAGACATGGTATTTAAATATTGCATTTAGCATCTTAACAATAATACTTTTCATATTTATTGTAATTATGAAAAAATATTAATATTTATAAGATGCGATTACTATATCAAATATTATTTTGGGTTTTTTAGAATTCAATGTTGATCCAGCAACATCTAATTATATAGAATTTTACTCTTATGGAAATACATTTATGTAGCTATAAGCAGTTTTATATATTGTTTCTAATTTTGGTCATGCTTTCCTTCAAGTCCTTTTCCATTTTATATTGCGTATTGCAATTACAATAGTGTTATCAAAACGGACTGATTACTTATTAATTTTTATAGGTTTAACAAGTGGTATTATATTATTGGTGACAATATATTATAAGGAGAGGAATTCAAGAAAGCTTTTTATATAAAACTTAAAAGAAAATTACTGGGAAAATAATACTTCATTTATAATCTAAAAGCCTTATTTTAGAATTAATTATTAAAAGGAATAGTTATTATTTAATTTAATAAAAGATAATAAAATTGAATAATTTCCTGGTTATGATAATTTTTATTGTGAAGGATGTAATGTAAGAAAATTATTAAGATATTATTGTATTGATAAAAATGTAACGTTAGAAGATTATTTACTTAAATAAAAACATCATCATCTATCTTAAAAACTTATAATAACTTTTAAAAAAAGAAAATTTTTATTAAAATTATGTAGTTTAGATATTTAATAAGTTCAGTATCTATTTATTCTTGATGAAATCAATATTTTGTCTAAAAAAGAAGAAGATAGAAAAATGAAATAAAATGATTTTATTCAATTTCTAAGATCAAATAAAACTTATAGCTATTAACATTTTTTTAATTGGGGTGCTTAATCTCTATTATTTTTAAACACAATGATCATTAAAAAGATTAATGTATAAGAATTAATGATTTAAATTCTCCATATTTTTAGATAGCATATATTTCATTAAATTTCTTTTTAAATTATTACCTAAGATTAGAATACTTCAATCTTTACTTTCTATTATTAAATTAAAATATTTATGATGTAGCTTTTTGAAATACTATCAATAATTCAACGTAATAATATCTTATAATCTTAAATCATTATCAAAAGAAAAGGATGTGATATTTTAATTAAAATTACTAATATAGACTTAGAATCATTTGAATAAATGTTTGAATCAAATTTCTTTTTAAAAAATCTATAAAGTTTATTGCTCCATGATATTGAAAAGTAATAAGGCATATAATTACATTTAAAAAACTATCCAATAAAATCATTTGTATTTGATATTTGAATTTATTTATGCTTATTCTTTTTAATTTAAAATTTTATTTAAATTATTCAATAATCTTTTTTCAATCTCTATCCATTTCATTAAATAAAAGTCTTTAAATTTTTAACATAAAACATAGAGATATTTAAAATATGACATATTTCTTTATTAATTAAAAATAAAAATCAAGTTAATATTTACTATGATAGTAATCATACAGGATCCATTTAAGTCTAAAACAAACCAGATTTATAAAAAATTGAGTAAAAAAATAATAGAACAACTAATCAAGATGTTTAAAATTAATTATAATTTTATAACTAATACTTTTACTAATAGTAAAAAATTATAATTAATTATTGATGAAATATCATTAAATTAGAATATTTACAAGTAATTGATAATTAAAATATCATAAAAATTAAGTTTACTTGATTATAAGATGGTATATATCTATTGTCCTTCTTTTTGTTTAAACTTATTATATAAAATTAATTAGAAAGTTTAACCAATAAGTATTTATATTTAAGGTAATTTATTTCTGTTTATTTCTGGCCACGTCAGCAAAATAATATATTAGTACATATTCATTCATTTTTGTTAGAATAATAAGTTAAACTAAAAAAAAATAAATAAATGAATTTTATTCATTATGATGATGATTGCAATATACCTTTTGATTACGACGATGAGATGATTTTTCCTCCATTTTATTAAAATGCAGAAACCCCTTAACATAGCAAATCTACTGATTTAGAATAAAAGTTTAAAAATGATAGAAAAGAAAGAATTTTAAAGAAAAGAATAGAAAAAAAACAAAAAACCAATTCAGATTCAAGTAATAATCTCTCAAAAGAAGAGTTAAGAAAATTGAGAAATAGAAATTCTGCCTAACAATCAAGAGATAAAAGAAAATAATAGTTTGATTCTTTGATGTTAGAGAACCAAAACTTTTAAATCTTAATAAAACAAAAAGAAGAATAAATTTAATTATTAATTGATGAAAACAATAAGTAAAGATTAAAAATATAATATTTGGAAGAAATAAAGTATATATATAATAATATATCTATTAGTTAAAATTATAAATGTATGAATTGTTCATAGGAAGCAAACCATGAAATGATAAGAGTAAATGTCATTTCTAAATAAAAAATGATGAATTATGGTTTATTGTCATTGTTGGCAATAACTTGTATTTTATCAATTGTAAACAATGATTACGAATTTTCACCAAAACCTATAGCACTACAATAGATTTCAGATAAAAAATATGAATTTTTAGCTCCTAGATAGTAATTTTCAAATTCTACATCATTAACACTCTACAATCATTTAACAATGCCTGAGCATTAATATAATAATCAAACACTATTTTACAATTGCACAGGTAATGAAAAGGAATGTCAGACATTTTTAAATATCATCAAGGCTGAAAATACAAATAATTTATATTTTGTAAATGATGCTTCAGATCATTTACCTGCTGAATAAGATCATTATCTTGAAAAAGGAGAAAATGTTTATTTAATAAAAATTAAATAAGATGATGAAGACAACTTTATGATATTTAGGGCAAGATGCTAAATAACAGAAAGTAATAAGTTGTTATTCGAAAGAGATACCTACGATTCATATAATAATAGCTTATAATACTGATATTTACTTTTTTTGTTTTTTTTATTTTTATGTATTTGTTTAATAATTTAATAAAATTAATAAATAATTTGTAACCTTTAGAGTCTTTTAACAGAGAGTGTCATTATTAATTTACTATATTAATAACATTATCATCCTTAAGATTATGCTTTAATTCAGCTATTGCTAAAGTTGCAAAATTTTATCTAACTTTACTTATGAATGTCTAAGAATAACTATCACTTTTTATCAATTCTCCTCTTGTATACAAAAAGAATAGAGCATATAAAGCAAAAACACCACAATCCTATAATAAATTAATAGTTTACTGATGATCCAATCTGTCTGGGAGTGTTTTTTTATATTTTCCAATCAATATTTTTTGAACATTTATACTTTATAATTTTTTCAATTCCAGCTATAATATCCGCATTATATCCATTTAGGGAATCTTGATATATAATTATACCTTCTTTAAAATAGACTAATACACTTATCCAATGATAATTTCCTAGATTAATTGGAAAGTAGGCATAATCATAATTACTAATTGAATTTCCTTTTTAATAGTCATTATTTAAAGTTTATACAGAAAGGAGATTTTCTAATTAAGAAATTTTGTAAATCCCCTAATCAACATTTTTACTTTAACTAATGTTTATGATTTCGAATAAAAAATTTTTCTTTTGTTTTTCAGTTACTTAAACCTATTGTTTAGAATATTAAGTAAACTAATTGTTTTTTTGAATAATTGAATTAGAAATAAAATTTGATTAATTAGTTTTCCTATCCTCTATCTATTATTTGATTTTATTTATTTTTTAAAGGTCAATCAAATCGCTCGGTAATTAGTTTGTTAATTTTGGCATAAATTCAGGGAAGAAATAGCAATCAACTTAAAATATCTAGTAATCTTAAAGAATTTACTTTTCTTTTATTTGAAAAATATTTATAAAAAACCTTTTAGAAAAATATCAAATGTGGACTTGTCAAATACTATTGATTTTCAAGGATTTAAATGAATTCTTTATCAATTGTTACTCCGTTTTTTCTATTATTATCAATTTATTTTAACATAAGTTAACAATATTATTATTTGTTATTATTAAAAGAATTATAATTAATTAAAAATGGATTCATATATATATTTATATTTATAAAATAAACAATAAAAATATATTATAGGAAATAAAGAGAGTAATATTTAAAGATTAAAAATGACAATCAAATTCTTTTATTTTTTTCTATTGTGATTAATTTTATTCTGATTTATCATTTGTCTATTTTAATGATGATGATAAATATTTTAGATTTATATTTGTAGATTTATTTATTAAGATAATTAATGAGAATACTGTTGGATCTAAAATTTATAATAATTGTTAATGGTAAAACCATTTAATCAAACCATTTAGATTTTCTAAAACTGTGAGGCTTCTCTTATAGATCATAAAATAAACTTAAATTTAGGAATAAAAAATTATAATGTAATCATATGATAATAATATTTGTTAATTTGATCAATAAATAATATTAAATTGTATAAAAGATAATTTAGCTTACTAGCTAATTAGTTAAAATTTTTGTAATTCTTTAAAGATTTAGATGTGATTTATGAAATAAAATTTAAAATTTTAATGAGATTATTTTTTAATTTAATTTTAGTTTTTGATCAAGACTAGTCAGAATAGATTTTCTTTATTTAAACAAAAATTTTATAGATTTAGTTAACAAAATCTTATTAAAAATGCATGCCAACTTGATTTCCTATTTCATCAAACAGTACGAATGCTGTTTTTAATGAAATTAATTTGGCAGCATAATTGTCTAAACAAAGAAAATATATATCTAAAGAGTTATAAATAAAAAGAAACTCAAATTAAAAAATAAAATGACTTTATATTATTTAAGGAAACCATATTATAATTTAATATTAAAGGTGTTCTATTTAAAACTTTCATCTTAGTACTTTGGTTCTAATGATGTTCCAAATAAATAAATTCATTTTATATTTTCAATTTCATGAGGTGTCATAAATGTTTCTTCACTATTGCAAAATTCAATCACCTTAAAGATTATTATGCTATACTCAATATATCCTAAAAAATAGATATAAAAAGCCTTATTATTCTTTTGCTAAGAAATTTCTTCGAGATCTTAATTAAGCAAAAGAAGAAAAGTTTAAGGAAGTTAATGAAGCGTATGAAATTTAAATTTTGAATATACCTATATAAATATTTTCAGATGAAAATTACAAAAGGGATTATGATAATATGTGAAATTCAGGATATAAATTAATAAAACTATTAACATTCTGAGTAATATTAATATTAGAGGAGAAACTATGCAAATCAATAATTATAATCTTATCCTACTAATTAAAATTATAGGCATATAAATATAATAAACAGATTTAAATACGGAATACAAGAACAGCAAATGAGTAAACCTTAAAATAGGCATCATACATTATTACTATTAGTAATAATAATAATAATATTAAAAAGGCATAATAAAATAATAATGAATTGAGAAGAAGGGAAGAAACTTTGAATTAATTTACATAAGAAACCTTATTTAGGATATAATGAATATTAAGCTAGACAATAATATAGAAGCGAACATATTAATTTTTTATTGAAAGGGTGAGAGAGACTTATGAAAATTATTATGAATAACATCAAAAGAGAATAATTTATAATTTAATAAAACTAATTCTTATGAAAAATTTAAAAACAAAGCCAAAAAATGTTTAAAAAAGCGTTGAAAAAATATATAAAATTGGAATTAAATTAAGTCAAATTTAAGTTCCTTATGGAATTATATTAAAGGAAAGAAAGAATGAAATTTAATAATATTTAATATTATCTAAAGTAATTAGGATAATTATCATTGTCTTTCCCAATATATATTTATCTTCAAGAAGATTAAAAAATATATTATAAATAAAATTTAAAAATCTCAATTAATATCAGAATATATAGCATGAATTTCCTGTTGTTAATAGAAAATTACAAAAATCTGATAATAAAGGTTAAATTGGATTATGATAGAGTATTTAATAAATTTTAATGAATTGTATCAAAAAACCGTTTAATCCTACATTTAATATTTCTAATTGACTATTTTATAATTTTAAGACTCTTTTAGGCATTAAAATAGCTCAATATTGTAATTTAACTTAAATCATTAAAATTAGAATTAGATTTTCTTAATTCATAAAAAAGTGAAATATATCTAACTTAAGTTAAGATTGTAATTATTCTTTATAAATAAATTCAACGGAATATTTTAGATTGAATAAATGCAAATATAATTGTAATTATTTAAATAATCTTAAAATTTGATTTTATAATCTTCAGTTAATAATCTCTTTGATTAGTAGAAATGTTAATGAAGCAACTAAATTTTCAATGGAATTATTAATAATACGTGTAAAAAAACAAGTTTTAATAGAATTTACAATAGCTTTAGAATTTAAATTGATTAGATTTTTAATGAAATCATTTTTTCTAATGAGATTGCTAATGGTATTAATTAATAAAACAAAAATAATTGCTACTAAATTTGTTTTTGTTTAGTAGTAAAATTAATTGCCTATAAATCATATAAAAAAATTTTGTTATAAAAATAGAAATCATAGTTTAAAAGCTTTTGTAATTTATTATTGTATAAAGAATCTGGATACGCATTTTTGTTTTAATAAATAATTTATAATCAGCCATTATTAAGGAGTGTGAGCATTAGAGATCATTTTAAATAAATTATAGTAAATATATTCAAATGAGTAAAACTTCCTTTGCTGAGTAGCTGTAATCAGACAGAAGCCAAGAGAGTTAATCAGAATCATCAGAGTTTAAAGTTGAATTACGAAAACAAAGAGGTAGTTAAACAGCCAATGCCGAAGCTAAACGTTACCATAAAATTCCATTAAAAACACAAGTTTTATTGTTTTAGATGGTCTTTTCATAAGGAAAACGAATAAAATAGGTAATTACCTAGTATACTATATTTAGGTTGCGAAATAATTAGGAATGAATTACTCAAGTGCAAAGTCTTTGATTCATTATTATAAAAATAACAAAAGACCAACTCCGACAGCGATTTCTAGCATAATAACCTTAAATAAAGCCTGCGGTATCAAGAAAACGAGATAAGGAAATAATAATTTTTTCGTTGATATACGAATTAAAAAAAAAAGGATTAGGAAATACAATTATTATCAACTGTTAAACCAAGAACAGAACAAAATAACCAATTGAATTAGAAGGAAAGTGATTTATAATTATATTAAGTATAATTTCTTCTTTATTCAAACCTTTATAAACTTTTGTTAGATAAAATTATTTTTGAAGGTATATACAATGCAATCCTCGTAAAATATAATTTTTAGTGAGATAATTAGGTTTTGACAATTAATTCTAGCATAAGAATATTGCATGAATAACGCTTTTTAATAAATGAAAACATCACAATCATAATTATAAAAATTAATTATCATAATATATTATTGTAATTTAAATAAATAATTGGATATTCGATTTGCTAAACATTTTATCTTTTAAGTTAAATTGCTATTGAAGATTTGATCTAGAAATTATATTATGAATAAAATTTTGTAAAATATGTTGAAATATAAAAAATGATAGATTTGAATAAGTTTAAAGAAAAAAAATAAGAATTTGAATGGATTTAAATGAATTTTGAATTGTTTATTTATATCTAATCTTAAAATTAGTTTTTCATTAGGAATTTAAAATACAAGAGAACATAAAACATATATACTTTATTAATTAAAATTTATGATGAAAAAATTATATTTAATTTAATCATTATCAATTTAAAGTCTTGTTTCTAATCATTTGATAATTTATTGATCATAATATTTCAATTTAAAAACTTTATAATTAAATATATGTTTTTATTTTTTATAATACCGATTGTTTTTACAAGTGAAAATTATCAAATTCCATCCTATTATGGATCCAAAGAATTAGATTTTCTTTTAAGAAAAAGCATATTAAATGGCAATTTGAGTTCTTTTTATTGGTATCCAAGTGTTTCTAAAAATGAAAATACTTCTACATTTTATTTAGGTTATAAAAATGCAATATTTGAAATTGATAAAGGTAATAAAAATTTTAATTTTAGACAATAGAAGTAAAATAATAGCAGGCTCTCCATTAGGAAAGTCAGGATTTAGAGATGGTGATGCTGCAAGTTCTCTATTTAATAATATCAAAAGTGTAATTTATTTTTCTAAAAATGAAACATTAGCAAAGTAAGAATATACAAAATAAACAATAATTTTGAATAATAATAATACAGAATGCTTATCTGTTGATTATTCAAACTATACTCAATGTTTAGATACTTAAAGTGATCCAGTAGATCCTTATAAAATAAAGGATGTATATAAAGAGTAGTCAGTAATATAAGAAGAATTTAGAGAATTTCTATATATAGTGGATTCTGGAAATCATTGTATTAGATAAATAGATTTATAAAGAAAAATAACAAAAACTATTGCTGGGATATGTGGATAGAGGTAATAAATAGTTGATTATTAATATTAGTGGTTTTAAAGATGGTTTATTGGGAATGAACTTATTTAACACTCCTGATTAAATGGGAATTGATGTTTTGGGTAATATTTTTGTTAATGATTTTAATAATCATTTTATTAGAATGATAACATTAGATGGATATGTAAATACATTAATAAGTGGAAGTTGTAGATAAGATGTGAGATATTAGGATGTCTAATTTGATAAATTGAATTTAAAGAGGGTCATTTGTTTAAAAAACTGGATAAAAACATCAGGCAAACCAACAGATCATTTAGTAGTTTAAAATTACAATATATGTACTTAACATATAATAGATTGTTAATGATTAATTATCAAAACATAAAATTTAGTAAAAATTCTGACTCTCCATAATAACAATAATAATCAATTAAACTTCCTTTGATAATAGATCTGAACAAAAAAAGACAGAATCATATCAAAAATAATAAAGTACAATCTAAATCAATGAATTAAAAAGAAAGGAAAAACAATTTTATTCGAAATAGCATTATAACAGATGTAAATGAAATAATTAAATAATATCATATTTCATTATTTAGGGAAGAGTAAGGAGAAAGATCTTCTAGAAATTAGAAAAAAAACAAATAATTATGGATATAAGAAAATAAAAACAAAGATAATAAACTCATAACTTAATATCAATTACTTGAATTTCGATTAAAATAACATTAAATCAAGAAAGATAAGTCAACAATTTCTATATAAGGAAATAGACTATAAACTATTAGTACAATTTCATATGACACAATTAATAAAGAATGAAATATATTATTATTTACAAATTATTGTATTCACTTATTATTTGTATGAAATATTTCTTATTTAATGATAATATTCATACATTATTGGAATTCAATAATATTACTGATCTTCTATTCTTTATATTATTTTTAATCTTTTTAACTAAAGATTTATAAATGCTATTCTTAATTTAAATATCTTTTGAAGGTACAGAAAATATTTCCATCATAATTTAAGAATTTATTTAATTTTGAGAATTTGTAAAAACCTTAAATTATATAAGATAGTAAGGCATACCATCAAAAATATAATGATAATTAATGAATTTTAAACATATATATATGATTATCTAGAAATTTTATGATTAAATTTATAATATAAATTCTTTGTATAGTTTATAAGTTGTCATAAAAACGAATCAATAAAGCACTCATAATCAAGAGGATTTAATGCTGTGCTATTATAATCAACATATGGGTTTGGAGAACCGATTTTTGATTCCTAAAAATCTAATTCTTTTGTATATTTATAGTCACCTAACAATTTATTAGTTTGAGTCTCACTTTTATCTAATATTAGATAAGGAAATACTTTCTTATCTCAATTCTTCATTTATTGCATGTAACATCTATCCAACTTATTTAAATTTTACTTCAATGTCAACACTTTGATTGTAAACAAACTTATTATATTATCTATCATACATGATTTAAATTCTGCATTTAATCAATAAGATAGGATGAAGTTTCTTATAATAGTTTCATATCTTCTTTTAATTTGTTATTAGTTTCCTTTATATCTAGTGCACATTCTTTGAACAAATTTTATTCCTCTTTGATATTTATGGCTACAAAATACTAAGATTAAATTACTTGGTTCTTCTTATGTTTATGGTGCCTATATCTCTTCTTGATTTCTTCTTTTTATAAATTATAACATAGATCTATATTAAACCAACAATATTACTTCATTCCTTTTCTAAAACATTTATGCTTAAAAATTTATCCTTCATTTGATCGAACTTTCTTGAAATTATATAAGTTTAATTATCTAAGAGTTGTAATTTAATTGTCTTATACCTCACAAAGCTAGAGTAATTACTGTGTTTAAAGAAATTTTATAACACCTATTTTTCCATTTGCTACTGATTGTAAACTATGAAAGCAGTGCCTTGTGCAGTCCAACTAACAATATTACTATTTTTAGGTTCCTTATTAAATTCTAAGTATTAATTACTTCGAGCATTTGATAAGTCTTTAGAATGAAAGTAGGTATTGGGGTTCTAGTGCTCATTATTCTAAATATAATATTATTATATTGCAAAAGAAATAATCCAATATTTAAATTAAAGTAACTTAAAGATTTGTTCTCCACTTAAATAAATAAGAATCAAATTTAAATCAAAACTTTTTATTTATATTTAATTGTATTCTCTAAATGAATTCATGAAATAATGTAAACTCTTTTTTATAAATAACATAAAGATCTACAACAATTTAATTTACAATTAATCAAGTAATATGGTGTTGCTTAAATGATATATTTTATAAATGATCATAAACTTTAATTGTATAAATAGACAATCATTTCCATATTTATTGATTTATGTATTAAATGTTAAAATAATTCATTAAACTAGATTTTTTATTTTTTAACTTAATTAATCATGATAAATATAATTTACATTCAATAAAAACAGTTCTAAAATAGTTTAAACCTAAACTTTTAAAATTTGTTAGCTTTTAGTCCTATAATTTTAAGATTCTAATTTGCTTTTCCATTATCTGCAATAGATATAATTATTTTACTTATTTCTTTAACTATTAAATTCTTACAATACTTTAAGTAAAATTATTTGAGTATAAGTTTCAAATGAATATAATTTCTAATGGTATAATATATCATAAAATACATGAAAATTTTATGATAATATTTGTTTATATAAAAAAGAAACATGAATAATTTTGTAATGATTTTAATATTAAAATGTTTACAACTTATATCAAAATATTAATATATACAGTGGTTTACAAATAAAATAAAGCAATTTGAATTACTATAAAAAAAAATCAATATAAATTGAAAGATATTTTGCCTTCAGTAAACTTGCTTTAAAATAATGATTATTTTGCTAAAATAATTTATATAAACTTTTCTCATTATATTATAATTGATATATCCTTATTCTAAAACATATTTGATATTTTATTATAAATCCTTTTTAGATTATATTATAATTAATATTTCTTTCTAATCCAATATTTATATGATAAAAAAATTATGAAATTTATATTTGATTATTTATATAAATAATTTATATCACAAAATGATCCTTATTTTAATTTATATAAGTTTAAGTTCTATTAAAAATCAGAAATTTAATTATTTAATTTTACTTCACATCCATACACCTTCTTAATTGAGTTTATTTAATATAAAAATGCAATCAAAAAGTTTTAAAAATATTTTATTTATATAATTATACATTCTCTATCTTTAAAAGGCATTATAATTGATATATTATATTATAAGATCAATCAACATATCTTTAACATTCTTACATTCTCTCTAACTAACTTTTCATGTTATAAAAAGCTATTAAATTTCCTAAAAACTAATCGTCTAATTTTTCACCTGATCTAATATACTATAGATTCTTAAAGATATTGTCACTGATTGAATAAAGCCAATCTGAATTGGCTCTATTGGTAGCATTTTAATCAAATGATTAGAAATTGTTTTCAATCTTAATATGATCCTACATATCAGACTTTTAATCTAAAAACTATTAAAAATGATTATTGAATTAATCATCATCTCTTTTAGTTTCTGATTTTATTTTCTTTTTTGATTTCTTTCCATTAGATTCTTATTTTATACTGTCATATATTGGAAAATTTTTCTTAAGTTTTTCAAAAAAATAAGCTAATTTCTTATTAGCTAGATTTATAAATTCTTCAACTTTAGTTTCATCAACAGACCAACTAGATTCATCATTTCTTTTAAAAACAACTGCAGATAAGCATCCTTTTACTGTTCTCGTAGCCATACCTGTGAAATTTTTACCATTTTATCTTCTTAAGTATGGGAGATAAGGTTCTGTTACATTTATGAGGTTGTTCAAAGTAGCATTACCATTTTAAAGTTAAATTGCCTTAATTAAATGGCCAGTCAATGACATCTAGTATAATTCATCTTTATCAATCATTTCCTACCATTTATTTATATGAAATGCTCTAGCTTGCTACCATCATTATACAATAAATATTACTTATTTGATTGCTTCTGAATGATGTTTCCGTTCTTCTGGTCTAGGTTAGTTTAATCTAATATTGATAATTTAACTCAATAACAAAGGTTTACTTTGTTTAAAATACTTATTCTAATTGTCACATAGATCACTCTACTTTATAATATTTTTAATATACTTCCACTTTAGTTTTTTAATCCATTCCCTTGTTTTTATATAAAATTACCCCCTTTAATAAATTAAATAACGGGGATCATATTCCTCCTTTAACTTAAATAGTTACCCCGTAATCATAAATTTTAAACATAGATTATGTTATTTTTATGAAAAGAAATGTGTTTTGAAATGAGAAAGACTTTCCATTCAACTCAAATCTTTAAATAATTTTTTGATATTAAAATATTCTAAATATTCTAACTTTTTCTAATACTCATATAACCAATATAATTATAAGGGAAGCTTCAATTGAATTCAGCATAAAAGCCTATAATATTTAATTATCATATATAATTAATTTAAGTAAAATCATCCAAAAACTCAATTTAATCTTTAATGAAATCTAGTTAATCTGACAGCATTGAAGAAGAATCAGGTAATTGGAATCTTTCTAGTCCCCAAGGACCTTAAATTTCATTACGAAATACATTTGCAAATAATTAACCTGATTCCTCAGTTGGCTCACTTGAATCTGAGAGATTTTAAGGTAAATCAGAATAATAAAAATAATAATTCACTATTGAACTTAGCCCAGAGGCTTAGCCTATTATTAAGAGAACTATAATAAGAACTAATCCTTTACAAAAATTGCATTAGATAGCTGCAAAAAATAGATTAGTAAAATAATTCAAATAAAATCTCCTCATGAATTCATATATACTTTCCAAAGATTATTAGTAACAATTGATTTTATTTAAATAGAGATAAAATTATATAGTTTGAATAAATTTCGTAAAATAAAAATTTGGATTACTTAATTAGAAAAACTCAAATTTCTATTTTACCTGTTTTTGAGGCTTATAGTAACTTAATGAAATCATGGGATGTTATAATGATTTTTTAATAATTATTACAATTGTGGTTTCTACCTTTTATAATAAGTTTTTATGGATTTGATTCGAATATTGATATAATAAGAGAATTTTTGATTTTGATGATTTTACTAGACATTATTGTTTCAATGAATAGAGAGATATTTTATAAAGGAAATTATATAGGAAACCGGCAATAAATTTTTAGACAGTATACAAAAAATGGATTAATAGGAGATGTAATTTAATTAATAACTTGGTTTTGTTTTCTATTTATTTATAAAAATATAGAATATAAAGCCTACTTAATTTTATTAGGAATTTTAATGGTAGTTTGCTGCATTAAATCACTATTAAGAAAAACTGAATATTATATTGATAGTTATTATAATAAAGGGAATCTTAGTAACTTTTTGGATCTATTTATATTAATTCTATAGATTTATTTTGTAGCACATTATATGGCATGTATTTGGCATTTTGTTGGAGAAATGGGAATTTCATTTGAAAAATCAACTTGGCTTAGTGAATATGGATTTCTTGATGAATCAATTTCTACTAAATATAATTATTCTTTTTATTGGGCAACTATGACTATGGCTACAGTAGGCTATGGAGATATTACTGGAAGAAATAATTATGAAATACTCGTATCTAACATTATGATGATCTTTTCAAGTTGTATATTTGCATATTCAATGAATTCTATAGGGAATATATTAAAAAGTATAAATGATTCCAAATTGAATTATAGGTATCATTAAACAATAATTATTTAGGAGAATGATATCATCAATTAATACTTATATGCAAAAAAATTAAGTTGATCACTAAGTATAAGGAAAAGTGAGGAATTATATTAAATACTTAAATTAAAGAGAACAAGATTCTACTGAAGATTTTGAAAGCTCAATTTCTTATTTACCTAAAGGTTTATAAGCAGAAATGAAAGAAGATATAGCATAAAAAATTATTCAAAAAATAAAAATTTTATAATAAAACTTTTCTCATTCCACTTTAAATTTGTTAATTTAACATCTCAAAATTTAAAATTATGCTCCAGGAGAATATATTTATCATTAAAATGAATAATAACATTGCTTTTGTTATATTAATTATGGAGAAGTTTAAATAAACGAGGAATAATCTCAAACTCAAATTTAAGTATTAAAACAAAATAGTAGTTTTAATGAATATTCATTCTTCACAGAGTAAGTAACAAAAAGTAATGCATTGAGTATTGGTTTTACATAAATTGTAAAAATAAACAGAAAAGCATTTCTATCTATCTTAAAAGAAAATTAAAAAGATTTAGAATAATTCTATAATATTAAAGATACTATGCTATAATATAAAGATTATTCTTTACTTTAGAAAAAATGTTATTATTGTGGGTATATTAAACATGAAACAATTGATTGTCCATTATTAACTTATTAACCTAATAAGATGAATGTAATAAGAAAATATCATAAATCTTCTCAATTATAACCTAGAAAGTATATTCAAAGACATTATCATTATATTCCATCTAGAAAATAGTATTAAGAAATTAAAAATACAATTTAATATGCTAGAGAGTATTATATTTCAGATTTATTGATGAATGATTCTTAACAATTTAATAAAATTCAAATAATTTAAAAAGAAGAAATTCCTCCTGAATGTAATTTGAATGAAATTATTTCACCTAGTTAAAAAAAAGATGAAACTGAATAAACTCCATAAATTATATCTAAATCAAGACTTCCAAGTATTTCAACAGATGCAAATAATTTAAGAAGAATTAGTAAATTTTAAATTCCTTTAAATCCAAATCCTGAAGAAAAAAGATAATCAAAAATTTAATTAGACTATTTTTCAATTAATTTTTCTGGATTAGAAATTGATACAGTTTAAAATTATGAAAAATATATGATTCATAACAATTTCATAAACATTTTAAAAAGTTTCTAAAAATTTAAAAGAAAAACTAAAATTACAACTAGAAAATAAAAATTAATGGAGTCATTTAATAATGAAGATTGATTGATTTTATATAATTTTATTATTTTTTAGAATTTTCTTTAAAATTAAATTTGGGGATGACAGAAAAAAAAGGGGAATCATTATAAGAATAAATGAAAAACCTTTAAGGAGAAATTAATAAGCTTCATTCTGAAATTGATTCAAAGAAGAGAGAAATTACAAAATTGAAAAATGACAATACTTTAAGATTAGAAAAAATAAATTGGATTTAAGTACATATATCAAATATTTAGAATAGGAAAAAGTGAGGAAGATGTAAAGAGAAAAAAAAGTACTAGAATTAAATGATTAAACTTTAAGTCTAGGACATGCTACTTCTAAACATTCAACTACAACAAAAGAAATTTAACCTCAAACTGAAATATAAAAACCACCATAATAAGAGATATAATTAGAGAAAATGTAGATGCTAGAATTTTTTAATCAGTATTTGGATTAAACAAATAAATAAATGGTTAAGTTTTAAGGAAATAGAAATAAAAATGGGGAAAGGGATGAATATATTAATCCTTATCCTATTATTAATATTAAATATACTATTGAAGGTATAGAATAAGGTGAAAGTTCATCATTTCGTTTAGATTAAGCAACAACATTTTAAAATTTAAAAGAATTAGCATTTTATTATTGGAATTTAGCTCCTTATTTAAGAAAATTTGATGAAAAAGATAGTGAAATAATGGATGAATTAGAATTAACTGATGAAAATCATGCAAAAATTGAATTAAAAGAAAAAGTCATTGAATTTTTTACTAATAGAGGTATTTCAAATATTTCTTAGATTACATTATTACTTTAAAAGAAGAAAACTGTGAGACCAGCATTGAATAGTTTATAAATAGAGAGTATCAGAATTAATGGTGGAAATAAAACAGCTAGTTATTAAGGATCATTTGCTGTTCATAAAAATAGAATTAAAGCTATTGATACATATAATTTATTTTTTGAAAAGTTTCCAGGTTTAAAATATTACATTAGCGAATTATAAATTTAAAAAGAGTTTTAAGAATAATAAAAATAATTAGAAAAAGGTAATATTGAAAAACCAAAAGAACAAAATTTTGATTTAGATGATATGAATTGTCTTATAATAAGTTCTATTATAGTCATTTTAGTATTAACTTTACTCAGCTACAATGCTTATTTAAGTCCTAAATTTGTTAATTTAAATTTCACATTCATTAATAATTTAATTGGAATCACTTCTAATGGAGAATACAACAAAATAACCTCAATCCCTGAACTTTATTATTATATGGAAAACTTCTTGGGAGCAACAATGTATAATTCTGATAAAGGAGATAATCCTTTTCGTTCTAATTATGAGATAATAGGAGGTATCTAATTGAGAACTCTTAGAAGTGATTTATATGAATGTGAAAAATATGTTAATGAATTACAAAGATTTAGTTGTTTTGATATTATCTATGATTCATCTAAGGCAAATAAATCCAAATTCTTAAATTATACATATAAAACAGCAGAAGAATTAGGAATCAAGTATTTCCCTAAAGGTAATTTAACTACATATACTGATGGTGGTTATATGGTTGAATTTAATAGAGATATTTCAACTGAAGCATTTTTAGAGAAGATTAATGATTTGAGAAAAGAATAATTTTTAGATGCAGCTACTGCTGTAATTTTTATTCATTTTGTGATTTATAATCCTAGTATTAATTTATGGATATAAGCTAATTTTTTATTAGAAAGAAATGCTTAAAATAAATTAACACCTTATAGAGCAGAATTAACAGGATTTATACCAAATATATATTATGGAGATGATGGTTAACGTTTATTTTAGATTGATATAACAAAATTGATAATGGCTAGTATTTTATTAGCTTTTGTTGCATATAGATTTTATAAGATTAAAATTAATACTGGTAAATTAGGACCAGCATTTTTATATATAACTATGGAAATAGGATTTTTTAATTGTGGAGTTGGAATTTTAACAATTATTTCTGTTGCTATGTCATTATAATAATCACTATAAGGAAGAGATCCTTAAGAACTAGTAAATTCTGCAGAATTTGTGGTAAATTATTTTTAAGTATTTAAATAGCATTTAGAATTAGAAGCAGATTTATATAAAAAGGCAGAATTATTTTTAACAATTAGTATTATGTTTTTGTTTTTAAGATTATCTTATGTATTAAAATTGAATGATAGAGTTGCAATTATATTTTTAACATATAGTAAAAGTTTTAAAGAATTACTACCTTTTTTAGCTATTGAATTTCCTTTATTTTTAGGATTTGTAATGGTCTTTTAAATTATTTATGGAAATGTATTTCCTCAATATTCATCATTTACTTTAGCAATTGCTAGTTAATTAACTATGGTATATTTATTTATTATTTAATCTTAGATATAAGGGTAATTAAATATTACTTAATTTGTAAATTATTCTCCAATAGTTTCAATGATTGTAATTCTATTTTACTATTTCTTTATGTTATTCTTCATTATTTCATTATTTTAAGCAATTTTGATTGAATGTTTTAGAATTGTTATAATGAAAAATGGATATCCATAAGATAAAGATTAAGGATTGTCAATTGGAGACTTATTTAGTTGGATGTTTTCTTGGACACAATTATTTATTAGTAAAAAGAATACTACAGAAGAAAAATAACAAGCTTAGTAATAAAGTAAACCTCCTGTAGATTAAGAAGAAAAATAGGGAATAAATTCTGCAACAGAAAATTGAAATAATTTACGCTAAAATATTAATCATCTTTTTTATTAATTTTTATTTCCTTAAAGAATTCCATGAATTAAATTTCTAGGCCAATTATGATTTCTCTATCTGATAGGTTCTTAACTTAATGGTGGTGGTAATTATTGTTATTAAATTTCTGGGATAGGAGAAGGTGAAGAAAGCTATATTTCTTCTTAAGGTTATTTGCTTAAATGATCTGAAAGAGAATAAATTTATAATTCACATTCAATCATATTAGATTTTGATTCAATAGATGGAGAATCTTATCTAACTATGATTTATTAAGGAACAATCTAAATTGAATCTTCTTAAGAATATTTTTTTTTGTGTTTTTTCTTTTTTTCTTTTTTTTATTTTTTTTCTTTCTTTGATTTCTTTTTTTCATGTTTAATTTTTTTTTTTTCAGGCAATTCATCTATTTGATGATTACTATTATTACTATCCTTCCTTAATAATTTTTCTAGTTCTTTTTACCATTAACTTTCTTCTTTTGGATACTACATTACAGTCTCAAAATCAAAATAATCACATTTTGTAATTAGTTCTTCTAAATACTATTTATAATGTTTAAATATATTGAGGATTGTTTCATTAGTAAATATCAAATCTCCTTCATAATCAATACTTTCAAAAATCAAAGCTTCCTTTTAACAATCTAATTCTTCAGGTAAACACTCAGAAACTGAACTAATTCCTAGACCTCCATAATCAATAGGAATATTATCCTTAAAAATTAAAGCTTTTTATTCAGTAATTCTAGCAGTATATTCTTTTTGCAATTTACTTAAATTAAGATCAGTTAATTTATTTAGCTTTTGAATATATAATTTTAAAGTGGCATCATTAAATCCATAATTAAAGTAATCTGTTATATCAATTCCTTTGGTCAACCATTTTTTTGAATTTGCATTTAGATATTCCTCCTTTAATACTTGGGGTGTTTATAATTTATAAAGAGGTGTAGATTATTTTACTCTTAGTAATTTCTCTCTAATGTTCATTTATTTTTGAATTATATATAAAATTAATATTATATATTTATTCAACAATTTCATCAATTTTAAGATATATTATCATAAAATTTAATATAAATAATACAATATGTTAATATTTATTGTTTTGGTTAAAAAAATATCTTCTAATTTTAAAGAATACTTAAGTTTAACAAAATTATTATACTCAACTTTTGATTGTGAATTTAGAATTTAAGAATAGCAAATAAATAGCTTTAAGATGTATATCTATCATATTTTTTTTACCAATTTTTCTATTCTTTCTACTTTTATCTCATAGTGTCCTCCTTTATCATAAACTTTTAGATATTTATTTTATAAGTAAACTATTCAAATAAAATAAAAACTTTATAGATGTTTTAGTTTTTTAATTGATTATGTTTAAATTTTAAATTGATACTGTTTAGAAAAGGATTTTTAATAAATCATCATTTATTCACATTATTATTTACAAATTTCAGTATAAGTTAAATTTCATTGTATTTTTACTGCTTTTTTAATATAAAACCTTCAAATCCTTTTGATTTAAAGAAAGCGATTATTTCATTTATTGGATTATCTTAAATTACAAAGAGGTATCTAAATATTATTTTATAATTTACATAATTCCATTAGAATTCATCAAATTGGTTACTTTTTCAAGAATTTTCCAGGTAACTAACATACCATCCTTGCCTCCTGAATATGAACAATCAATCAAATTTACTTTGGCAACTTCTTCAATTAAATCTTAACCTCTTAAATTGTTTGCGTATGCCTATGCAAATAGTTACTACTTTTCTTTGAAGTATTTCTTGCATCTTTCAACTTCATCATCCTCAGTTGGAACATAAGGAGGGTTGAATATAAAAATATCTATTCCTGATTTATCTAAAGCCAATCCTTCAAATCCATCTGAATTAATACAATCAAAATATATTTAATTTTCTTGCATAATTCTTGATGATGCTATACAGGCATCATAATTGATATCAATGCCAATACACATTAAAGCTCTATTGTTTTATTCTTGCAAGAGCTTACTTACATTGCCTATCAAGATTCCTGATCCGCATCCCATTTCTACAACAATTGCATTTTATGGAAAGTATTAGATCTCTTCCTTTAAAGCATCTAAAAATAAGTATGAATCATCATTTGGAACATATATATTTTTGTATTCTGTTTTATTTAAAGTAATTTTCATTATTTTAATATTATATAATTAATGTACAATGAATCATTATTTCTTTCCTTATGCTTTTTTTGGTTAATGTTTCTTTGTTTCTTTAACTTATTCTTTTGGTTTTTCTTCTTTTGGTTATTATTATTTTTTATCTTTCTTTTCTTCTTTTACTTCAACTTCTGCATCATCCTTTAATTTCTTTATTCTCAACATACCTTATTTAGCAGATAATCCAGCAGGAGTACTGTTAAATTAATAAATATATTACTTCACTTCCCAAGCTCCACCAGCTATTTATAATCCAGTTTGTGTGCATCTCCAAATACCAATAGCTTATCTTTTTAATGAATGCTATAATATAAATATTATCATCATACTGCTCCAGTAAATGTATTAAAATATCTTTAATGCTATGAAATTTCAAATTTCTTAATAATCTTTCTTAATGATGCACCATATCTTGTACCATATTTTCCAGTGATACCTACCTTCTTTGTCTTCTTTGTCATTTCAAATAAAATTTAAAATCTTTAATTTATTTACTTCTAATAAATATGCGAAATAAATAGAAACTTTTAAAGAAAGATGTATTTATATAGTTGATATAATTATTAATTAATTTTGCATGTACATAATTCTCAAAAATTAAATTTATTAGAAATTGTTGCATTTGAAATCTAGGACATATTATTTTAATTTTATTAATATGTAACACTTTAATTACGAAAACTTCTCTACTAAAATAATATTAATAATTACATCTTCTTATAATGGTATTGGAGATGTATATTTTGTAAAAGTTTGACTTTTTATTGATGATATTCCAGGCATTTATGCAGGTACTTAAACTTTAGTTTCATTTAAACATTTATTTAAATATTGAATCATTTAATTATTTGATTCAAGAAGTTTTTAACTCTCAGCTAATTTGTTTTTTAAGTCAAGATTCATATTTTCTTGATCTTTCAATCTTATTTCTAAAGAATCCTTTTCTCTTCTTACTAATTTTATTATGATATAATTACATTCATTCAATTATTTATGATTTGCATCATTTGCATCTTATAACTATTATACAGTTTATTCTTGTTAAAGAAATACAGAATTTTTTAATTTAATTTTATCCTTTTATTTACTAAGTTCATTTTCCAATTTTTCTATTATTTGATTACCTTTATTTACTTCCTCACTCATTACACTAATTCTTGATTCAAGTTTTTCTATTTATTTTTTTTAATTGGCTACTTATTCTTCAAGAATAGACTTATAAATAGAATATAATATTTTACATTTTATTTTTTCTCATTATCTACTAATTATTATTTATTATTCAAATATTCTTCCTTATCATGTATTAATTTTTCGAATCCTTCCTTTTAAATTCTTAATTCAATTAATTATCTTTCTTATGTAAATTTTAGAGTATCTAATTCTTTATTCTATAATCTAAATTCTTAATTCTCCTTTTAAAATTATTAATTTTCTTATTAAAGTATTGCTAATTTATTTTTAAGATCCCTTTCCTATTATATTAATTATGACTTTTAATCTGATATCTCTTAATTAATTTATTATAATTGTGTATACTTATTCTATAATTCATATACTATTTTATCATATTTTTCAATAATAAATTGTTTTTCATTTTCACTTTCTCTTTTAAAATTAGTTTCTTTACTCAAAGATTATTCTCTAAAATCATTGAATTTCTTCTATTCATCTAATAATAATTATTATATGGCTGTATCTTTATCCTCTGTGAATTTCCTAATTTCAGACTTTAAATTTTCTAGTTCCCAATGTTTCTCTTCTAATAACTCAGTTAATTTTTTATTTCTTTTTTATTATTCTTCATTATCTTATCTTTCTATAGCTAATTTATTTGCTAAAAATGCTTTTATTAAGTCATCTGTTGCACTACGTAATCTCAAAGATAAATGAGTTAATTTTTTAAACTCATTATTTTCAATTACTGCAAGTGTAGATTCTCCATTCTTTGTCTCCAAACAAACATAAAAACTAAATAATCTCACATTTTTTACTTCACTTTTTCATCTCTTTAACTATTAATACATAATTATAACAAATCTGCAAGTTTCATTGGAAAAGTGGCAAAATCAACATGCAAACTTTATTCATTTTTTAATGCTAAAAACTCACCTTCTGTCAAATCAAGTATCTATAAAAACTATAAATTATTATCATCTGTCAATTCAATCCTCAATGTTTAACCATGAGCTTATTAACTCTATTGCATAATCATTTTCAAAGTCAATTATGTATTCCAATCATCTGTAACCTATTTCACTTTTACAGGAATTTACAAGGTGAAAAGCTCTTTTGATACAGTTGTAATAGGAGCATTAACAAAACTGATATTGACAGATTAAGGTCTATTACTCATTTATTCATATTTCAATTTTTAAGATGATTGAAAATCATTCATATTTGTTGTTGATTTAGCTGGAGTTTATTAAACACCAAATTCAATTCTTTTGAAATTCCCCCTATAGTCTTGCATTATTATATTTTAAATTTTAACTGTTAATTAAAGGAAAATTTTGTATAAATCAATAACAAAATACACTAATTGTTGTCTATGGATTATATATAAATCTACCTTTGAGTCTAAATTTAATTAATTATTACAAAAATTCTTTTTATTTTTGATATGTAGATACTTATTGTATGAATTTATAAGTAAAAATGATAACATATTTTATGATTAATAACTTAAAAATGATTTGATAGTTTATTTTGTGTTTTTAACAGAATTTATAAATAGAATTGGACTTAATTTTATTATTTAGATTTTGAATCATTCATGAACCAAGTATAATTTAATTATTACTAATCATAAGAATTATATTTTAGATAACTGCTATGAGATGACTTTTAATTAAGAGTTTTAGAATTAAAAAATGTGTTACAAGTAGGAGATCTTTCCATTTTTTAGAATTATTATATAAATACTAATAATAAATTCATTTTATACTAGTTTATATGTTGATACTGGGGATTGCGGAGAGTTTCTTGACTCTTGATAGAGCAAATTCTTTACCATTTATCATACTATGCATGTCAATTACAGTAGTTAGATGATCAAATTAGTTTTATTATATATTATCAAACAATTTTCACATTATTTCATATAAAATTGGTTTAATTCATTCTTTTATTTATTTTATAAATATAAACAGTTTTTACTATATTTATAATAAATTAAATTCGTTTTGATTATCATATTTTGATCATATCAAATTGTTATATATTTTAAATGTAATGAAATATCCATTTTTTTATTGATATCATAATTTAATTTAACTTTTAAAGATAATTAGACTTTTTGAAATTAGAATAAGGTAAAAATAAATTAAATTATAAAATTTCATAAGAATATTCATTTCTCGTTATTAATTGATGTAAATACAATAAAAATGATAGAAAGAGTACCATAATTCAGAACAACTTAATAATATCCTATTTAAATAAATAAAGATAATATTGTGACTGCTCCAGGCAGTATCCACACTTTTATAGTTTTCTATGCTTATATTTCATTTTAAGCTATGTAGGCAATCATTTATAAAATAGTCATGAAAGTTATTTCTCTAAAAATAGATTAAATTATATATATTACAGAAAATATGCTCCTGAAAAAATATTTTATACCTCTTAAGCCATAAGATTTAGGATAATATAAACAGGTAGACCTAAAAGACTCTAATATAGCATCAAAGTAAAAAAAGGAAGTTATTTGTTCATCAAGAATTTAATTACATGAGAAAATGCCAAACATACTGGTTAGAGAAGGCAAACGAAAACATATAATAAATTTTGACCAAATAATAAAGTTGATAAGGTTTACATTAAGGAAATGAATAAATGTAATTAATTTCCTGCTTAATATAGAAAATGATTAAAGACATATATATATCCTGGAGTTAATTAATGAAAAGCACATATTTCTGAAAATGGAAAATAAAACCTAAATTAATTAGTATCATACATTGCCCAGAATCCAACTAAGGAAGCAATAACTTGACATCCTGCCATAGCACCTATCACTCTGAAACATGATTAATCTAGCTAAAAAAGACGTTTGTCAAAAAATTGAATATACATCAAAGTAATGATTACTTTAACAATACATCTTTATGTAGCAATAGTAATTGCATCAATATTTTAAACTAAAGAGTATCCAATCATTAATTGCATTAATTAGCATAAAACATATATTACACATAATGCTGATGGAGGTAATTTTGTTGAATTAGGTATTAATTCTTATGTTTCATTGAGGAGATTTGTATTATTGATGTTTGCATGAAAGCTTAAATTTGATTCAGCTCTGCTTAATTTTTCTGACAATAGATCATCCATTTTGGTATTTATTTTAATTGTATATAAATCAAGTATTAGCGATGAAAGAGAATCAATATATATTATTTATATTTAATTAATAAATAAACATCCATTATTTCTTAGTTGCTAATTATTGCAATAAATAATTAATAATACCTATTAATATTAATTCATATCAAACTATCAAATAAATTTATCAAAATATCAATCTTATGACTATTTATTTAATTTTATCAATCTTATGACTATTTATTTAATTTTAGCTTTGATCATCTATATCAAATCTCTACTTTTATAGATAATTGATTTATATATAATATATATATAAAATATATAAATTTTTAATTAAAATGTCGCTAAGTTAACTGTCAAGCAAACCAGGAATAAATTATGCAAGTATTACATTTTATAAATAAGTTCAAGAGAACTCAGACATAAAAAAAGTCCAAATGATTAATAGTCATTTGGTTTAAATGATGACTTTTTTAAGGATAGTTTATAAAAAATACAATCTTTGAAATAGAGAAGAAAACCAAGTGTAGATTTGAAACATTAAAGGGCAAAATCAACACTTGAAAATAAATAACATTCATATAGATTTAATAAACCAATTAATGATAAAGATGAATAATAAGATGGGGAGAAGTTATTTGACCAATTTTTTAAACTTAATAATTCAAAAAGTGATAGTGAATTTATAAAAGATTCTATGAAGGATTCAATGTAAAGAGATACAAATAATAAAAATTAAGATCAATTAGATTTTTTAAAATTTGTTGAAAATGCTATTGAATATCATAAATAATCAGAAGTAAGATTTTTTAGACCTTCTACAAATAATAAAAATTCTCATTTGGAATAAAAACTAAAAGAAGCTACTTTATCAAATAGATTGTTAGCAAATTAGTTAAATTAATACAAATAAAAAGAAATTGATCTTAAACATAAATTAAAATTGATGCAAAAAGAGTTTTCTATTTAATATAGTAGATTAATATAATAAAATGCATGGTTAGAAGAATTACTAGCAAAATAAAAAATAGATAATCAAAATTCATTATTAGCTGTTAAAAAAGCTGTTGAAATGCTTTAAACAAGATGTAACTGTTAAAAAGGAATATAATTATGTGATAAAATCTTAAGAGATGTAAAGAATTAAGAAAAAATACGCTAGCAATATGAATGGGAATAAGAATCCTAAAACATATAATCTTCATCAGAATTTACTAATAGTAATGAGGATGAATAAACTAATGAATTAAATTTTTAATTATTTGAAAAAAATAGAAAAAAATCAATATCTAAAGTTCAACATAATTCAATTTAGTCAACTGAAGACTAATAGGAATAATTAGTTCATAGTTATATTTAAGGAACTAGCAAAAATTTGAGAGAATATACAAAAGATTTATTTCAAAAGAAAAGACATCTTCAAGAACCTTATTACATAGAAGAAGAAAATACAATAAATAGTAGTTGAAAATTTTTATTTTAATAATAATAATTGATATTAAATTACAATTAAATATGTTAACATGAACTTTAGAGGTTCATATTTTTAGTAAATTCATTAAATATCAAAATTTTTAATCTTCTAATAAAATATATCTGAAGTTCATTTTACATATATATGAAAATATTATAATACTTTCATTTATTTCTTAAGTTTAAATTTAATTGATTAAATTCTATAAAAATGATTTTGAATCTGCAATTTTTAAAGTCTATTTATTAGTTTATCTACTTCACTATATAAAACATTGATATTTATATATAATTATATTTAACTAATCTCTTTTAATTAATTTATTTTAAGAAATGAAGATTAAATATGAATAGAAATTATTATATTTATAATTAAAATAATAAAAAAATATATTATGTTATTTCTTTAATATGTTAATATCATTATCGTTCTTCAGAAAATAATGGTAATCAAAACAGGTAAAACATATAGATAAAATCCATGGCCAGTTGTAACAGGATCAGTTACATTTGTTGAATTGTTATCTACAGTAGTGTTATTGTTGTTATTAGTAGCTCCTGTTCCACAAGCTATACATTTCTTTGTACTAGCATTCCAACTGTAGGTATATTAACTCATTTTATAACATGCATCCTAAGTTAGTGCACTTGGATCACCAGTTACACATTTACCTCCTTGAACTTAACAGACTGTGTATCTTTTTCCATCAAAACTAGGGATGGTGACACATTTAGCTGTTCCTTTAGCAGCTGAATCACAAGTATGATTGGAACATGAACTAGCAGTAGTTCCAACTGGAGCTATCCATTTACAAGTTAATGATTTAGATTGACATGCATTTTGATCTGAATTGGCATCTGAACATTGAGAAAATAATTTGCATGTTCCAGTTGTTGTAGATCCAGATGCTGGAGTAAATGCACAAGCTCCATCTGTTCCACCAGCATTACAAGCTTCTTTAGTAGTGTAATCTGCACATTTTCCTTAATCTATACATTTGGTTCCATCAGATATACATCCAGTTAAGGCAGCAGCACATTCAGAAGTCTTAGTCTTTTTAGTATCTTAACAAGTTTTAGTTTTACATGTTTTGGCTGTAGTATCCCAAATACAAGCTTTGAATTAACTATCAATGACACAACCTGCTTATTTTGTATATGAGGCACAATCAGCCAAAGAAATACATTTAGATCCATCAGTCGTACATTTAGTAGTAGAATTAATTTAATATCCGAAACATCCATTATGAGTAGATGTAGAAGTAGATGCATCAGAACATTATCTCAATCGACAAGTTGATGCATCCTTATCAAATTAACATGTTCCATCAGTTCCTCCAATTTTACATGCAATTTCACTATCAGCATAAGTAGAACATTCAGCCATATCAATGCAATTCGTTCCATTACTAATACATTTAGTATTGAAGGCTGAACATTCGGTACTTACTTTCGAGACTAAATCTGTACATTAAGTAAAGAGTTAACATTTCTTAGTAGATGTTACCCAACCACAAACACCATCAGTACCAACTGAACATTATAATTGTTTTGTGAAATTGGCACATGTCTTTAAAGGTGTGCATTTGCTTTCATCTGTTGTACAATACTTAGAAGCTGCTTAACATGTAGCTACTGTTTTCAAAGCTAAATCAGCACATTTGTAGTATTACTAACATGCATTATTATTCCAAAGACATGGTTATAGAGAAGAATCTTAAAGACATTTTGCTTATGTCTTAAACATATCACATGTAAATGTAGATTTCATGCATCCTGCACCATTACTTACACAACCAGAAATGAATGCATCACAATCAGAATCATTTTATAATGTAGTTGCAGCATCTTAACAATCTTTTGCTCTACATCCTTTTATTTAAGTACCTGTTACAACAGTTTCATCCCAAGTACAACTTCCAATAGAATCTGTAGATTTAGCTGCTTAACAGACTTCCTTTCTTGTATAATTAGTACATGCTCCTTTAGTAGCACAACCATTTCCAACTCCAGCAAATGTACAAGTATTAGAATAATCAGTACAATCTGACTCTGAACCAACTGTTAATGGTAAATCTTCACATTTAGCTTCTGTGCAAGCACTGTTTTTCCAAACACAAATGCCAAACCCTGAAGATGATTCAGAAGAAGCACAAACACTTTATCCACTTGCAGTAAAACTACTACATGATGATTGAATATCTCTACATTAAGAAGCCCAAGTGCAAATTAAATTATCTCCACTCTTAACAGTAGCACAAGATGAAGAAGATTATACATCTGCACATGTAATTACTGAACTACAACCATTACCATTAGTCTTACATCCACTTTTATATGCATTACATTCAGCATCAGTTATTAATGTAATAGGAGCATCTGAACATTTAGCAGCAGTACAACTAGTTGGTGTCTCTGTTTAAAGAGCTGTACCAACACATGGTCCATCTGATGCTACATATTAAGTACAAGTGACAAAGTTACCCTTCAATTATGAACACGATTAAATGACATCGCATTTTGTACCATTATAATGACATTAAATACCATAAGCTTGACATATTGATTCAGAATAAGAATCAACAGCTAATTTAGTACAATCTTTCACTTTACAGGCTGTTGTTGCAGTTGCTGTTGAATCATTAGTACATGATTTACCATTACCTACTGCCTTTTCGCAATCTGCTTAAACTCCTTAATATGATGTACATTCAGATATAGATTCAATACAACCTGGTCTCTTTGTAACACATCCTCTTAAAAAGGCTGCACAATCACTATCAGTAGTTGCTGTTGTATTATGAGCACAAGTTCTATCAATACAAGGACCTTTAGTAGTTAAAGATAAACTCCAACATGATTTACCATTTCCTGTTAATAATTTACATCCATCTTGATTTCCCCATTAACCAGAACATGGAGTAGTACCAGTAATACATCCTTTACCAGTTGTTATACAACCATCCATAAATTTCTTACAATCTGCATCTGTTGTAGCTGTTCCATTATCCTAGCATCTTCTATCAACGCAACCACCATTTACAGATGTATTACCTTAACATTTTGATCCCAACTTTGTACCAGTAAGTAATTAACAACTTTCTGAAGTTCCTGACATTGTTGTACATGCTGATGTAATATCAACACAACTCACTCCATCAGTCTTACAAGTTGGAAGCCATGCCTAACATATGGCATCAGTATTTCCATCAGTTTTTTAACTACATGCTCTATCCAAACAAGCAGCTACAGTTGTTCCTGAATTATGTTTTTAGCATAAACGATATTCCCAAACAGAACCAACTTTGTATTTACCTGTTAAATTTAAACAATCATCTGCAGAAGCCTAAACTTAACCACAACCAAAAGTAACTCCATCAGCAGTATTTCCATTTACACAAGCAGGATTACCTCCTGGCTTTGAGAATACACATAAATCATAGTATGAATTACATTAAGAAAATGAAGAAACAGTAACTCCAAGGTGCGTATTTGCATTTGCACATGATCTTTCTACACAATTTGTTCCATTATGGAAACAGAATTAAGCAGTTGCACTTCCTTAAAATGAAGTTGTGTAAGCTACTTTTTTAGCTTTACAATCGTTAGCATTAGCATTATAGGCAGAACAAACATCATCTATGCAAGCATTTGATAAGGTTCCATGTGCTTTACATGCACCACCATGAGCAGTAATCACAGTAGGACATGTACCAGAAGATGATGGACCAAAAGCACCACAAGTAGCTCCAGCATTGCAAGCAGCTGTTCCACTTACTGTACCAAAATGGCATAATGGATGATAATTTTAACAGTTGGTTTCAGTAGTTGGACCAGTAACATTAGTACATGTATAATCTTCACATACTGTACCATCTAATTTCCTTGCACAAGTAGATTTATGATCTGTACAAGCCTTTAGATCAGTTGGATTTGTAATTTAACTGCATGCTCTATCAGTGCAAGAAGTACCAGTTGTCCAATAACATTTTTCACCATTTCCATTAACAAGATCCTTACAAGCAAGTACAGAATTTCCACTGTAAGTACTACAATTTCCTATGATAGTACATCCATTATTAACAAATACACATCTATTTGGTAAAACTGCATCACAACTTGCCTAATTAGTTGCTCCAGTTATACTTGCACATGTAACTTCAACAGTACAAGCTTCTCTTCTTGCACATCCTTTTGATAATGCTAAACAACCTGCTTGATTTAATCCAGTATAAACGTTACAAGCTTAAGAACTTGGAACACATCCAGCTCCTGTTGTCACACATCCCTTCAAAAATTTACTACATAAATCATCAGTAGTATTAGAATTATCAGCATCACTACAAGCTTTGTCTACACAATTAGATCCACTTCTCCACCAACAAGGAGTTGTTTAATTATTACCTGTAAACTTTCCACAAACATCTGTGCTTGCTCCAGCATAAGCAGTACAAGCTGCACTAGCTGCTATACATCCAGTTCCTTTTGTTAAACATTTTACATGAAATGATTTACAAGCATCATCTGTGGTAGCATCAGTATTATCTGTACATACTGGATCAGTACATGCAGTAGTATCAGTAGCACCATTAGTATTAGTGCATTTAATAGTGAATCCTTCACATGTAGCTTTAGTTCCTTAATAACTACTACAAGTAGCAGTTGATGCAACACAACCAGTTTTTTTAGTCAAACATCCCTTTAAAAAAGTATCACACATTGAATCTGTATTATATGTAGCAGGTGCTTAATCACATGTTCTTGCTACACAACTACCAGTCACCCACCAACAAGTATTTGAATTTTGTAAAGTAACAGTCTTACATAAAACTTCAGTTTTTAGATCATTACAAGCTACATTTGATACACATTAAGGTGTCCATTAACATGTTGATTTTCCATCACATTGACTGTTATTTACTAAAGTACTACATGCACCAGCATCCATACATCCACCAGTACCAGTAGCAATGCATCCTGTTTGATAATTTGAACAATCCTCATTAGTTGTTAAAGAAGCAGGAGCGTCTGAACATTTCTTAGGGAAACAACTACCACTACTAGCTCCACCTGCACACTTACCATCAGTTCCTATATATCCATCACAACTAGTTGAATCTCCAGTATAAGAAGAACAAGTTGATAAAGTTGAAACACAACCTTTACCTGTTGTTTTACATCCAGTTTGATATTCATCACATTTTTCATCTGTACTCAATGTAGCATCAGCATCTTTACATACTTTGGCAGAGCAAGCAGCTTCAGCATCTGAACTTCCTTTACATTTACCATCAGATCCAATATATCCATCACATGTTGAGGAAGTACCTTTATATGAAGAACAAACCCCTCTTGATGTAGTACATCCTTTACCAGTTGTTACACAACCACTCTTATACTTACCACATTCATCATCAGTTGAATATGTTTCTGGAGCATCTTTACATTCTACAACATTACATGTTTTTCCTTCAGCTACTCCTTTGCATTTACCATCTGATCCTATCTTATTTGCACAAACCACATCGTCTCCTGTCTATGTAGAGCATGATCCTAAAGGAGCTTTAACACAACCATAGCCGTTTGTCACACAACCAATTTAATATTTAGTACATGCTGCATCTGTAGTCAATGTTGTTTCGGCATCTGTACATACCTTAACAACACATTTATCTTTTCCCTCAATTCCTTTACAATAACCATCAGATCCCTTCAATCCTTCACAACTTTCAATATCCCCATTATATGTGGAACATAATCCTAATTAAGTTACGCATCCTTTTCCTGTTGTTACACAACCCTTTATGAAGTTATTACACTAAGCATCTGTATTGAATGTAGCATCTGCTTCAGTACATTTTTGTTCTCTACATGCAGTATCCCAAACACAAGTGCCTGAACCTCCGCTACTTCCTTTTCCAGTACAATCTTCGGCTGTTTTATAAGAAGAACAAGTTCCAGGATCAACACAAAATGCTGTACCGTCGGAATTACATTGTTTTGAGATGGCTTGACACTCAGCGTCAGTTGCACCTTTGTAAGCTGAACAACCAGCAAATATTTAACAAACAGAATCAATATAAGCGCAGCCCTTTGTTTTAGCACAAGAGATAGCATCAGATATCAGTCCGCAGTATCCTTCAGTGGAACTGCTTCCCGAATCCATTTTAGAGCAAAGAAATGTTGTTGTTGACCAACTGCATCCTTATTTTGCTTTGCAGTCAGCCTGAGAGAGAAGTTTCTCGCAATTGCATTAATCTGAGACTGCTACATCTATTGAAGATGCAGCCATAAGTAAAATACTTATTGTTATCAAAATCTTCATTTGATAATATTAAATAAATAATGAATTTAAAAGTAAATCCGTTCTCCATTTGAAACAAAGATACAACTTCAATTGTACATTTTCTGATTTATAATCTTACCTAAGTAGCTCAATACCTAAAAAGAAAAACAAATACAATAAATAGTAATATAAATGATTTGATAAAGAATGATATTTTGTTTTTAAATCTATACTTTTTGACTTAAAATAATGTATATGATAGGCTAAGCATTCTATATACTTTAAGCAATTTGTTCTAAAATTTATATGCATTTAACGTTAATCATGTAATTCTATCTGAAATTTTTTGTATTTTTTATAAAAATACTAATAAAATAGCTAGCTACAAGATACTTACAATTTAGGAAATATTTTCAAAGGCTTATCCATTTTTGTTTTGGAGCAATTAGAAAAATTATTATAGTGCTTCTTTTTTAATTAATTAAAAAATACATTTTATGGAGCATCTTATGATTGAAAGACTTGATAAAATTTATTAAAGTACTCAGACTGTAATCTCTAGTTTCAACCAGTCTTCTACTTCTTTTTTGTTCAATTTTTCTAACATCAAAAATTTTAGTCACTTTGTATTTAGATGCTAAGCAAATACCAGTAAACCAGGTACATTAAGTGCTAAAGATAATATTATAAAAATAATTCTTTACAAGAAAACAGAATGAAGTTAGATTAAGTATTCATTCTTAACAATATTAGATGTAGCTTATGATTCAAATCAATAACTTAAAGAGAGAGAATCCAAGTTTTTTTCATTTTATATGTTTTTACATTGATTTAAAAAATTAATTATAATATAATTAGATTGAATAAGCATTTCAGCAAGTTTACTATAAAATTAGCTTCTATATGACCTTAGATGAAATTTATTCAACTGACAATCAAAATTTTTATAAAATTTATACCTATATATTCTTTTGATGTCAATTCATAAATAAAATGAAGACATTCATTTAATAATTTTCTTTAAATCTGAGAATTGTATATCATGTATTTGAGAATGTGTATTTCTTTGAATTTATTTAATCATTCATATTTATATAAAAAATAAATCTGTAAAAACAATTTATAAATGTTATGAGAGGTTTTGAATTTGAAAAAATAAAGCTTTATTATAATCTTAGTTTTCTATTTAAAAAAAATGAGATTGAGATTAACTACAATACAGCATATTTTCATTAAAATATTGTCTTCATTAAAAGATAAAAAATTTGATAAGTAATTTTATCTTCTACTTTAATTATCAAATACATTTATATTGAATATGGTTTGAATTAAAAATATATAATAAAAACATATTATACTTTCATTAACATTTTAAATCATTCATTTCTTACAATGCAATCAGCTAGATAAGAGAAACAAATATAACTCGATTTATAAAATAAGATTATTCAGATACACCGATATAAGAAATAAAATTTAAAATAGTGCTTAAAAATTGGCTTTGATGGTTTATTCTATAATCTATTAAAACAGATTTTTTATAATAAATAAACTAATATTTAAATGTCTGAACTAGAGCAGAATCTTCTCTCAAATTCAATAGGAATTAAAACATAGTTTTAACATGAAATAGAGGTACTTAAACAATTGTATATGAAAGAAAATAATTGAACTTATAGATAACCTTAAATAAATTAATGATCAAATCCAATCTACATAAATATCTGATTAGTAATTAAAAAATTCTAATAGTATAGATAAAGCTCTAACCTTTTGCTCATTAAGCAGACATTTAAAATTAAAGCTGATAATATTAAATAAATAGTAACATCTTTAGAGAAAAGTGTTCGTGGTAATGAATAAAGAAATATTTTAAATAAATAAAAGTAGTCATATTAAAAAGAAGTAGAAAGATAAAAAAGAATTCTAAAGAGCTTTATAAATTCTTCATTTGAAAAAAGATTTTCTCGAATCTCTATAATAAGATAGTCAAAAGCAATTGGATAAGAAACTTAAACAGAGTAATTAAAATATTTTGTTGATTAAAATTATGTGAGAATTGTTCCTAAAGATGAAAGAAAAAAAGAAGAAAGGGAGAGTAAATAATATTCTTCAGTTTATGCGGAAGAGAATTCAAGAGTAAAAGCAATTTCAATAGATGAAGAATTTTTAGAGAGGGATATGATAGATTTAGAAAATATGCTGATTGATGAAAGGTAGAAAGAATTAGATGAAATTGAAAAAGAAGCATTTTAGCTTAATTAAATAGCAAATTAGATGGGAAGCACTGTTGATTAATTAGAGGTATAATTAGACATTGGAAAGTCAAATATAAGTTTAGCTAAGACTAATGTAATAGCAACATCTAAAGAACTAGTTAGTGTTGATGTTTAATAAAAAAGGTTATTCAAAAAAAAATATTATTTTATTATAGGAGTTCTCATCTTAGCAATAGTAGTATTGATAATTTTATTAATTTTAATCAATTGAAAGTGTTATGTGATTAATTTTCAAAATATTTATTAAGATTTTATAAATCAAAAATTTAGAATTTTAATTATGGTTTCAAAAAGACATTTCTTATCCATTATTTACTTATTAATATTTATTAGTAAATCGAAATATTGTAATATATGAGATTTAATATTATTTTTATTAACAATATGTAATTATCATATGATGAACTATGCTAAAATAAATTGTTGGCTTTTACTATATTTTCTAAAGTGAAAGCACCCTCTTCATTAATTGAGGTATAATAAAAGTTTAAAAAAGTAAAGTGATACAGCTGAATTTAAATTGGCATTACAAGAACACAGATCTAGAGTTTCAACTACTCTTTATTGTTCAGTACTATCATCATTTACTTTTTGTTTAATTTTGAAAATGAGAAATCCTATTTATGCATTGACAGCAAGGTATTTATATAATTTTATAAAATAAGATCATCTTTTTTTGGAGTATTAAAAAAATACTATTTTGTTCCTGTTTTGCTTTCATAACCATTTTAAACATAAAATAGATAACTTTATGATGAAAAAGTGGATAAAGTTTTGAAAAAATATGATTTTACTACTCCTGAATTTCAATAAGCCTTTAAATAGATTGAAGCTGATGGAGGTTTAAAGAAATTTATGAAAAAGTATCTTACAGAGAAAGATGAAGAACCTTAACAACCTGTTTAGCAAACATAATAATGAGAAATATTAATTTATTTTATTAATGTAATTTTCAGAGCAAAATAACAAATATATAATTTGAATTAAATAAATTATTCTCATCGTTAATGAAGAAAATTAGTTAATAGATGTTATCTTTAATGAACAAAAATAACAAACCAGATTAACCATATACAAATGACTTAAAAAAAAATAAATGTAAACCTTAGACTGCTAATACAGAGAGAACTTAATCAAAAACCTAGAAAAGTGATTTACTTGAGTATTTCAACAAAGAGAGGAACACTTTAACTTAAATTGTTAACTCTTCTAAAGCTATTTTAAAGGGAAGCAAAAGCATAGATAATTTATAACAATAAAGTTAAAAGAGCGAGCCATAAAAAAATGGATAATTTAATGTATATTTGAATATATTCTTATTTAGGTTGATACACGGATTTAAACTGAAGAAGGAAATACTACCAGAAGATAAATTTTAAAATAAAAAAACTTATCATTGGCAACAATTTCATTAGATGCATAATGTATTGATAAAATGTTGAAAAATTAATTATCAAAATAACCACATACAACAAAGTAATCTTATAATTAATCTCCATAAAATTAAATCAAATCACCTATTAAGAAGTAAAAAGATTTATTATTATTTGATATGCATTAAGTAAATTATAAAATTTATATTTAGTTGAAAAATACAGTATGTAATAATGAATATCAGAATTATTTAAATTTTAAATTGAATAAATAATCTATTTAATCCAATAATTCATTAAATCATAGATAATCAATTGAAGATATATTATCAAATTAAAAAATACTTAAGGGATCCTAATAAGTTTTATCAAGTAAAATTAAAAAGACTGAAAGTGAATCTAAATCAACCAATTTGAGTTAGATTAAAACTGAATATTCATCAGTTTCTAATTAATAATAATTTTTAAAATAAAAAAACAAAGAAGAGAATATATAATATGATCCTAACAAATAATTACTAATTATACTTTATTATAAATAATAAAAGTAAGATATATTATAAAATTATTAGATACACATATTTATATGAATTTTTAAATTAAACTACTGATAATTTGTATAATTATTTAATTCAATAAATAGCATGTATAGAAAGATTGATTACAAAACTTGGAAGTGGAACAGGCTCAACTGAATAAGATTAAATATAATAAGGTATTATTTATTTAACAAATATTAGAATTAAATAAAATATGTCAATTTTAAACTATATCAAAGAATATTCCATATGATTATTATTTAACAATATCTGGTTAAAAATTGGATGTTTTCAAAGGAAAAACATTGTAGGTTTAACCTTTATATTCATAACCAATAACAACAAAAAGGGTTGGATTGAAGGACTTTACTTTAGTTAAATGTATTGGTGTTGGAGGATTTTCAAGAGTTTATATGGTAAGAAAGAGAGACAATGGGAAATTTTATGCTTTGAAACTTATTGACAAGAAATTCATTCTTGACAATTAAAAAGAAATTATTGTATAAAATGAAAGAGACATTATGGTTTAAATGGAGAATTAATTTATTACTCCATTGCATTATGCGTTTGAAACTAAATATTATATTGCATTTGTTCTCGATTATTGTGCTGGAGGTGAATTATTTTATCATCTACGCAAATTGAAAAGATTCAATGAATAAGATGCTAAACTCTATTTCATAGAAATTTGTATAGGCATGGCTTATCTACATTCCTAAAATATTGTATATAGAGATATAAAACCAGAAAATATTCTGTTAGATTTACAAGGTCATTTACTATTAAGTGATTTTGGTTTATCAAAACCTGATATGAAACCAGATGATTTTGCCTATTCTTTTTGTGGGTCTCCAGAATATATGGCTCCAGAAATGCTGATGAAAACAGGTCATAATTATTTAGTGGATTGTTATTGTTTAGGTGCCTTACTTTATGAATTAGTTACAGGATTACCTCCATTTTATTCTCATAATACTCAAGAAATTTATAATTCTATTTTGACTGAAAAAATAGAATTTCCATAATATGTTCAAATATCTCCTATTTTAAAAGATCTTATATTGTAATTGCTTTAAAAAGATCCCACTGAAAGATTGGGTTAGAATGGTGGTATTGTTGAAATTTTAACACATTAATGGTTTTAAGATGTTGACTTTGAAGCAATTGCCAAAAAATAATTAAAAACTCCTTATTAACCAGAACCTCTTAAATATAATTTTGATGAGGAAGAATTTAATAAAGGTGATGCTGAATTTAGGAAATAATACTAAACAAATATGTAAAAAGAATTTCAAGTAATGTGTATTAATTATTTAGAATATTGATACAGCAAATTATGTATTGAAAAACTTTTACTATTCTAGAGAATCAAAAGTTAGACTCGATAAAACTAAAAGATTGAATGAGGTCAATTTAAATCAAATTTAAAATTAAGCTATAACTACTAAATCTTAATCTCCTACCAAAGTTTAAGCATAATCAAAGGGAGATAAATATTCGTAATAAGTACTTGCCTCACCTTAAGAGGGAAAAAGAATTAATAGATAAACTGGAAAAAGTGAAGTTTATGATTACTTTAAAAAGCATGATTTATGCACAAAGTCATCTCAACTACTATATTAATCTAATAAATTAGGACATTCTTATTCAAAAACAATGCAATAAGCTTAAAATTCTTTATTAGATTTAAAAGTATATTAATAATATGATTTTAGCAATTTAAATTATTTGTTGATTAATCAAAAGTGTTATTATGTACAGATAGAACTAATACTTAGCCAGATTAATATCTTAAAAATTTTACAGAGAGAATTAAAACTGAATAATTTGGAAATCTATAATCTCCTAAAACTATTACTCAGAGTTCATTGAATAAATTGACAAATTTTTCCAAACTATTGATATCTGAGAAATAAAAATAAAAATAAAAATAATGAATGATCTTAATTTATTAATTTAATATTATTAATGGAAATAAAATTATTATTAATCATCATTTTAGTATTAGCATGGATATGATATATAAAACTAATAAAACAATTATACCAGAAACTATTATTTTAACAATTTTATCATTTTATTCTGGAAGAGCAACTTATTTTTATTTTTAAGGACTAAAATCCTAAAATTCATTGATATCTGGAGAATAATTATTCTATCCTAAATTAGGTTTTCTCTACTTTATTTCATCAAATTAAAAATGTAAAGGTGTATTGTTGTCTTAATGCATATCTTTAAATTCTAATTCTTCATTGCTATTTTAATGTTTATATCTAAATTAGTTTTTTGAATTCTATTGAATACTATTTGATGGTTAATGAGTAACAGGTTATTCAATTTAAGAATTTCTTGATGTAGCAGTATATTTTGATATAATCTTTTCTACTTCTGGATCTGGCCTATATGGTTAGAAAGTGCTTAATGTTGATTATTTTAATGGCTAAGCATTTTGTGTATATCGAACATTTGAATATGATTATGTTGGTTATATGTAAGACTGTGCTTAATAAATTTAAGGCATTTGTTATGGATATATAGTGGTAGGTTATCCTGATGGAACAACTGGAATAGTTTTGATTGGTGAATATTAATGAACAGGAGCATTTTAGTAGTAGTACATTAAATCGTTATAAATTTAATATGAATATTAATAATTATGTGCAACATTAATGTACTAATATGATATCATTTTTTCTTCTATTCAATCTTCTTTATGTAGAATTCCAATTCTTTTCCTTCTAGAATATAACCATCTGCTCTTCCTGATTAACCTGGTCTTGAAGTTATTCTAACCAATAATCTTTAATTGGCAAATTATTCTTAGACTAATTAATCAATAACATTTTCTTTAGTTCTTTATTCAAGTTTCTTAATGAGACTTTTAGATTTTTTTGTTTATTCAACTGGTGCATCCTATATAAAATCTCAATTAATACCTTCTTCTTTTTTTATCCTAATTCAACATTATATTTTTTAGCATACCATTATTTAAATGGTGTTGCATCAACTTACACAATTACTCCTCTTGTTAGTGTTTTTGTTCTCACTAATTCATTATTTGATGGATGATAAACAACTTCAACTATTTTTGATTTTTTAGCCACTCCTTAACTTCCCCATGATATATTTCCTTCAGATAAACGAAGTGCTCTAAATTTAAAGTTTCCTCCTCTCACTCTAATTCTTCTAACTCTCTTTTCTCCTGACACTAATTTTGTCATTGCTGCTTATCTTCCTTTCTCAAAAGCTCTCTTCTTTTTATGAATTGGCATACGACCTCCTGTGAGTCTTCTTTTATGTCTACTATCCCTTGAAATTCCCATAAGTTAATAAATAAAGATTTTATTTATATTTAAAATAATAAACACACAAACAATCTTGTATTTTCTTATTTTTTTTGATATTATATTTGTAATTATATTGTATTTCTATTTTTTGTTTTTTTACTAAATGAATTCATATTTTAATATAAAAATAAAATGAAAATGTTAAGAGTTGAATAAGAATAAATAAATAATATTTATATTAATTTATTTAATAATGAATGTTTCAAATTTCGTTCTTTGTTCATCAATTTTAACTTTATTACTAAATCAATTAATGCGAACAATATATTTGAATTTGAATGAAGACTATTATATTTTAATTACCTTAATCACAATATTAGCATTAATGATAGTTATTATTACAGCATTTATGATAAAGAAATCAGGATTAAATATGCCGTATTTATAATTGATGATGATACTATATTTTTCCATAACTCAGTTTGAAAACTTTTATTATTAAATTGGCAATTCAACTCATTGTATTTTAACAATTTTACTATTTTTTGAAATGTATTTTATGAATACTTTAAAAACAAAATTAACTTAAATTATTACAATTTCTTTTGTAATAATAATGATGTTAATATCCTCAATTAACTTTTAAAATAATAAGATTTTAAACCTTGAATTTTTAATGGATCTAATAAATTAAAAAATCAATATATGCATTTTCATTTTCTTTATATACTAATTCTTAAATAATCAACATGAATATAGAGCTTTAGATCCATAGTCATAAAGAAAATCTAAATAATTAACATTAGATTAAGTATTAGTCTTATAAACACCAATAAATAATTCTATCTATGAATTATCACATGGAATTGATATCAATTTTGGATAAAAAGAATTATTAGACCACATTAATGAAGGAGTTATGATGGCAAAATTCTTATCACTAGATGATAAAATTAGCAATTTATAATTTAAATTTTAAAATGCAGCTGCTTAAACAATGTTTTGTAAAGAAAATGATGAACTACCATAATTTTTAGATTAATTGTAATGTGAAATTCCCATAGAATCAAATTAATCATAATAACATTATGCAAGTACTTCCCCTCATCATTAAGATAAATCAGATTATCAAAAGAAATTATTTGTATCATAATCTAATTTTGGATTTAGTTTATAAGAGAAGAAATCATTTTCACCCAATTCTAAAATAGCATTTTTTTAATAATAATAAAGTTCTGATAGTGTAGTTCAAGTAAATTAATCGAATATTTCTTAGTGTAAGACTGTGTATTAACATTTGATATAATATGCAAAGACAAATAAAAATTGTACTGAAAATGAAGCATAATGTGAACCTCTTAAATTGTGTTGTACATATGAAGATAATGGAAAACAAAAATCAATAGAATTTATTTGTTTATTAGGTTTAGGCAAATAGATTATTATAATTACAAGAGATATAATATATTTAAATTAATTAAAAGAGTTATTATAAGTAAACCAGTAAAAATCTAATATGCTTAATTATGTTAGTCATGAATTTAGAACTCCTTTAAATTGCATTATTAATGTTTTATAAAGTGTTTTAGACAAGGTTTAGGTTAATTAAGATTAATTGTTACATATAGCTTTGGAAAGTTCTTAACATCTTTTAAATTTGGCAAATGATTTACTTGATTTAGCTTAAATTAAGAATAATGTATTTAATTTAACAAATGAATAATTTAATGTGAGTTAATTAGCATAAATGTGTTTAAATTCCTTCTAAATTTAAGCTGCTGCTTAAAATGTGAAGATATCTTTAGCAGCTAATTCTGATTAATTATTTATTAAATCAGATAAGAATAGAATTAAATAAATATTAATAAATTTAATTGGAAATGCTCTTAAATTTACATATGATGGTAAAATTGAAATAGTATTGAGATAATATGATTAATTTATTGATATTGGTGTTAGAGATACAGGGATTGGAATATCTTAGGAAAATATTAGTAAATTATTTAAAGCTTTTGGTAGAGTAGATAATGATAAATCCAAATCAATGAATTAATAAGGGGTTGGATTAGGATTACTTATAAGTAATAAGATTGCTAAACAATTAAGTGCTGATAATTAAGGAATCAAAGTATAATCAACAGAAATGAAATATGAAAATCATGGTTCATATTTCTATTTTACTGTTAAAATGGAATCTCATAGATAACATAAGTTATTAAGTTATAAACCTCCTTAAAAATAAATTAATTTATCTTCTCCATTTATTCCATCAGAAGGAACATAAAAGAAAAAATCATTTACATATACAAGTATTGAATAAAGATTAAGTCCTGAGAGAATTAAAGAAACAAAATGTTTCCATATCTTATTAGTTGATGATAATGTTTTTAATTTAGCTGTTTTAGGAATGATGATTAATGAATACTTTTAAAATGAGATTTATTTATAATTATCAATAGAAAAGGCAAATAATGGAACTTAAGCAGTTGGATTAGCTTTTTATAAATGTAATGAAAATTGTTAAGGCTTTTCATTAATATTTATGGATATGGAAATGCCAGGATTAAATGGAGTAGATGCATCAAAGATTATATTAGCTAAAAATATATAATAAAAAATTATAATTCTTACTGGGTAAAATATTAATTTGATTCTTAGTAATAATTTAAGTCAATAAGAAATTAAAGAATTAAAATCAATTGGAATATTCGACTACATAATTAAGCCTATTTAAAAATCTAAGTTACAAAGTATTCTTGAACAATTTATTACAGAATGATTTGATTTTTTTATATGTAGGTAAGATTTAATTAGTTGTTTTATAAATTATTCACTTTATATAATAATTTTGAATCTTGAATTTGAGTTTAGATTAAATTTATTTTATATTGATAACCCAAAATAGATTTATTTAGATCTAGAATAAAATTATTAAGAATGCACATTTGTTTTTTGAAAGATAATAATTGATTTAACATTTATTTTCAATGACAAATACAATTCTAAAGTATCATAACATTTTTAGGTTAATTTATATTTATATAATTAGTATTATCATATAAATTTGGATTTCTTATTCATAACAGCAGAAATATATAATTATTTATTAACTTTATAAATTATATCTGTCTGATGGAATTAAATTTATTTCAAATTAAAAAGTATTTCAAAAGTGAAATATGAATTAAAATGATGAGAATTCAAGCCTCTCAGAAGTTAATAAAACTATAGAAGATAGAAAGGATTTTGTATTTATATCAAGTATTTTTATTCTCACAAGCTCAATTACAACATATTTTTATGTTACATTAATCAAACAATTCTTATCTCTTGGTTTAATGCCTTTTGAATTAAAATTATTTGAATTGCTCCTAATACCATAATATCTCAAATTAATAATATGTCCTATATTAGATACCTTTTTCTTAAGATAATTTGGAAGAAGAAAAACTTATATAATTATAATATTATTTCTGTTAACAATTTATTGTATTGTACTTAGTATAATTTATGAAGAATTAATAACAAATTTAAAATTGGGAGTTGTTCGTAATTTAGCACTTATTCAACTTATTCTAGTTTTAATTTTAGAAATTGTAACAGAAGCATGGATAGTCGATTATGTTTATGATGATAATTATAAATTTGCTGCAGCTATCAAATATACAGTTACTTTAATTAGTTCTACAGTAACAACTGAAATATTACATACTTCTAGGACTTATTTTATTGTAATCTCTATATACTCAATAATCATGCTTATTTATACATATAAATACAAAATTGAAAATGATTAATATTAATCAAAAATGAGGATTAAATCATTATGTAAGAGATTAAAGACTTTTTATGAATAAATTTTTGATAAGAGTTATTAATTTAAACTCTTTTTTTTATTTTCATCAATGATTGGTTTTGGATATGCAGAAAATATAATTGAAGAAGTAATACTTTAATAGAATTTTCTAAATTTGAATTAAATCAAATTCTAATGGATGATAATAATTTGTATAATTTTATCACTTAGTGTTATATCATTAATATTAATGAAATTCAAAATAGCTCCAATATATTTAATAGTTGTAATCTTAAGAAATTTAAATAATTTCTTTATTTCAATTTGTTACAATTATTTTCCTTCGAATATAGATGTATATTTTATTATTTATTATAGAATATCATTTCAATATATAAATTAATTGAAGAATCATCTAAAGCTATGCATTTTACATTGCTATATATTTTAATTTATGATAGTACTAAATAAAAATTGAGTGCAACTATGATGATTGCTTTTTTATTAATACTAAAATTAGGATAAGATGGAAATAGATTATTATCAAACTATTTATATAATTCATTTGGATCTCCAGCTGATGCTATAATTGGAATTATTATATAGACTTTTAATTTATTATTTGCACTAGATTATCGCGAAGCCATATTTTATAAATGAAAATCATTTAGTAAATTTTGATTTAACTATACTTAGTAATTCTTACTAATTTTCTATATTTTTTAATTAATTTATATTTATTTATCTAATTTAATGATCAAAAATTACAGGATTTAATTATTCTTTTCAATCTAATTAAATAAAAATCAGGAATTAATTACTCATATGAATTTTATCTTCAATTAAGTAATTTGTTTCTTTCTAATATCAATTTTTTTAACTTATAAATATATAAATACTAATTTTAATATATATATTTAAAAATGTTAAAATATAGTTTGATTAATACATTTTGAGATTGATATAATATAGATTATTGTGATTAAATAATTAGAAGAATAAAGATATAAGTCAGATATAGATGGATATTATTAAATTCATATTCGTTATTATTATTATTATTATTATTATGAATTTAAGGCCATTTATTAAAACACACATAAAGACTATAATGACAAATTTTGATGTTTAGAGGGGACCCTTTGATTCATTTTTAAGAGAATACTACAAAAATAACAAAACTCTTGGACCATCTGAGCGCTCAATAATTTCATAAACAGCATTTGATCTTGTAAGAAATGATCTTCTTCTTTCTCATTTTACAAAAGATGTGGATAGGAAATGTGATTTATTACCACATATATCTAATTACGAAAAAGACCAAAATATTCCACTGTAAAATTATATTTGATCAATTACAAAGGAATATTCGATGTAGCTGTCCAGAGATGTAAAAATACATTCTAATTTCAGACTCTTCCAATTAGTTTCTGATTAATATGGTTAAAAAAGAGCTTATGAATTCTTTATGGCACTTAACACCAAGGCACCATTGACAATACGTATAAATCCAATTAAAACCACAAGAGAGAAAGTAATTTAAATACTACTTAATATCTTTAGCTAATAAAGGAGATGAACCAACTATATTTCAAAAAGACCTTAACCTCACCTTATGGATTAATAGTGAGTAAAGAAAATAATGTAAATTTGACTGATACAGATTAATTTAAAGAAGGATTATTTGAAATATAAGATGAGGCCTCTTAAGTATGTGCTCTTAGAGTCTAATGTTAACCAAATGATAAGGTACTTGATTATTGTGCTGGATCTGGAGGTAAAACCTTAGCATTTGCTCATTAAATGGAAGGTAAAGGAGTGATTGAGATAAATGATACTAGAAGTGAAGCTCTGTCAAAAGCAAAAATTAGATTGAGAAGAGCAGGTATAATGAATTATAGTTTCTTTACAAAGAAGTTCAAATATGATTGGATCTTATTAGATGTTCCTTGTTCAAGCTTAGGAACATTAAGAAGAAATCCAGATTCAAAATATAGATTTTCTTAAGAAAGATTAAATGGTATATATATTGATAGAATTAGATTTAATAAAACTCTAATAAGAGATATTTGATTAAGCAATAAGATTTTTAAAATAAGATGGTGTTATTGTATATACAACTTGTAGTTTTTTGAAGGATGAAAATTAGAATTAAGTGAAACATTTTTGCAATAAATATAATTTAAGTGTGGTCGATAATGATTATTTTTAGAGCTTACCTGAAAAAGGTGGAATGGATAGTTTCTTTAGTATTAGTTTGAAAAAAAATTGAGTATGAATATAATAATATGATATTGATTTTAAATTGAATGATATTGTGTTAGATATTGATGAAGATTGTTTGAAAGATAAAGAGGTTCTATACAATAATGTATTGTTGTTATTAATACAAAATTTAAAATTATATTTAAATCTTTTTATGGGTAAAAACTATAGAAACAGATCAAAGACATCAGATACACCAAGAAAACCATTTGAAAAAGAACGTCTTGATAATGAGTAATATTATTGATTAATTAGATTGCAAATTATTGGTAAGTATGGATTAAAGAATAAAAGAGAAGTTTGGAGAGTTCAACTTACATTGGCTAGAATCAGAAAGGCTGCTAGAGAATTATTGACTCTTGATCCAAAAGATCCAAGAAGATTATTTGAAGGAGAAGCTTTGATTAGAAGAATGGTTCGCTTTGGTTTATTAAGTGAATAAGAAAGAAAGTTAGATTATGTCTTGGGTTTGACAACTTAAAAAATGATGGAAAGAAGACTTTAAACATTTGTTTTCAAAAGCAATTAAGCATCATCAATTCATCATGCCAGAACCTTAATTAGATAAAGACACTTTAGGTATATTTTACATTTTAATTATATAATAGAGTAGGTAAGAGATTAGTAAATTCACCATCATTCCTTGTTAGAGTAGAAAGTGAAAAATTAGTTGATTTTGCAGTTACCTCTCCATTTGGATAAGGAAGAGAAGGAAGAAGAAAGAGAAAGAACTCAAAAAGAAAGTAACCAAAAGAAGAATGATAATTGTTATAATATACATTCAATAAGTACATTTCTTATGTTTTTCATTATTCATTTCTCAATCAATCTGCTTGTAAATCTATTGCATATAAACCTGGATGGATATTTTTTTAATTTCCTAATCTCTTAACAACCCAACTTTTTGAAGGTTTCATTACACATATTACTCTATAGGTCAAAATTCTAAATACCCAGTGAATAATTTTGTCTAATCAGCACTACATCCATTTAAACATTAAGAATTTTTATTCCATTATTCTTAAGTTAGAATAAAGCCACAACATTGACAAGCTCTTAAATCCTTTGTTTATTTTGGAATTGTGAAAGCCTTTTCATCTGATGACTCTTATCCTGAATCTGATAAATTCATTATTAGATTTTATATAAATTAATTATATAATTATCTCAATAAATGATTATTTAGATTTTCTTATCTATTATTTCTGAATTACAATTTAATTTATTATTCTTTCCTTTAAATTTAATATTTGATAGGAAAGTATAAATTATATGTGCTTTACTTAAATATATTTAGATCAAAAATAAAATAATATTTCCAAATCATTTAGTTGTTTAAATAAAAATAGCTCATTTTGTTTTTATTATATTTTCATGATTAAAGTGTTATAACAAACTTAGAAGTATTCATTTTTAATATTATATTCAATGATGAATCCATATACTCTTCGCTTCTTAGATAATTAATTAGAAGAATAATATCAAGAGGCTAGAATAAGATAAGTATTAAGAAGAATTTTTCAAATTGTTGTACTTGGCACATTCCTACTTCATGGAATGAAAATTATATATGATTTGGCTCTTGATAAACCTAACAAACCCTATATTAATATTGGATTTATTGTCTGGACAATTATTGCTTAGATCACTATTAAAATTAACAAGAAGTTAATAAAATTAGTCATAACAATCTCTAATATATCAACGCTTGTTTTATAAATGAATTTTGATACAAGTTATTCTTTACCTTAAGACTATTATCAATTTGGATGCAATATAACTTAACTATAATCTGTCCTTTATTTTTTAAGTGACTTTTTATATGCCACTGTTTCTGTAATTTTTCATACTGTTGCTAGAATGGTGATTACTTCATATTATACTTAAAGAGTTGATATTTAAGATTATTGTTTCTCAATTTTATGCGTTGCATTTGTTGTATCCATACTTTACAAAAATGATATCAATTCTAGAAAGCACTTTTTGTTACGATTAAAAGAAGAATAAATTGATGACAAATTAATAAAATTCGTAAAATCACCATTTTTCTAATTTGATATTAAATGTGATTTATAACAAATAAATTTGTAATAAGCAAAGCACATAGAATAATTTTAATATGGCAGAGAAGACTTTTGTGATGGATGTAATTTTAGAAATCTACTAAGAGATATTTTTATTGATAAAAATACAACTTTGGAATAATAATTATTAAAGAATCATGATTAAGAACAAAATTATAATGTTAAATATATTCACAATCATCAAAAAATGTCAATTGACATATATTTTTGTAATTTAGGAATAGAATATTCTAAATATATTTTAATTTTACAAAATATAAAAACAAATAATTTAATTAGAAAAGTATAAACTTTTTCAATTGAAGATGCTTGGACTTAGATAAAAGCATAAATTAAAAGAGTTTCTTAATAAAATTTTAATTTACGAATCTTTTATTTTGGTGTACTTTCTACTATTAAGATAAATGACACTATGATACATTAGTTAAATTTAAAAAAATAATTTAAAAAGTTCAGTAAGCTTCTTAAATGCAAAGGTTTTATAGATATCAAAGGAGAAAACCAAATCAATGTATAAACATATGGAAATTAATTGAATATTTGGATTATTTAAGTATTACTAATTATATAACAAATTACTATAAATAGAAAATAGAAATCATATATATTTTTAGAGATGTAAGAAGATGTGATACTAATAAAATTCATATTGAAAGATCCCTCCTCTTTTGTAGTGAATTATTATCGTAACTTTTTCATCAAATAGATTTCCTCATAATTGTTATATAATAACTTAAATTCTAAATTGGAACTTAATTTGATTAAAAATATTTAGCAAGCATTCAATATAATATGAAATTTATAATTTATAATTTGTCAAACAAATGATATAATAATATTTAGTACTTCAAAAATTTTCAATCTATAAAAATTATCATTTTTTAATTTAAACCAATCAAAATTAAAAAATTCCTTAAATAATTATCTAACTAAAAAATATTATTATCAGATAATTACTTTGTATAAATGAATTTTTAATATAAAAGAGAACTTTTTTTATTTAAATTTTTTAATATATATGTATATGTTTATTAATATATAGTTATTATAATTTTCTTAATCTAAGAATTTTATCTTATAAGTGTAAAATATCATTTATTTTAGTATATAAATTAGAAATAATTTTGTTAGATTATTTATTTAATTGTATCTTTTTCAGATTCTTATGTTTTTTTGATACATTTGTCAATCAGAATAATCAATCTATTGTCCTCAAATACATGAATATGAGTTACTCGTTTGCTTCATTTAATATTCATTTTCTTTAAAGAACATTTAAATTAAATATTATAAATACTTATAACAAATATTTGATATCTATATACTACTTCTAAATCTTATTAAATAATATTCATTTTTGAGGGACAAAATTTGTTGTTCGTATATCTTATTGTTGTTAATTTTGTGGTAAAAATGGTGGACCTTTATGAATTTGTAGTTGGATTGGTTTTAATAGGTCTTCATCCTCAATACGATAGAGTTCAAAGTGTTCAATATCAAAATATACTCCATTAGCTAAATATGTAGCTTTTTCGGCAATCTTATAATCTACTCCTCTTAAGTCAAATGCATCCCCTAAAATTGAGGTGCATTTTTTAAAATCACTAGTTAAGATTAAATCTTATCCAAATTTCAATGTCGGTGATTATGACTCATGTTCTGCCATTTCTAACTCAAATCCATCTTTGACAGGGAGAATTATATTTTTTGTTAGACTAAATAACAAAGATTTAGATTTTTGTTTTGCATTATAATAAAATCCAATACTCTATTAAAATAATGATTGATTTTACTTAATCTGTAGATGTTCTAATTAAAGCAATAATGACATTGTTTTTTAAATCATCCTTATTATTATAAAGATTTTTTAATAAATCTTCACTTGAACATGAAAATAGGGGTCTTAATTTATCAGTCAATAGATGCTACAATTAATTTGGTTCCTATTCGAAAGTTTTATCATGTTTTATTCTTTGAAAGATTTAAAATATGAAACCCTTATTTGGAATTTAAGTTTGTTAAAAGGAATTTTTTGAAATATAAGAGTCTTATAATTCAATAATGGATCTTTCAATCATTTATTAATATGTATCCCAGATTTGTGAATTAATACTTAAAATAATATTAACATTTACTAATAGGGTTGATTTTTCCTTAAATCATCTACTTTTTCTACAATTTGATCTTTTTTAAAGTCTTCTTTGCTTTCTGTTTAAACTAATTTCTTAACAAAAGGTTTTAGTGATTATTTCAAAGAATCTAAAGATTTTTTCTCATCTTATTTAAATGTTGATAGATTATGTTTAAATTTCTCATAATCGTCTTTTATTTTATCAAAAGGCTTTGAATACTTTTCTACTTTTTCTTGATAATACTTTTTAAATTCTTTTAGATTCTCTTTTAACTTTTCTCTCATTTAATCTAGTTATCTAAGAATTTAATCTTATAGTTTGTCTACCTTCTATTATTATTAATAATCTAAATACTTCATCAATATCTTTTTCTTATATACTAAAGTTTTAATCACTTATATATCTACAATAATAATTAAGATTAGAGTAATTATTATTGAAATATTTATATGCATTCTTCCAATCATCGAAAACCTAATATTTTGACTTATAATTTACATCTTCTATTTTAAAATAAGGTATATTTTAATTTTTTAATTTGAGTTCATCCAAATATTTCTATGACACGAAAATGGGATCTTATTTATGAGGCATAGCAACATATTTCGCTTCCTTTTTTTTTTTTTCCTCGCACATAATAATTTAAGGTTTTGGCACGACTATGTCTTTTTGCACTTGCATTTTAATAGAATTAGAATGTAATATAAATTTAATATTGTTTTTTTTTTTGGTTGTCAAATTCGATATAAATGTTTATAATAGAATTAGAAATATTCAATAAGATTAAGAATTGAATACTTCAATTTACATGAAATAGATTTAAGCAATTGTAATAATCATATCTCAAAGTTATGTATTATCATAATAATCAAAATGAATCTATGCATCATTTTTTGAATAATTTACAAAAGGTAAAAAAAGAATGAAACCTCAAGAAGTATATTATTTATAAATGACAAATCTCTAACAAAAGGTTATGAATCAAAATTAAAATGTAATTATTTCTTTATTTAAAATTGTATGATTCATAATTCTAATTGCCATTTAAACCATAAATAGTGATGAAAATCTATATTTAATAAATGTACTTCTTAAATAAAGGAATGAATATAGTTTATTTTCATTACAATAAGGAAATCAATTGAAAAATAATATTATTTTTCTTTATTATTAATGTCTGAGAAATAATAATTGCCTCTTTAATAACTTTACGATCCTATAATGATAATGTTTAAATAGATTGAGGGTTATGAACAACTTTTTTAAGAGATGGAAGCAAGACAAAAGGAATCCAGGAAGAATAAATTTGTTATTGAGAAGTTAATAGCTATGCAAGATAAGAAAATGGTATTTGTATTTAAATTTATTCAGTAATTAGAAAAAGAGAAAGTAGAATTCGATTCATTATATCAGAAATCTCATCTGACTAGAGAATAACATAAACATTTAATTAGTCAAGATATAGAAGTAGATTAAGAATTTTATTAAATTTATAAAATCCTTGATGAATAAGAAAATCTAGCTAAAGAGCTTGTTAATTATGATGATCCATAAGGAGTGGGACCATCACCATTAAGAGGATCATTAACTGAGAATATTGATATAATTAGATAGGCTGCATTAAGTAAAATAATAGCACATCTAAAGAAACATTATGAAATTATTACTATTGATGAATTAAAAGAAATAAATGAACTATTTTACAATAAAGTAAATGATTAAATTGTATTTGTATTGCGATATAAATTCAGCAATCATCTTATACCTCTGTTAGCAGGTATAAATTCAATGGATGATACATCAATAAAAACCTTTTTCAAAACATTAGATTATGAAATACAGTAAAAATAATTGCTTAAATAAGATAATCATTTAAGTTTACAGAGTAAATCTTTGAAAAAAGTGCTGCTTTAATTTTTCCATAAGTTATCGATAATATATGTTGTGATTATGCTTAATAGTTAGATGCAACTTTGAAATTTGTAGAAAGCTATTTTTTAAGTATTATATTGATTAATATTCTTAGTTTATGAAGTAAATATATAAATTTAATAAATTATTAATTTCTTGAAATCTACAAATGCATAATTTTAATGCATTAATGGACTAATTAAATTATAATAATTATGTTCTTAATTAAAAAATAAAAGTGTTTAAATAATGTCTCATAATTTATAAATAATTAGATTTAATATAGCATAATTTTCATCATATTAACCTTTAAAAGATTAATTAGATTAATTGTATGATTTTTTATAGAAAAGCAATTCAGAAGAAAGATAAGAAATATTATCAAATCTCTGGTAACCTTTTTAATAATTAATTCAAATGAAATTAAATCAGAATAGTTATAATAGGTCATCAAAAATATTTTCAATTAATGCTTTATAAATATATATCAGTCATTTATAAAGTATGAAAATTCAAGAAATTTAAGAGACAATTGATAATTATATTAAAGAATGTCAATAACTTTTAGTTGATTTAATTTAAAAATTAAAAATAGAAAATGTTTCAGAAAGTGCATAGAAATTTAAAATTTAATAAAGAGATAAAAATAATTAATTATCAAAAGATTAATTTAAAAAATTCTTAAGATAAATAGTATAATTAGATGAAAATGGATTTAGGAATGATTTATTTTATGAAATTGATTTAATTATTAATGAACAAATTAAATCATAAATATAATTAGATATTGCTGAAAGTATTAAATTATTAGAATATAATATAGCATTTACAAAAGAATATTATGAACCATTATATGAGAATCTTTTGAAATATTTAAATAATTAATAGAGTGAATTTACAACAGAAGTCATTTAATTATTATGTTCATAATATTCAGTTACTACAAAGGATATCTATAAAATACCAGCCTATATAAGAGATCCTGCTTCTTATAAATTGAATATAATGAATTTTTAGAGTTTATGATGTGTTGTTATACATATAAAAATATTACAATTTTTAGTTATTTTTAAAATAGTTTGTAAATGTATAATATTGCCTTAATCTATGATTCTTATAAATATTAAAATAGATGTAATGAAAAATAGCGGGAATTAATAATGTTTATTCTACTGAATAATATTTATTAGTGTTTTCAATTAATTTTAATCGTTAACAGATGAATAAAGAAAATGAAGTATTTAATTTGCCTGAACCAATTTGCAAAGCTCATCAAAATAAGAAGGTATAAATAACTTAAAAAGTAGGCAAAATATAAAATTGTTGGTGTTCCATACCCTAAACCTAAGTTTAACTTGACTGATTTAGTTTGTTCCAAATGTGCAATTGCTCTAGTAAGTTAGGGTTACAAAGTAAATTTTTTGTTAGATATAGGTTGATGACATTGAATCAGATCAGACATAAGTTAGATAAGAATAAATACAATAGTTTCTAGAAACAATTTCATAAACATTTTTAACAATAGATCAAAGTGAATAAAGTCTTCTTGAGAAAAAGGAAGATTTGATAAGATTTTGTGAGAAATAAAAAGATAAAGTAAGAGAACATTATCATATCATGACAACTACTTTGGATCACAAACTAAAAGAATAAATTGATTACTTAAATGAATTGTAAGGAAGAGCATTAACAATGTTTGAATAAAAATAATAAGAAATTAAAGAGAGTCATAATGAATTACTATAGATGTATAGCGATATCGAAGTTAATCTTGATAATATAATTCTATAAATTGAATTACTCCCTTATAAATAGATTATGGGTCAATATAATAAAAGAGTGTAAGATATATAATAATGTCTTGGTAAAATGGAAACCTAGAATGTTTATTTGGGAAGAGTATATAAAAAGGCAACAGATTAAAAAATACTTGGAGGTTTATTTGAGGATAGTGAATTAGAGATAAAAATAGTTTAAACATCTCTCCTCAAAACAGAATAATAATAAGGATAATCTGTATCAAGATTAATGTCACCATAATCTACTCAAGTAACAACACCAACAAATTAAACTCCTGATAAATAAAGATCAAATAGTTAGCCTAGCAAATTTTTGGAGATTTTGAATAAAGTAAATGAGAACCAACTCAAAACTAATAATTTTTATACTTAATTATTAAGAAGAGACTCTTCATTTGATCTAAGTGAAAAATATTGTTCACCTTCATTCAAAAAGTGAATTTTTATAACTATATATAAATTTTCATTAATATTACTTGTATTATATAAAGCAATAAATATATTTTCAGATATAATATATATTTTAATTTGGATTACTAAATAATTTTATAAGCTTATGATTTATTAGATTAATTTTACTTAAATTAAAATAACTTAATAAATAATTTAATCATTCCTAATTCCTATGTTGTATCTTGTTTTTCCAAAGTTATGTTATTGGATATATTTATTAAAGGATTTCTTCATTTTCTATCTAATTTTGATCATTAATAAATTTCGGATCTAATAATTTAGGAATTATTTCTAAATTCTTTTTTATAATTAGGATTGCTCCTGCATTTTTATGCTTACCACAATAATCAATAGTACTAGATACTGTTAATAATTGACCACCTTAATGATTATCAATATATAAATACCTGCAAATCTTTCGAATCCATCCATGACACATTCATGAGAACGAATTATAAGAGAGAGTCTATTTTCTAGTAGAAATTTAATTACTCTATCAGGACCAAATTTCACAATACCTCCAATGCCAGAAGGATCTCTAAAATTATTTGGTTATATTCCAAATTCCTGATCAGAATCAGTAGGATCAGACCATAAAATATCAATTATCAATTATTATTCAGAACTTATGACTTCATGTATGACTTCAATTGGTCTTTATAGATTTTCAATATCAGCCACATAATTTAATGCAAAACCAATACCACCATGTACACAAAATATTTTATCTTCAATAATTGCAGCTAATGGTAACCATTCAAAAAGTCTATTAATTCTTGCAAAAACAGAATCATCATCATCTGGATCCTCATCTAATCTCTAAGAACATTCTTCTGAGAATCCAAATCCATAATTAATCCATTTATCTTCATGATTCCCTCTAATTAAATGGATAGATTCTGGATATCTTACTTTCAAAGCCAATAGTAAACAAATGGTTTCAAGGGAATGAATACCTCGATCAACAAAATTCCCTAAAAAGAGATAATCAAATCCTTCAATGTCATCATCTTTACCATTTAAAAAAGGAGATCCCCATAAATCAAAAAATCTCATTAAATCTGAATATTGTCCATGGATATCCCCAAAAATCTTAATAGGAGCATTACATCTTAATACAATAGGCTGTTATTTAATAATTGCCTCTGCCTAATCGCATAGCATAATAATATCCTATGGTTAAAATAAAAATTTAGCATTCTATTGATGTTTTATAAAAGCTTTTGGTTACAACAATGTATTAAGAAATATGTCAGTAATATTGTAATCTTGCCCATTTTTTAAAATTATTGGTTCTTTATTATTAGCTTTTGATTAATCTCTTTCTACTGCCACAATAGCTTAATTAATAAATTTAAAAGAGGACTTTCCTTCTTGATATTAAAACATAGGTTTCTATTATTTCTTATTAATAATTAATATATTTAGCTCCTCCTCTATTATGGATTATTTACAGAATAATTGTATATATCTCTTGAATCAGGACTCTCATTTAAGGTTAAAGTATAATATCTTAGTGCATTTTAATATTATGCTACTTTATCTTTTAAATGTTGGCTTAGAAATAATGATTTGTTCAAAATCATTTTAGATAAATGTGAGTTTGGTTCTTAGAAGAACATAATTCAAATCCATCATAAATAAATAAATAAATTGATAACAATTAACCAAGAAGATTGTATGAATCTCTAAATAAAATGAATTTAGTCCATTTCGAAGTCTCAACCATCTATTATAAGTATTTTATCTAAATTTTGCAATTACAATAATATATTATAGATAAACAAACTAATATCTACATATGGATTACTCTTTATCATGATTATATGGAACCCTTAATCAATCCCATTTTCAATCTTCACGTCTTCTCAATCACTATAAATTATTCAATAATAGCTAATCTTTTGAACACTTTCTAAATATTTAAACAATTCTATTTACAATACCTTTTGTACAAACACTTTCTAGATAATATATAGCCTAGCTTTTGGTTATTTAGATTTACATTCTATTTTCCCAAATACAATATTTAATTATCCAATATCATCTGCTGATATTAAATCTAACAAATATAAATCATTCAATTCCAAACTACCATCTAACATTATCCTTCAAATCTTATACATCTTGTCTTACCTCTATAAATTACTATTTAATTTAAATCAAAACCACAGCTGCATATGTTGCTCTTGGGTTAAGTGCAGTTCCATTTACTTAAAAATTTTTATTTTTTATATCCTTCAAATCTTTTCCATTAGGTTCTTTGTATATCAAATGAGAATATATTCCTATTTATAGATATCTTTTAGCATCACCAGTTGCACCTTTAAATTTAATAGTCACTAACCACCAAATATCATTATTTTCCTTTTTGATTTATATATTATAGTGTATCTAAACCTTTCTGATGGCAATTATCCAAAAGTACTAAACTTAAAAAAATTACTCATTTTATTTAGTATTTAAAAAATTAAGGTCTGTTTAATCATTTAATTTTTTGTCATTTTATCCTTCAATTACTTATTCTTAAAATTGTTATGATTCCATGAATTCTTGTTATTTCACCTCTTCAAATAAAATCTATCCTACATTCAAACAACTTTCTTTATAACTATTTTACTTAAGAATATTAAAATGACTAATTATTCTAGTTCAAATAAATCAGTCATAAAAATATTTCATAATTAATATATTATATATATATTATTCATAATTCATCAATTTTCATATTAGTTATTGGAAAACATATTTTAGACTCTTCATTAATAAGAACAAATTAATGATAGAATATAACATAGAAGAAATTTAAAATATATATTATAATCGAAATTTAAAGTAGAGACTCTATAATCATGAATTAAACTTTTATGGATCCTGATCTGTTCTTATGTTTTTATTGCCATTTGAACATTAAATCTTGATTATCCACTTAACTGTTTTTCTTAATTAATTAAATAAATATAAGTAGAAGCTAAATTCATTCAGATTTTAAAAGAAATTCCAACATAGATCCTGGAGCCTAAGAGATGATGCAAGAAGGAGGGCTGAATTTTGATAATAAATACTCGTTAGTATTCACCCAAGAGTCTAAGCAGTCTTCCTTAATAATTTATATTACTTAGATAATGCGTCGGTGAGTCTTTCTAGTTTTATTATTAATCTAATACCTTATCTTTTTTTGCTATTTCATGTTGCTAATTTAAAATTTTATTTTTATTAATGAATTTGTTAGAATTTACATTTTTGAGAAATAAATTAATTGTAAATTTTAATTAGATATATATTGTTTTAAACTATATGGTAAGATAAGAGAAGATATAATAACAATTTAATAAAGATATATGTTTGAATAATCAAAATTTGTTACTTTTCCTTTTAATTAAGTAGATACTCTCAATATATTTGATACATAAACTAAATATTTAAACTTTTGATTTTCTATAGTAAGAATATCATTTTTTAATTAATTTGATTAAGATAATTATTGTTTAAAAATAGTTCAAATCTTCAGAAAGCTAATTATTTAAAATTCTTATATCTACCGATAATTTGTCATTCTTTAAATATTTTTTTAATTTATATTAACTATCTAATTTTAATTTTAAAACATTTGACAAAATATTATAATCTCATTTCTATTATTAATAATATGAATAAAAATTTTAATTTATAGTTTAAACAATCTAATATGATTATTCATCCTCATAAAAAAGGATTTTTATAATTATAAAATCATTTAATATTTTATTACACTAATTATAATATAATTCTTTTTATGCTAAATAGTTATAATAATGTGTGATGTTACATGATTAATAAAATATATTATTTAAAATTCAAATTTAAATGGGATGTTGTTCCTCATCGAAATCTTCTATTTAAAATGTTTAAAAACCTATTTTTAAATAGGATAGTTAATAATCTGAAAATAGTTCAATTTTTAATGAATCATAAGAAAAATATAAGGAACAATAATAAGAACAAGAGACTTGTGCAAAATCAGATTTAAATAAGAAGAAAACCAATTAATTAATAAGTTTTAAAGTTTAATAAGACATGATTCATAATAAGGATGATGTTAATGCAATTGATGATGAGTTTTTTGAATCTAAATATTAGAGCAATGTCTATAAAATAGAAAAAAGAAATTCAGATTCTGATTATTGATATATAATTTGTATACTGTAACTGTATTCAATAGTAATATAATTTAACGAGGTTTTCATATTTCAAATTTAATTTTAATTAACTCTAATTTTAGTAAGTATATCAAATTTCACTAATAACAGAATTTTAGTAATTTATAAAATTGCTTATCTAAATATTAATATAAAAAGAATATGCCTCGATATCCAGTTGAGATAATATACTCTGAAAAATATAATGATGATGATTATAAATATAGACTTATCATTTTACCTCTTGATTTATATAAGAGAGTTGAAAAGATTGGAAGACTTTTAACTGAAACAGAACTTAAAGATTTAGGGATTTAAATTTCATCAGGTTGGAATAATTATGACATTTACAAACCTGAACCACATGTTTTAATGATGAGGAAAAAATAATACTGAATTTAAAAGCATATTATTTATCATATCTATATATATATTATAATTATTTTATAGAAAATGGGTAATAGTAATAAAGCTTAATAAAATGTCATTCATATTGAATTTATGACTGCAAAGTAAAAAGTAAAGAAGGATAAAGCCTTAATCAAAAATAAAGTTGATTAAAGCTATAATGAACATCTTTAGGATATAATATGCATTTAAGATTTAACTTAGTATTATTAAGTTGATTTTCGATAAACAATACTAACTACAGACGAAACTATTCATGTTAAGGTAAAGTTTATCAATAATAAAAGAAATTTGTTGATCTTGTTGTCAATCCTAATTCAAAGACTCCCAGTAACTTAATTTAAATAAGTGATTTCTTTAAATAGAATGTCAAATCATTTTAAATCTTTTTCAATAATCAAATGTTCTCCTAAGAAGATTAAAAATATTAATTTAATTATGAACCACTATATATAGAAGTAATTTATAAACCAAAACACTGGATGGAAATGGCTGTAGAAAAATTTAAGACCTATAGTAGTAAGATTATGTCAGCCCTTGGATTTATTTCTAAATTTGCTTATATAGCCATCCCTTTATACACAAGTTTATCTGCTTTATAACCCTTTTTATTGCCAACTCTAAAGACAGCTAAAGTTGCTTTGAAATCAACCTAAAATCCTCAAGCTTAGAATGCTTAAAGTGTAGTTAAGTTTTTGATTAATACATTGAAGAGAGCATCATTTATTGCTGCACCTATATTATCTGTTGTGTCAAAATATATACCAATGTCAAAGACAATAGTTTCAGGTATAGGTCTTTATCTTGGTAAAGGAATGTTATGGAATGTAATTAAATTGGGAATAACTATATTTTGTCCCTTTTTGGCTCCATTACTTATGATATTTGGATGATTAATATTCATTATATAATATTATAATTTTTATAATATAATACTAATTTTATTTTAATTTAGAATATAATAATTATTAGGATATAATTAGAAAGACTTTTTATATTGTGTTAATTTAATAATTGTAAACAGATATTTATTTGGATTATGAATAATTAAAATTACATTGAGATATCCAAAATATTGAAAATAAATATATCTATTTAAATGAATAAAGACACTTTTTTTTATAATAATTTACAAATAAATTAAAATATCTTATTATAGAATGATATAATTTTAACTATGATATTATATTGTCAAATTTTTCTAAATTTACATCTTTTTATTTAATCATCTTCAATAATTTCTTATTTAATTATTTTAGGTTTTAGATTAAAATATTCAATCATATTTAAAGCAATTTAATTTTATGTTATAATTTAGGAATTATATTCTTATTAAAAGAACATAAATTATATATAGGAATCGTCATCCTAATTATATATATGAAATTTTCGAGGTGTTATTTTTACTTCAAACTTTTATCCATTAAAATTGATTGCTGGCATTGAACTATTAATCTGTTAGTGAGCACCTTGAAACATTCCTTTAATTAGATTCATATATTATTGATTTTCATTGCAAAAACACCATGGCAATAATCCTGTTTAATTAATATAATCCTGCAACATTTCATCATTAATTCCCATTAATTACAAATATTAAGTATTGATGGATTTTATCAATGTAGTTATTTTACCTTTTTGTTTTTTTTAAATATATACTGCAAAAGAATTTTTAATGCTGTTTTCATATTCTTAAATTTCTTACTCAGTAGCAATGGTGAATTTATCTTTTTTCAATATATTCAAATGAAATAACTCAAATTGTTCTCCTAAAGATGGATGATATTTTTCTAATGTATTTTTTACTATTTAGAGAGGAGTAAAGGGCCTATCGATTGGCTCAAAATAAAATATATAATTGTTCTGATGTTTATCATACTTAATTATTCTATAATTATATGAAATTGGATCTATAGCTAAAGCACCTAATTAGAGATTGGGATCCAATTATAATGGAATTAATATATCTGATTCAAGTCTAAATGTAATATTTAAGGGGATATAAGCAGGTATTTATTGATTAACTTGAATAATTTACTTAAGCATAGAAACATCTATATCACTACCAAATTTGAATTCTACTGTGTATTAATTTTTTCTTTTTTCTTTTTTGATTGTTTTAGATAAGCAAATGATTTTTTCTTCTCTAATTACTTTTTAATATTTTAGAAAATTAGACATAGGTGTATTTTTTAGATGATAATATAATTTGTAAAGGAATTAATATCTTATTAAACAACAAAATTTATTGATATTAAAATCTCATGTTTTTGAATCTCAATTTATTCAGTCATAATAATTATAATAAAAAATAAAATTACTGAAATACTTTCATATTAAAAAATTAATGAATTTCTTAAGAGTAATATGAAAGTAAATAATTGAACAAGTAATTATAATCTTTAATTTTTTTAATAAATTTCATTCTTAAGATCTCATCATAGCAGGAAGAACAGGTATTTAATTAGCCATGTCTTCATCAAATTCTGGTTGGAAATTAGACTTTGGGGATTCAATATCTGAGAATTATAATTGTAATTTCATAGGACTATCTTAAAATATGTTTTCTAATTTTAAAGTGTTACAATACAAATTCTCAAATAATTCTAATATATCCTCATCAAGAATATCTAGAATTTTTTTATCAACTTCTGTAATTTCATCTTTTTATTAAATTTTTACATAAGCTACAAATGCTTCTTATAATCTCATAAATTCAGGTTTTTCATCCTATAGAATAACCTTATAGGCTTATTTTTATTCAACAACTTTCATTTTCTTTTGGAATTCTTCTCCAAACATAGCTTCAGGAATAATGGGTTTAGGCAAATAATTAAATAGTTTTTATTATTATTCATTAAGTAATATTAATTTTAATCTATCTATTTCATATACTTTTGAAATCAAATTGGCAATATCTAATTTATTCATAAACTTTTCAGTTGCATAATTAATAAGTTATTTCTCTTTCTTTTTACATCCAAAACTCATCATAATAATATCTCTCATAGATAAGTTAAGAGATTATTTTCTTTTTTTTAATAATTATATCATTTGTTTATAATTGTTAACTTTATCAACATTTTTAACAAACACTGATTTACTCATTGATTTTGAACCTTAAAGAGATCGTTTACTTGTATAAGACTTTTTACTTTCAGCATCTAATTATTAAGATCCTATAACATTAATTTTTATTGAAGAACTAGGTTTTTTTACATTTTCTCTGATTTCATCAATAGAATTTGAACTTTATTTTGCTTGAAGATATTCAAGATTCTGATTACTTGAACTTTCAAATCTAAATAACTTATTAGCCATTTATAAATTCATAAATGTTGATGTTAATGGTTATAATAATGCACTCATAGCTAAAAATAAAATTTACCAAAGACCTCCAACATTACCAAAAATATCTTATAGCTTTTAATATCCTCTAATATAAAAACCTTATCTTGAATCTAAGTTTATTATATGTTAGATTATAAATTAATTATTATAATTATCCTGACTTTCTCGATTTTATGATTAGATTAATCCATACTCAGTTTTAATATCTTCCATAATATATCCAGTATCTGTATCAGATTGTATAATTTTGAAGTTTTAGAAAACTGATTTTGAAGTTGAATTTGAGAAAGTTGTATATTGTAAATTAATTATATCTTTGAATGGAGTACCTGGATTTTTCATTTAAATTAGATTATCAATTAGATGTACTGCATAATATCCTGTTTATAATTCTTTCCATATTTTTTCTTTTGGAGCACAATCTGTTTTATTTGTGGTGTTCTTACATTAAGCAATTGTAATTTGTAAATATTAATATACTGTTCCTTAAACTGTCCCTTAAAGTTGCTAAAAAGTTTATTAATTATATTTACAGGGGGATTTTCTTGCCATTGTTTTAAATTCAAGCATTGAACAAAACCAAGTTTTATTTTTGAAAAATAAGCTTTCTATAAGTCTGTTACAAAATGTTAATCACCACAAGGCTCTGTTGGATATATTGTACAACTGTTTAGAATAATAAAAATTTACTTTTAAGATATCACTGTTTTATTAGTAGTTGGGTCTAATGATCTAATTCTTTTGCAATTCTAAACGGTCATTGTAAAGTGAGTTCCTAATGTTTGAAGAGAGCCTAATGATATATTGGCCATTGTGATGCCAATTGTATAATTTTTCATCTCCAATGGGTATGCCTAATTTATAATGAACAATTACAGATGTATCCACTACTTGTTCTTCAGACATTGTTACTCTAGGACCTGTTTAAGCGTATAAATCTTCTAATTGGATAAATGTATAAAGAACACAAACAATCGAAAGACCTATCGTAAACAAAAATCCCAATGATGTAGTGAATTTTTCTTATTTTAAAATTTTAAAAGCTGGAGGTTATCCAAACAGGTCTAATCCTCCATATACCTTTTTAAAACAAGTCTAAGCTTAATTTCTATTCTTTTTTTGATATTTGAGCATTTAATTTATCAAATCTAATTGTTTTAATTTCAAACTTTAACTTTGTATTATATTCGATAAATTTTATTATATCCTGTATCAAAGTGTTAAAATATGAAATATTATTAATATTGTTATTCCATATATAATTAATTATTTAAGATAATTATATCTTTCATTTCAAACTTTAAAATTATTTATATATATTTATAATATTCTAAAACAATATTATAATCTTAATTATATAATTTTCGATAACGTAGATACATTAATAATAAATAATAAATAATACAACAAAGACAATGACAATTATCTAAAAAATATTCTATTATGAAAGAATAATAAAATAGATTGGACTCTTTTAAAAATCTTATTATAAATAAAACCTTTTATATTTAACTTAACTAATATTTAGTTTCATATAATACTTTTATTATATCCAAAAATTTGTCATGAGTAAATACTCAAAATAATCTTAACAAAATAAAATAGCTTCTATTTTACTTCCTATCTCAATCCTCCCAAAAATAAAGAACCTTTATATAAGAAATTTTCAAGCCTTTTTTTTTAATAAAAATTCCATTTAATAAATTTTAAACATTATATTTTTTTATAAATTTTTAAACTCTATTTTTGTTTTTTACATAATTTCTCAACTTCCTTATTGTTTTACCTAATTTATTGAATATATTTTATTCGATAACTTTTTCATTCAACTAATAGATAAGGTTTTTACTTTGCAAAATAAAATTTTTATTTTAACATAACTATTACTTAAGATTTAAAATATATATTATCAAAATAGTAAATAATACATTTAGTTTATGTTTAGTAATATTGTATTTTCGATTTCTGATCCTATTTAGGAATTTATTTTTCTATAGGTATACAACTACCTATAAAATTGCCTAGTATTTAATTGAGTAGTATAATTATTTGATACCTTTATTTAGATAATAAATGTGCTGCAATAATTGCTCTTATTTAATCCTTTTAATAATATTATAATTAAAATAATAAAAATTATAAAATATAAAGGGAAAGCTCCTGATTCTATTCAAAGAATTCAGAAGCTCTAATCTTGGAAAATTTTAGATGAAGATTGATTTACAAGCTTCATGTTAGAAATCTATTTGCATTGAAAATTTACATAATTTTATTTAAAGGTTAAGTCACAATGTAGATATCATCAACAGATTTATTTTACTGATTGGGTTTAAATTCCATTATCAAGATTTTTGAGAACTCATCTGATATATAATAATTGAAATATGTAAAAAATACTATATTTATTGTGTCACAAATAGGGGAAGGGTTAATTTAAATATAATTATGATTTTGAGTATTTATATTTTATTTATTCTTGATAATTTTATCAATATATTAAATAAATAAAAATGAGTTTATTAAATAGAGTTCAAGAATTAAATTTAATTATCTCTAGTTATTCATGCTAATGATAATATTATAAATAATGAATAAGTAAATGTATAGATTTATTAACAATAAAAATATTTTATAAAATTTTATAAGTCAATTTTCATGGAGTAACTGCTTCAACGATATTAAGAATTAGAAAAAAGAAATTCTGAAGAATTAGAACATGATAAATCAATAACTCATTTATTGTACATTGAAGGATTTAAGTGGGATGATTTAGAAAAGATAAAGAAAATACATAAAATTTCACAATCTAAGGTAGAAAAGAGAATAACTTTAGTTTAAGATGTAATAATAAAAAAATAGTTTAGTTTGGCTTACTAAGAGGTGATGTAGAGCCACATTCAACATAAAATGAGTATTGCAAAAAATTGCTGAAAGACATTGATATGCATATAAATTCGATTATGTTTGAGATAGATAAATTAGAATAGTTGAAACAAAAATCATAAAGATTCTTAAGATTATAAAGTTAACCTAATTTAAAACCTGAGACTGCACCAACTGATATGATGACATAAACAGGAGGTTTATTATCAAGTACAAGTGATGGTTAAACTCGAATGTATAAAAGCAGTTTTCAATTTTATCGAGCTTAAAGAGATTAATAGATTTAATCACATAATCAGAAATGGATAGAGAGGTAATATAGCATTTAAAGAAAATTAATTGAAGATGAAAAAGAGTTTTAGAAGTTCCGTTTTGAGATTGAAGCAAAGTAAATGAAAGCTGAAATGAATTTGGAGGAATATTAATAATGGTAAGCTAGATCATTGAAAGAATAAGAGGAATTAAATTCAAAGAGATTATAATTACATAAAGATCGAATGTTAAAAGATTAATAATAAAGATAAGCTATATTGGAAAATAAGATGTAGAGAAAAGAAAAATAATTATAAAAGTAGATGTCATTATTAAAAGATTTTCATGAAGAATAAAAATAACAAAAAGAGGAACATTTTTTAAAAATACTTTAAAAATCAATGGGTGCTTTGAATGACAAAGATAAATTTAATTAATATTAAAAAGAGTAATCAGAAAAAAAAGAGTAATAAAATTTAAAGAAATTAAAATATATAGAGGAATCTAAATAATGGACAAAGTAATAGTTTTTACAATAATCAGAAATAAAGTAATAAAAGATAGAGAGAGCAAATGTATAAGATAATTGTGTTATAATAATAGTTTATTTTAGCAAAATAAGATATTTAAAGACGAGAGAAATTTGATGAGAAAGAAAAGAAATAATTAACATATATGGAAAAGTGTAAGAAAGCATTTTCAGAATATTAGAATATGATTAACAAAGAAAAAGAAGAGAAAATGCATAATTTTTAGATTGTAATTTGTTTAGTAATATTTTAATTAGAATAAAGCTATAGAGGATGCAAGTAAAGAGTAATTGATTAAATATCAATTTGAAAGGAGATCAAATAGTTAAGCTTAGGGTTAGAGATTGAAGGAGAGAAGATTGAAAATATTTTAAGAAGAAAAGGCAGGAGAACATTTAATAAAATAGTTAGAGATTAATTAAAGATTAAATTAATTAGAATGGGAATAGGAATAAAAAAGAAGAAAGCAATAGATTTTAGAGGAGGAATAAAGATAACGATAATTAATGATAGAGTATAATGATAGTTTTAGATTGTAGAAATGATGCGAGAGAGACTATGAGAGAAAGGGAAAAGAATACAAGAAAATTAGAAATAGAAAAAGAGTTAAGAGAAAAAGAGATGAAGACATTGAAATATTAGAAAGTCTGAATGAATTACAATTGATAAGAAAATTTAGTAAAATTTAATTATTTATATTTGAATTTAATGAATAACAAACAAGACAATCCCAACTGTCAATTCTGTAAATTCAGATAAATCAAATTTATGTAGAAAGAAATACATTAAAAGTATTTGATTAATATGAAACATTAGATACTTTGAATAATTTAACTTCTATTTTGCTAAGCCAATAACTGAAATATTAGCAAATGTTCCTGTAGATCATGTAATTTTGTTTAAAGACTAATTGTATTTGCATGATGAAAATGAATATATGAAACGTTTTTATTAAAGAGAAGAGTAAGATCCAAGATTAAATTTACTTTGCAATTTCTACTTTGAGTAACATAAAGTATATAATTAAACATAATATAACTATAGATAATATAACCAAATTTATGTAAAGTTAATGCTCATAAATTTATGGAGAAGAGATAGAATAAATTGTTAAAATTACAATAAAAAGCATAAAATAATTAGAATCAACAACCAATCACTAAAAAAATGATTCCAGATCATATATTTAGTGAGAATTATGTTGAATCTGTATCTGAGTAGTATCGACATACTTATTTAGTTCCTATCCGAAGGAACAAATTTCTTGGGACAGCAAATCTCATAATATCTATGAGATATCATAAGTAGAAGCATAGAAATCATTACCATAAAATAAACCAACATAATAATGTTAATGTTCAATTATTAATATATCTGGAGATCATAATAAATTATTTAATTGTTAAAATGATTAAGAACTTGATAATATTTTTAATGATCTTAATACTTAGACTTCAAGACATTTATCAGTTATTACTAAGATTCCACTTAAAAAGAAATAACCATCCAATTCAAATGTTAAGAAGAATCCTCAATCTCAATAATAATCTCAACAACCTAAGATACCTATTCCACCTTTAAAACTATAAGAAAGTGCAAAATCTTCAACTACTACAGCTGCAAATAATAATAAATCCACAAGCATTTAATCTTTAATGAAGAAATACGATCAAATATTATAAAAACGATTTTAAGTAAAGGAAATTCTTACAGAACGAAATGATACTCGTTATGGTCCAGGTTATGGTACAAATTATGGTGTTGGTACTGTTAGAGGTGAAGGTGGATCTTCAAAAAAATAAATAACAGATGAAATGTTACTTAAACTCATTTAAAATATGAAGAAATCTAAAAATAAATCTGATAATTATTAATTTCATGCATCTTACAAAAGTGTAATACAATAAGCATAAATTGGACCTACATAATCATGTACATTTGAAAAGGAAAATGAAAAAAAGAAAAAATATCAAGTTTATTTGGTATCATTTTATTTATTAATAGGTTAGCCAAAATAAATAAAAAAAAATCCTTCCTAGATGTCATCACCTACTACTGTTTAAAAGTAAGGTATTTAATAAATATATTAGTACTTGTTCTCCTTCTTAGTTACTTAGATCATTATCAAATCCATCTATGGCTCCTTCACCTTTGCGTAGATTGGAAATAAAAGTCAATCTTAATAAATTAATTTAATAATAAGAATAAGAAATTGGGTATTGGACTTAAAGATGCAAAGTTCGTTGAGATTTCATTTAGTCAATTAGTTGATTAAAATACAAATTATGTTTTATAAATTTATTTTAAATATACTAACTACCTTAAAATCAAATTAAGGATGAGCATAAATTATGCCTGTAATGTATTTAAGCCATATTTAAAGAATTAAGAAAATCAGGTAGAAGACAATCCGTAAATACAGACTTCATGCAATATCACAAACTATCTTAAGTATATAATTGTGAAGTATATAAGGATAAGACTTTCACAGAATCCTTTCCCGTATCGCTTTAAAGAACTAAACCTAACTTTAAGAATCAATTATCTTAATTAGAATTGTATTATTGATTATAATAATAAAGTGATGATCATTAAATTGACTTCAAAAATCATCCATTTACATTTTAAGATAAAATCAATTAGAAAACAGAAGTAACTAAAAAGAAATTTATATTTGATGAACATTAATCTACAAAATAAGGAGAGTTTAAGAATTTTATGAGTGCAATGGATGATTATATAAACCTTTTAAATGAAAGTTCTGATTGTTTAACTTTGAATTCTGAAAATTATAGTTAATTAGAAAATATCTTATTTGCTAAATTCAATATTATTAGATAAAAACATGAAGAATTGAATAAGAAATACAAGATGGCATAATAGAATTTTAAAGCTTAAAGATACTAAAATTAGTTACTAAAAAAGTAAATTGTAGATATTCATTCTTAATTGGAAGAGGAAAAATAGAAAAATTTTGTATTGTTAGATATAAATGAGAAATTGAAAAAGAAATATAGAGATTTATAAAATAAAACACATTTTGTTTAAAATTCATTTATGTAAGATAGAATGAAATTTGATCATAAACGATAGAATTAATTTCAATAAAGTATATCAGTAGATGAAAGTGATAGGGGTACAACATAATAAACTTATGAAACAAATGATGATTAATAAAATGTGACTAAATTCTTAAAAACTTAAATGCGAAAGTTAAGACAGAACAATTAATAAATTGATGATTATTCTCGTCTATATAAAAAAATTAGTGAACATAATAATGATGACTTTTGATTAATTTAATTTATTATATAAAAGCTGTATTACTGTATTACCCTATTACTGTATTACTTGTTTATAGATGAATACTTTAGAATATTATTTACAATATATACTTATTTAAGTTGGAATGATTGTATTATAAAATTTAATAATTTAATATATGAATTCTACATAGGAATGGCTTTTTCAAACTAATGATAATTAAATTGTGAAATTTAAAAGTGAATTAACAAACTTCTGTGATTTATTATAAGATAAAGATATAGATGATCCATTACCAGTTGCAATTGATGTAAAACAATCAAATTTATAACTATAGTTAGAAGTCTTGAATGTAATTAAGAAATTTTGTGAAATTCATAATTATGAAAAGGAAGCAATTAGAATAAAAAAACCAATTATAAATAATAAGATTAATGATAATCTAGATTTATAGTCAATTTAAGTATTATAATTATCAGATGAATTATTTGATAAAGTTTTGGCAGCTTCTTATTATTTGAGTTTTGATCTCTTAAGATAGGCATGTTTATGCATTTTAGCATGTTAAATATACGTAGATGATAATGAAAATGATATTGAAAGGTAAAAATTGTATAATAAAAAAAATAGAGCAAGGAAATAATATGGTTTAGGTGAGATAACACCAGAATAGGAAAATGAAGCAATTACAAAAAATAAACCTGTATTTGAATAATTATAGAAATAATTTTATGAGATGCTCTAATAGTTTGAAGATGAAATTAATGAAAAAATGAAATAATAATAATAAATTGAATGACTATATCATCATTATAAAATGTATGTAATGAATATTAAAATACTAATGAAGTATGCATTAGATTATTCTGGTTAATTGTATTCTAAAATTAATAGTTATGTATCTTGATATTATTATGAAAGACAATTAGCCTATAGAGGTGAACTTGACCATTATAAGAAGTATTTGAATGAAGAACTATTATAAGGTTATACATTAAATTGTTAAGTTGTTTCTGCATTTTAAAGTATAACAAATTATTCTAATTTAATTCCATTACCTGTAATACCACGTCTTAAATTTATGGGAGATGAAAAATCTAATTAAGAAATAAATTTCTGAATTCCAATAAATACAAGAGTATTTTTATTATTATTCGTAATGTTTATATTAATCTAATTTTATGTCATATTGGCTGTAAGAGTAATTTAATTTTATACAGAAGAATAACTATTTTCAGTATAATTGACAATTGTAATTGAACGTAATAAATATGATATTTCTGGATCTGAAGTAGTATTGGTAATTTTCTTAGCAAGTTATTAAATAGCAGTTGTATCATTTGCTAATTTATTAATAATTTAATATGTTTTTGTTATTACATCTATATTCTATGATGTTAAATAATTATTTAAGTAGAAATAATAATTGATATTTAAATTGGATTCAAGTAATGTTGTATTTATTATACCTTCATATGATTCATTTAAACTAAGGACATCAGACCATGATTTCTTATTATAATAAAGTAAATTAGGATTACAGATTTAACATTGTATATCTGTAACATGATGAATATTGAGTAATAATAATTCTTTAATACTACAAATAAGATTATTCACTTAATTAATAGAAATTTATCTTTAAAATTATAAAATGATGAGAGAATGATTTCTAGTAATTATATTATTGGATTTAGATAAATCATGAGTTGTTATACTAGAAATCTTTCCATATTAATTTCTACAAGCAATTTATATTTGCATATCTTATTCTATTTTATTTAACTTAATAATTTTATTTGAATTCTTTAATATACTAGTCATGTAATTTACTTTGTCTTCCCCTATGATTCCATATAAAATCTATCTAGAATATAGAGAAGATATATAAGTAGGTTCTACAGTATTTTCTTTTTGTTTATAAAACTATAGATATTAATTCAAAGGATTTAGATATTGATACAATCTATATTTATATAGATTAACATCAATTGAGTAATCTGCAATTATAAATTATCTATTCTTCTAAATATTGAATGTGTTAGTCAGAGTATTCTTTGGACATATAGTCCATAATAATTATCCATCCATTGAACAATTGACTGTTACTTAGGTAGAGTTTGCATCTATACTAGAATTAATCACTAATTCTTCAGTATTACTATTCTTTATAACTAATAAAGAAATGGAATCAATTGTGAAAATGTTGGCTTCTTATCCTGATAATTAAAATTTTACACTAATTTCATCTCCAATAGATCCTGAACTAGAAGCTTCCAATTATAAATAATAATTTAATTATTCTCTTGGATTACCAGAATAAAACTGTTAACGTTATTTAATACTCATTATAATAGGTGGAGGAGTTATAATGGGATCCTTAACAATAGGTTAGATATAAAGTTCAGAGGTTGGAATACATGATGTTTAGAAATGAATTGGTTATGACTTACCTTCTAAAGGTATTTTATCACTTGAAATACTGACATATATATGACACTACTTTTTTGTGTCAATTTATAATGCAATTGTAGGAATTATAGAATAATAATCTATAATTGTATAAGTATCAACACCTATACTCTCTTTTTTAGTTGTTCTTTTATCAGTAATCTCTCTATCAAAATTCAAATAATATATACCACTTCCTATATCTTGTTTAGATGATATATGTAAATAGTATCCAAAATCCCCTATTTCAATTGTCATAGTATCTGTAAGTAATTTAGTAATTTAATAGGTTTCTTTATTAGCATCTTCTTCCAAATTAGGATCTACTAATTATATATAATCAATTCCCAAATTATTATATTTATAAATATTAGATATGATTTCATTTGTACCAAATATGTTTATTATATTCTAAGTGATACTTATGTTGACTTATCTATCAAATTATGTTTCTTGAGTGTTCAAACCAAGAAACAAAAAAATATCTTATTCTACAACTCCTTTGTATATTATAAATGTAGGATATTAAGTTTATCCAATTAAAGGAATTAATTTTTGATATGAATTATCTAACTTATTGTAAATATACCATTAAAATTATTATTGATTTTCTTATTATACGAAATTTAATTAAGTAGGCAAATATTGAATACAAGGTGGAGCTATGAAATTGATTGTTTGCAAATTCAAATCAGTAATAAAGAATTGTACTTAATATGGGAAATATTATTATAGATTATTCAAAGATACTAAATCAGGAGTGATCAATGATCGAATTTCCAATTGATATTATTATTATTATCTTGAATTAACTGGATCATATAATAAAGTAATTTTTATTAATTCTTCTCTCATAAATATACAATTATTAGTAAAATTAGTTTTGCTATTATCATTCATACGATATAATCTACATTCAATAGTTAAATTATTCACTCTTTTTTAAGGAATTCTAAACTCTTCTCCTAATTATATTATTATACATTTATCAAAATTAATAGTTCTTATTGGAGCAGTAAAATTGACTCTTAAGTATACTTTATTGATTCTTGAAATATATTATGAAAATTAAACACTTAAATAAGGTAATAATCCTGGAAGAGTTGTTTAAATAGGTATATCATTAATATAAGTTTATTCTGAAAAAGCATTCTTATTGTTAGATAATAATGAACCTATCCAAATTTTACCATATCCATCTAATGATTTTGGTTAAATGATTGGTCCAATACTAATATTATATTATTTATTTGGATTCATACGAGTATAGAATGATTATTATGGCAATATGATAATTCTTCTTTTATTCATAGTACAATCTACATTAATATCATTAATTGAACAATATAGATGTTATGGTCTAACTACTTATCCAGCTGATAATTCTATATAGATTTGATCATTATAAGTCATATTAGTTCTTGATGGTGTAAATTATAATTAATAATATGTTCCAACACCTGCTACATTAAGTAACTTAATTAATTTAGGACTGGTTGTATAAGTTTTCTCTGATATTAAATTTAAAGTATTATATTAGATGTTTGCAGATTATAATCCTGTATATTTATTATCAATAGAAGCATCATAATATGCCCATACTAATATCAAATCTTCATTATTACTACCATCTGGATTTTTGATATTAGTACATTTAATTTAATACAATTAAATTGATGAATAATATAAGGTTTTCAATTCAAAAATTAGTTATTTATTAGATGAATCATATTTTAATGAATTCCAATGATGATTTAATGATCCATCATCATTATAAAATAAACATCTATGATTTTATGCTGACAACAATTATAAATTAGTAGATGCCATAAATCCTAATTATAATTACATACATTAATGATATTACAAATTGACTCTATTATTAATCTAAAATTTCATCTACAATCCTGATTTACTATTTTAATATTGATTTTCTAATTAGAAATCAATCAACAATAGATTTTTAGCTAATATCTAATCTGAAAAACTTAAAGCACCATCAGTTGCACATTATTCTATAATATTTGTATCTGTATTAATAGTCAATTTAGCTTAAAATGATTACTAATCTGTATCTAATCCAGAATGAGATACATAAAATACAATCTAAATAGAACCTTATATTAAATAATAATCACTATTTTCATCTGTATCAATAATCTAAGATTTAAACTTTATAATATTCCCACTACTAATAACACTACAAGAAATAAATAGATTTCTATTTTAATAACTGCAAAATGAATCTATACTTAAACCATTTGGTAATGCACTTAATTCCAAAATAACAAAAAATATTTAATTTAAATTAAATTAATAATTTAATGTTGTTGTAAATGTAATACTTTATTCTTAAACTTTACTATTTGGATATATAGGTACCCAATCAGTAATTGTACAACTTGTAATGAAAGCATCAGTCTAAGTAGATTATATTTCATTTTAAAATGCAACCATATTACCAGCAGTGCTAGAAAAAGCATATTTAAAATCTGATAATATTGTTCCACCACCCCATTTTGTAGGTACAATAAATGATCCTGTAAGTGTTCCAGTTGCTTCAAGATAATCAATTTAATCATAAGGACAAAATATTATATCTTAAGCCTTTATACATTTACCTCCCTTCCATATAGTTGGTGTAAAATTCTATGCATTTGACATTAAAAATCCACTTCCCCATAATTATCCACCATTTAAATTGACTAAATTACTAGGATCAGTATGTACAGTTGAAATTTCTAGATCTATGGTATTACCTGGTTTAATTTTGGTGATATCATTAATTTTATATGTAGCAACTACATTTCCAGCAGCTAATAAAGAATTCCAATTATTATTATTATCCCAATTACTAGATGGAAATTATATTCCAAAACTTTTGTAATATGTATTACCACCAGCCATATTATTAATAAACCATGCTCCTCCAAATATTCTTTCAGCATAAACTACATCAAATCCATTTGTATCAACATTTAATTATAATGATCCTACAACAATAGATTCTGGTTTAATTCCATAATTACGTAATCCAACAATCAAATCAAATGCTGTTGAACCTTAAAAATCTTTAAGTAAAATCATTCTTTGATTATTATAAGTATCTGAATAAGTATGTGTTGTACCAGATCCTCTATGACCATACCATATACAATTATCAATTGAACATAATTTTTTACTTGTTGTAGATGTTCCAAGATCATCATTCTCTTCTTATAATTACATTGAATCAATCAACACAGTTTCAACTGAACCATCTACAAATATACCAACATGTTAATTTGATTATGTAACTTATCCTAATAATCGTAGAAATGTTGGAACTTTTTCACCTTTATTTTATCCAGTTATTGTACCAATTCCTGATCCAGCTGTTATATAATTTACATATGAAGCAGATAATGTTTTTGAGTCTGTTCCTATAACATAACCATGAATTAATTATTAACTTACTAAAGTAGCCATTGATTCAGAAGAACCAGTTGGAGCTTAATAAAATGCTACAATAAAATCTAATAATGTATCTGAAGGATATAAAGATGGATATTTTTATATTTCAGCTACAAAACCAAAACCCTTCCCTCCATTTAACAATTATGTACATGAATTATAATTTTTAGAACATTTCATTGATATATAAACATCATTATCATTATATTATTTTAATGATGAAGTACACTATGTACATGCACTTGATTATTCTAATTAAATTGTTGTTTCATCAAATTTAACATTTCCTTTGTTAAATAACACTTTCATAAATAATTCAGGCTATTGACCAGCACTACAATAAGAATACGAAGATTAACACATTTGATTTGGTAATACTTTCAAATAGAATATGATTCTCTATGATCCAAGTTTCAAACCAACTGTTCTTGTATTAGCAATAGAATAAGCAGTTGTAAATGTTGCTGTACTATCTCCAAATGCTACAAAATTGTATCCCCAATTTGTTAGACCTTAGGCAGCAGGATCAACAAATTCCTAACTTGTTTACACTTTGAGGTTTTTACCTGTTGGTCCAGCTAATACATAGGTTTTATAAGGTTTTGTATCTCTAGTAACTGATTTTATTGTTACTCTTGCAAAATTAGTTTATGTTGATGCTGCAGTTGAAGTGAATGCACATTTGAATGAAACAAAATAATTAAAATTCTCTTTTAGAGAAGTAACATGTTTACAATAGATTTATTATTCTGTTTTTCTGAAATAGCATTTTACATCTGAACCTAAATTATGTGCTATTGATGATTATAAGACAGCATCTGCATCTCCTGTAGTTATAGTTACTAATTATTCTGAAGCAGGAGATGGAGAATTAAGTAAAAATTAAACCTTAACACTATTGAATGGATAACCTACAGAACCAGTCACAGGTTTATAAAGAGTTATTAATTAATCATCCATAGGAACACCCCAAAGTAAAAAAATATCAACTGTTAACAATAATTTAGTCAATTTAATTTAATCTTTTTTAATACCATATTCCAGATAAGCATTACCAACAACTGAATAAACTGTAATTGGTGTAGATTATGTAGCACTTAATAAAATTTTACTATTTTCAATTTTTGTTGTAATAGTTGAAGAGAGTCTTTCTTTTGCCATATCAATACTACATTGAATATTCATTAAGTTTGTAGATATAATAGTACAAGAACAACCACTACTAATTTCACATTCAATTAATTCATCTATCATTAAAAATTAATAGTTAGAGTCTATTTCAACAATGAATTAAGACTTTTAACCAATAGAAACAGTTGGTGTAATTATTATAGTAACAAGTTAAGATAATCCTATTTTAGCTGATTCATAGGAGAGTTCTAATTTTAATGATTAAGGTGGTAATGCTTAAAGTGCCATTTATGCAAAAGCTGGATTTTCATCATATACTATAGATTAGGAATGCATAGAAGAGACACTCCAGAATTTGACTGGATTTTTATAACCTGGTGTCTGAACACTAGGATTATTTGAGTAGAGTATAATAACATACCAAGTTTTAGGTCTAATAATTTGATTAAATGTGAAATAATAAGTGTTATCAGTATTTCCTTGACTTGAAGCTTCAGCTAGATCTTCAAAATTAATAGTATTATCTTCTCCTAATTAACCTAAATCCCAATCTCCAAATTATCCATCAGATGAAGTTGTTATAGTTTATAGTTTAGCTTAAATAGAACCTATGTTAAGTGGAAAGGGGAATTGAATTTTCAGATATTCATCAGCATCTATACCATTTTCTAGTGCAAATTGCAAACGAAATTATGAAGCCTTAGTAGCAATAGGATTAATAATGGTGAGACCACCAGAGTAAATGTGTCCCGCATGGACATAAAAAAGTAGCAAAATAATTATCATTTATAATAATATGCTTCAATTATTATGAGAGTCATGCAATATATTTAACAACTAGATCTATCTCGTTACATTCCTGGTGGAGAAGCACTTAAAACACCTTGTAACTAGAATAAGGCAGATAAAGTTAAACTATGGGAATTAGCTAAATTAAGATGTGTATCATATTGTTTTCAATTTACAGGAAGGATGACACGTGAATAAAGATTCAACATTTTTTGTACATTTTTCAGATCTAAATTATATGTACTTCATTCTAAACTGGCATCTGATATGCATTATCGTAATTTCATTAAAGAAATGTTTGATACTACTATTTCAATAGTTCTATTGATGGTCAGATATGAATGTGGTGATGAACTCTATTAAGAAATGAGAAGATACTTCCGAATTCTTAAGGATGCTATTGATTATCTTGTTACACATTACAATGTTGAATAAGTCACAACAATTATTACTTCAGAAGACTTTCATAAAATTATATTCTATCTCAAACTACTTAATCTAATGCGAAACATAAAACAACGTAAGAAATTCTTAGAACATTACCCTCATTCTGCTATTAAAGCTATATAATAATGTTATCTTTATAATGTTATTATTAATGGTCCAGTCAAACATATAAAATATCGTTTTGCTGTTGCCAATTAAGATTATATAAAATATGGATTACAATTTAATATTGAAAGTAGTAATAAATTTGTTAACAAATAAAGAGTAGCAGAAATCTGTTGGTAAACCTTGTATGATCTCAATATTGCTACTACTATCAAAGAAGGAATATGGGATGATTTAAAATTGTATTTATGATATTTATATCAACAATAACCTACACGATCTCTAGGAATGATCTTCAATTCTGAACCATGTTTCAAAAACACATTGCCTGATGTCTATTGAAGTGATACTCCAGTTCCTGCATTTGTTATTATAGCACTTGTAGCTGGATTCACTTTAAACTATTCTTAATTATGTCATTCTATTACCTCTTCAGCTACATATTTGACAACTGCACTAAATGGAGCTTCTTATGGCACTCTATTAACATTAATGAATTATATTTACGATACTGTTCTAAATGCCAAATTTGGGTCTGATGTATTTACTATCTTGAAAGTCACCTTATTTTACATATAATATTTATTAATGCAACACGACTCTGAAAGTGAATAATAATATTTCAATGATGTTGATGAATACTTTCTCAATCTACCACAAAAATGTTGGGAATAAAAAAGAATATACTATCAGGAGCTATAGATATCTACATTAAAAAATGGGTCAAACTCAATGATATATATGAAACTAAACAATTAAAATCAAGAATTAATTATTATGCTTCAATCTATAGAACACATTAAGAATTACATAGACTTTTAGCTAATAGTACTACTAATACTTAAGAATTGAGTTAATTATTACAAAAAATGACTCAAATGAAAATGGTAACATATTTTATTTATACTTTAGTAAACTATAGCTTAATAACCTAAAATTAAAAAAGTTCCTGTTCCTAAATTTTATGTTTGTCCTGTAACCACTTGTAAAAAAACATTCTATGACAATTCTAAATTAAGTAGATATTAATTAGTACAAACTGGAGAAAAACCTTTTAAATGTGAATTTATGTTAAAAAGGATTCTTTTTAGATTTCAATCTTAAAACTCATCTACGTATACATACTGGAGAAAAACCATATACTTGTAAATATCTTGATTGCCAAATGAAATTTAGTTAGTCTAGCAATCTTACTGCTCATTTAAAAAATCACTAAAATCCTGATTATGTTGGTAATAATTATATTAGATTATGCATAGTATCAGATAGTGAAGAAGTTATAGATGAGTTTGAAGAAGAAATTGGTAATGAAGATGTTGATTAATGAAATTTTATAATAATTAGTTGGTAAAATTATTTTATCATTAATAATGGATACTAAGGCATACTCAGAAATCTCTGAGAAGGCATTAATAACTGAGTTGTATAGAAGATATCGTTGTTAAGAAGAAGGATTAAAGAAACGTATTGTATTACTGGGAATGCCTGGAGCTGGTAAGTTTAGAGTTTTATATATATATAGGAAAGGGTACACATTCAGCAAAAATGTTGGCCCGTTTTTGTATGTGTCATTTATCAACAGGAGACCTTCTTAGGGAAGAAGTCAGATCTGGAAGTGATTTTGGAAAGCGTCTTAAAGGTATTATGGATAGAGGTGAGTTAATTGAGGATGAAGTTATGTGTAATTTAATCAAATACCAATTAGCCAAGTAATTATAACCTTAAATTTAGGCCTGCATGTGCAAATGGAGCTATTTTGGATGGCTTTCCAAGAACTATTCCTTAAGCTCAAAAATTAGATGAAATTTTAAAATCGAGTGGATAATAAATTGATCAAGCTATCTTCATGAACGTCAGAGAAGATACTGTTATTGATCGTTTAGGAGGTAGATGGACCCATCTAACTTCTGGAAGAACATATAACTATAAGTTTAATCCTCCAAAATAATATGGAAAAGATGATATTACAGGAGAGGATTTAATATAGAGAGAAGATGATAAAGAGAGTACTATTAGAAATAGATTAAGAATATATTAGAGTAAAACATCTCCAATTGTTGATTATTATAGATAGTATACATTAATATTTATTATTTTAGGAGAGGCATTTTGCATGAGATCAATGCAGAAAGATAAGTAGATGAAATTTGGAGAGAAATCAAGAACATTGTTAAATAGAAATGATTAATGTATTTTAAATCTTAAATATAATTGAATTTAAGCAAATCTTATATATTATTTTTTAATAATACGTACTTTCATTTATATTTACTTTATATTTAATAAAAATAATATAATAATGCTGATATTATTAATTATTACTGTAACAACTGGAAGGCTCATAACAAATCTTAATAAAGGATGGAAATTTAGAAGATCTGATAATAATACTTGGTATCCAGCAAATGTGCCATCAACTATTCATATGGATTTATTTGATAATAAATTAATAGATGATCCTTATTTTGGTAATGTGTTTTTATGATAAATGAAGAGGATAATTTGATGAGTATGTATGAGTTAGAATTGGAAGATTGGGAATATAAACTAGAATTTACAAATAATGAATTTGATTATGATATAAATGAATTAGTATTTGAAGGAATAGATACTCATGCTGATGTGTATTTAAATGATATACAAGTATATATATTCAGATTAATAGATAGATCTTAAAAGCAAATAATCAACATAGAACTTGGAGAGTGATGATCTAAAATTTATAGGTTTAAAATACTCTTAGAATATACTTTCATTCTGCAGCCAGACATGATTTAATGAAATAATTATAAGATAGTCCACTCAATTTACCTTACAATTATACATATTCAAGGAAAGCAGCATATCATTATGGATGGGATTGGGGACCAAGGATTGTGACATGTGGTATATGGAAAGATGTTTATTTGGATCAATATGATTATGGAAGAATTGTAAGTATGCATGCAAGAGCACTTAAAATTTATGAGAAAAGTGTTGTTATTGAAATTAATATTGAAACTTATTTAATAAATGTAGGTACTTACACAATTGAAGTTTAATTCAAAGGTTTAGATGAAATTACAATTAATAATCAATACCCTTTAAATATTGTAAACACTAAATTCTTATATAATGTGAGTGATATTGAATTATGGTGGCCAATAGGATAAGGTCAATAAAAATTGTATCAATTGTAGGCATATTTAATTAAAAATGAATCATATGTGGATTATTTAAAAATCACTACAGGTTTTAGAGTTGCACAATGGATTTAAGAAAAAGATGGAGATAAAACTTAGACATTTAAATTTAGAATTAATGGAAGAGTAAATTTTCTTATTATTAAAAAAAGGATGTATATTTGAAAGGTGCCAATTATATACCACCAGAAATGTCTTTACCTAGAGCCTTGAAGAATCCATCTATATATGAGAGAATATTTTAAGATTCAATAGCTGCTGGTTATAATGGATTAAGGTTCTGGGGAGGAGGTTAATTTGAATATGATATCTTTTATGAACTTGCTGATAAATATGGAATTATTATTTGGCATGATCTAATGTTTGCTTGTGCAATGTATCCAGGAACTGATGATTTTATTGCCAATGTTTAAGCAGAATTAAAAGACAATGTCAAAAGACTTAGAATTCATCCATCTATTGTTTTATGGAATGGAAATAATGAAGTTGAAATAGGATGGAAAGAATGGGGTTGGAAGAAGAATAGAGTTGAATAAGAAGTTTCAATGCTTTAATAATGGTATAATATATTGTTTCTCTAAGCTATTCCAAATGTTCTAAATGAAATACATCCAGAAATGTAATACAATATTATATAATCTAGTTATTATTGGCCTACATCTCCATCTACTTCTGTTAATAATGTAGAGGAATTAGGATTTGGAGATATTCATTATTGGGGAGTTTGGGCATCTAAACACTAAATTGAAAATTATACTAAATTTATTGGTAGATTCAATAGTGAATATGGAATGCAAGCCATGATTGATGTCAATAATTTTAAGAAAGTTGTACCAAAACAATATGATTTGAATTTTGATTCCCCTGTATTTTAAATTCATGAAAGACATATAAGAGGGATACCATTAATCAAAGAATACTTAAAAAACTATACTAATTATAATAGTAATGTACACTCCTTTTTACAATTAACCTATTTCTCTTAAATTATTTAACATTTATCTTTACAAACAGCCATAACATCATTAAGATCTGCAAAACCATACAATATGGGTACTTTTTATTGGTAAATTAATGATGTATGGCCAGTAATCTCTTGGGCCTCTGTTGATTATTATGGTTGCTGGAAAGGAGGACATTATGCTGCAAAAAAGTATCATTCTGATCCTGCTTTAACTACTATTTAAAATGAAGATTAAATCTAAGTCTATTTAGTAAATGATAATATTGTAAATTATACTGGAAATGTTACTATAGAATTGAAATAATATAATGGTTTTATTGTTAAGTCATGGGAGTATAAATTTTAAGAGATATCTTAAAATGCTTCAAAGAGATTATTGAATTATTATATACAAAATTACAACTAAACATACCGATCCTTATATTTATAAATGAAGTAAATTTAAATTAAATAATAGTTTTTATTGTAATCAAAAAAATTGTGATTATCGTGGTGTGTATAATTTTGGCAGACCCAAAGAATGGCAACTTTAAAAACCAGATATTTCTTATACATTATAAGGTAATACAATTACATTTATATCTAAATCATTGGCTAAATATGTCTATGTATTTAGTAATTCGGATTGCATTAATCTCTCCGATAATTTCTTTGATTTATCCCCTGATGTTCCTTATATGATAACTATGAAAGAACCAAAAAAGTTTAGTTTCTTCAGTTATTATGATTTATTGATAACTGCAGTAAATAGTGACCTTCTCTTATTGAATGAAGGAATAACAGCACTTATTTTGTATATGATTTTATGATTATCCTTAGATCTGAAAATGATTGAGACATTCTTCTATATTAAATATAAAAATGATAGATATCTTAATTAATTTGTTTGTAACTTTCATTTGAGTGTTTTATAAGTTAAATATTCTAATTTTTTAGAATGAATGTCCAAAAGAATCTTTTATTAAATTATTTTATCTAAAACTTATTTTATTCTTAATAATGGATTCTCTCAATAGTAAAGATGATAAATTTACAACTATGACTGACAGTGCTTAATTGAAATCATTTATCTTAAATAAAAATATCAATATCAAAGAAAAATCTAAATTTGTGAAAATTATCCCTCAAAATTTACTTAGAATCTCAACAATGCATCAACTTAAAAAATAATAAACACTAACTTTACCAACTGATAGATCAAGTAATTTATCTAGAGAAAATGAATAATTTAATGATAAGTTTTTGGTAGAAAATATAGAAAAAAAATAGTAATAACTTAAGCATAAGACCTCTCGATTTAAAAATCTTTTAAATGGAAGAAGAATTAAAACATCAGGAGATCATTTTTAAGATTATAAAGAAGAATATAAAAAGGTTGTAGAAGCTGGTTATAATGAAATAGAAGAGAATTTTTAATTGTAAATTATTATAAATACATATATTAGTTGTTAAGCTTCTTTGCATGATTAAAGATAAAATTTAATGAATGCTGAAATAGAATTGCAAGAAAACCAAAAAGAATTAGAATTACTTCAAGATCAAATTAGTACTTTAAAAGAAGCTATTTATTTAACTAAAGGTTAAAGTAAAAAGTCTTTGAATGACATTTTATTTAGAAATCGATTAAGATAAAATAAAGAAAGAAAATTGACTTAAGAACTATTAGAATTTGTCAATCATCTTTCTATTTAATATGATTATCATATTACTTCTTTGAAAGAATATTTATAAAGTTTCAAAACAGAATTGAGTGAAATATTAATTGAAAATGAATATACTGAGAAATCTTGATTTATTTGAAATTTTATTTTTTTTCAATGATTAAAATAAGATTCATATAGTAATAATTATTCTTTAAATTATCTATTACACATATTTTATTTTTCAACATTTTGATAATGATTTATTTCTTAATCATAATCTTTTTCAATTTATATATATTTCTTCAGATTCTGTTTAAAAAAAGATACTCCTAATTTATTATTAATAGTTATTTGATTTAATCAAATCCCAACATTCCTGTTTCTTTATAAATTCTAAAGCAGATAGAAAACTAATTAAATAATGTCCTGTATCATGTTCCAATAATAGATCATCTCTTTTTGATTTAGCCCAAGATTTCTCAAGAAATTTACATTTAATTTGATTCTATGAAAATCTAGAGATTATTTTCTTATAATAAAACTTGAATTACTTCTGTTATCATTTCTTTAAAGAGAATGATTAATGGTTGGTGTGGGTATTCTTTTTAGTTTATTAAAAGTAATAGATTTTAAAATTATCAGTTTTGATATTTAACTAATCAAATTGATTAATTTATTATAATAGTAATCTTGGTAAATGTAATGGAGATTATTATCTATAATTGATTAATTCTCTATTATCTTAAGTTATGTAATATTCATAAAAATTATTTCAATAACAGTGAGCAATCAAAAGAGATTCAACATCTGGTTTATAATTACAATCCTTCAATTCTAATCGTTTAATTTCAAAATTTTGAATTCTCAATGGTAATATTTTACAAATATACTAATCATCAGAAAGTCTCATTTAAACATTGAGATCCTTTCCTTACCTTTATTATATAAATCTTAAATCGAGTTGTTAAAATGAAATTGAATTCATTTTAATAATTATTTTTTAAACAACTAATTTCTTGAAATAATAATGATATAAGAAAAATCATATTAATTTCTATTAAACAAAGGTAATATAACATAGAATAGAATAAAATTATAATTTCTATATGATCAAGCAACGAATTATTAGACTTCGTCATCATTAGTATACTAGGCTACAACTACAGAACTTTTAGATTTCTTTAATCTTTGAAAACTCCTTCTGGCATTTTGTTAAATTAAAACAGCAGCCATATATTAACCACTATCAAACTCAGTTTCTAAATTAGAAACTTGAGAAAATGCTTTTTCCATTAATGGTTGAAGTTTTAATTTAATAATATCTTTTGAGATTTCAAAACTAAAAATATAAATTTTATTTACTTGGAAACAAATCCACTTGATTCTAAGAAATCTTATGCTGCACAAATGAGAGCTTGATAGTAAAAATACATATTCTTGCCATTCAAATTATATACAGGTAAATTTAATTAAGCCATACGTATTCTTTATTAGGCTGCTGAATATTTCAATTTAGACCACTAATAATATAAGAAAAATATAATTACTCCTAAAGGTTATGGTAATCCAATCATAAATTAAGTGAAATATTTACATTACATAAAACCAGTAGCATTCTTATCATAATCCTTCCATTATTATTAAAAGTTCTCTACATCTGACTTTTTTATTGGAGCATTTTCTTCTTTACTTGTTTTTTAGAATCCCTATTAATTTATATTTATAAAATAATTACTTCAATAATGATTGCAACAAATAGATTCAACATAATTAAAGAAACAATAATCATAAATATAATCATTAATAATATTCCACCAACATTTCCACATCCCATAAAACCATATTCAGCATAATTAGCATAATCATTAAAATCAAAACAAATATCATTTGGTTATGCAGTTCTTGCAGTATCCATCATTACTAAATTCCAATCTTCTCCAGTAGAACATTTAAATAATGTAAATAAACTAACTCCAAAAGAACTAAAATTTGAATTTTCTGTTACTCCTTCACCTCTTTTTACATATGGAAATAAATTCATAAAAACAACTGCAAAAATAAATAACATTATTCCTAACAAACCACCTACACTCACTAATCCAGGTAATGTTACTAAAAATGTTCCAAAAATAATTCTTAAATTTTTTGCACTCTTAATTAGTCTTAATACTCTAAAAATTCTAAATGTTCTTAAAATAGATGTAGCTGTACCAACATTATTTAACACATTACTTTATTCTAATATTACACCTAAAATTGTTAATAACACAACTGTGAAATCGAAAACATTCCAACCTGATGTGAAATAAAATTTCCTATATACTATTAATTTCAATATTGCCTCTATTGAAAAAACAGCCAAAAATATCCAATTTAAAATTTATATGGCATCTGTTAATTCTTATGGAGATCTTAAATATTAGATCATCATAACACAAGTATTCAAAATTATAACAACTAATATGAATATCTCAAATTTATTTGATGATATAATTTCATTAAGTTATCTAATAAATTTGTGTTTAGAAATTTTGAATTTCTCAATCGGAGTACTTTAATATATTTTTTGTTAAATTTCATACCATTCTAATTCTTACTTACTTAAATCTCTCATTTAACTTAATCTGTCTTTCTCACTTTAAAATGCTTCAACTATAACTCCTGCAAATAAATTGATTATAAAAAATGAACCAACTATTATAAAAAATACAAAATAAAATGCCCATCCATATGCATAATTTTCTTTTGGATTCAAATTAATGCCTCTACTATCAATTCCATCAGACATTAAATTAATCCATCCTTCAGTTGTTGATATTACAAATAAAGTAATCATTGCATTCAATACATTATCAAAATTAAAATTTTTATTTGACCAAGATCCCCCTTTATCAAAACATTCTAATTTATCATCTACTTCCTATATATCACAATAATAATAAGCTCCTTTAAATTAAGTTACTCCAAATATTCCAAATAATAAAAAGAAAATTAAACAAACCAAAGCAATATTCATCATCTAAGATAAACTATTGAATAAAGCATTTATAGACATTTTTAAATCTTCATTTCTTACTATCAATCTAAGAGGTCTAAGTACTCTAATAACTCTTAAAATCTTTATTTTTGAAAATGTTTATGCTTGATTTTAATCAAATGCTAAAGATGAAAAAATGATAACAATAAGATCTAAAATATTACCTGGAGATCTAATATAACTATCTGGACCATTTATTATAAATCCTTTACTAATTATTTTTAATAAAGCTTCACAAATAAATAAGGCTGTAATAATTTCATCAATTACATTAAGAGTTGTACTATTTGATGAGGAAAGTGGATCATCTAATGCTAATAATATGCTTGAAATTATTATAATAATTAAGATAAAAAACTCAAAATACTTATGATTAATAAATTTGCTTATTTTAATTCTAATTTTATTTTAAGGTGGGAATATATATAAAGATACTCCTTCTAGCTAAGACTAATTTAATGTACTATTAAAAACTATTGCTGATGCCATAAATTATTATGATAAATTCTTAAATCTTGTAGCTGAATTGTTATTTGTTTATTAATTAGATGCAGATTTAATAACTTAAAAAGATTATTAAGCCTACTCTGGTGAAATTTGATTTATTTTTATACTTTATTAATTTTCTGCCATAGATTAATCATGTCTACTTGAATGAAGATTATGATTTTCTTCAATAGATTAACTTGACTCTACATTTGCTTCATGAAAATTATTTATTAAAATAGCTATGAATAATTTCAACAATATGAAGTTTCCAAATATAATTACTATAACAAAATAAATTACTGGATATATAGATTCCAAATCATACATAAATGTATAAGCAATTGTATTCCAAGATTCATTAGTCAAAAGCATAAATACTACTAACATTGAAGTCAAATAATTATTAAAGTTATATCTATAAGGTGTTTTATAAGCAAATAATTCCATCCCCAAAAGAGCTGCAACAGACATAAATAACAATAATAGAATAATAAAATAAGCAATACCACCTACAGTAGCTGCAATAGCAGTTAATAATTTCCTAAAACTGCTCCATGTACGTGCTAATTTAAATAATCTAAATAATCTTAATGTTCTAAATGCCTATATAGCTGAAAAGCTACCTCCACTTGAATCATTGCCTGCACTACTAAGAATCCATTCAATTAATGATAATATAACTATTACAGCATCAAAGATATTCATTGAATCCTTTAAATAATTAGTATCAAATGCTATTAATTTCAAAGTCATTTCAATTGTAAAAATGACAGTGAATACTTAATTAGCTATATCTAAGATATCACTTTCAGTTTTTGAAATTGGATATCTGTCTAAAGACAAAGTAATTGTATTTAAAATAATAACAGAAGTTATAAAAGCCAAAAAATACCTATTTTCAATAATTATAATTAAAACTAATTGAAATTACCTAAATTTAGATTAATTTAATTTCAAACTTTTTTATTTAGATGATTATCTACGTGGTTATTGAACTTGTTCAACAGTATTACTCTTAGAAATTTATTATTATTCACCATTATTTTAATTATCCTAATTTTTAATTGTATTTATTTCATTTTTATTTTATGGTATTTGCTCCCTTATTTATTAATCTTGTTCTATTTGATGATTTTATGTCTAATCTCCATTATTAATATTGCTGGTCAATGCTATTGGATCAACTTATTGTTCTTCTTCCTCATTTTATTCTAACTCTTCTTCATGTTCATCTAATTGTTAAGATGAAGCTGATGCCTATGAATTCTTAATACTTGATCTCATTTATGCTTCTATAAAACTACTATTAATGACAGCTAAAATTATGTTTACAACAAAGAAGGATCCCAAAAATATTAACAATAAGAAGTAAATGTAAACTATAACTGTTGACAATGCTTCCTAATACATAAAAATTAACTTAGTCCAACCTTCTGTTGTTAAAGCTTAAAATATAGTAAATGTAGCTAAAAAGATATTATTGAAATTAGTATAGCCATAATTAAAGTTTTCATCATCTAATTCTTACTAAGGTAGATTATAAGTATTTGGATTCCCACAATATGTTCCTTCAGGACAGTTTGAAGAATCTTAACATAATTTAGAGTAATTAGAGGCCTTCCAAACATTTCCTATAGGATATTCTGTCTCTCTACATCTGTTTTCTAATGCACCCATAAATATTTGCAATCCTAATATTCCAAAGAGGATTATGATAAATAGTAAAAAAATAACCACATTACCCAAAGCAGGCAAAGAATCTAATAATGATATGATTAGAACTTTCATCTCCTTCAATGAATTTATTGATCTTAGAGGTCTCATTATTCTGATGATTCGAATTGCTGAAACTCTAGCAGAAATGAAAAGTGATATGATTCCTGTTATTACTACAATAAAATCAATAAAGTTCCAGCCATCTCTTAAGTATGTTTATTTATCAAGCAAAAACCCCATAGCTATAATTTTTAAAAGGAACTCTATAATAAATATTGCAGTAAACAAATATTCTAAACTATCTGTCCAATTACTTGGTGCTTCTGAATTATTCTCTCTCCAACTGTAGTCTTATGTTGCCAATAAAATTGAATTTAACAAAATGACAGTTATTATGAATCTATCAAACCAGCTAATATATAATTTATCTTATATATACATCCACTCTATCATCCAAATTGCCCATAATCTAATTTTGTTCTCAGCATCGAATAAATTCAATGACTTTCTTGTATACTAAAGATAATAACTATCTACATACTGTCAATAGTTTTCCATGCACACTAAATTCGACTAAATCCCCAGGATCATCCTTGCCTTGTTCAATCATCTATTTTTTATATCATTAACTTTATACATGATTCACTAAACTAGATAGATGTACGAGTCTCTTTTAGTTCTCTTAAGGCTATATCTACGTTTGGGCTTCATTTTGAACTTCTAGTTATGCTGAAATGTATTAT